TCGCGCGAATCGCATCAGCGGGTCTGGCATTCGATTGCCGCGCACAGTTGCGCTGTTGTCCGACGGCGTAATCGTAAACACACGTGCGCTCACCTCTCTGTCTCCGGGACAGCGCGCAGCTAAATACAGAGTAGCGGGCTTTCGATTTCTGCGAGGGAAACGGTCAGCTCGCAGACGTGCCTATATATTCGCGCACGAGCAGAGCGAGCGTACTGCAAGTCACCGACTGCGCTACGGTGAAGTGTGCGCGCAGGCGCGCTTCGAGCAATTTTCGACTTGTCTTGTCAGTCGTGCGTTGGACCGCATATACACAACCACCCGCGCTTGCCCCCCTCCCCCCGCCAGTCCTTCTTTCCGGATGCACAATGACCAGCCGAGACGTTAATTAACGGAGAGGCGCTGGCCAGCTCGAGTGCAATTCTTTGCGTTCGCGCGTTGTATCTCGCATGAGTGAGAGGACACGATGCGCGAGATCCCAAGAGTTCATTGGCCCGAGCCGCTGCAGCTTCGTACTCAGTGATACTAGGTTATGTCGAAGCCGGGAAACTTTGCAGCCGCGCTATGTTTATGTGTGATTGTTGACAGAATGGCGACAACGCTCGGTAGGCTATTGCACGTTTACTTTTGTGCTTGTTAATCGATTGATTTTTCGCCTCAGATCGGACGCGCGTGCAAATCTCGCGTTAGCCGCGTAGATATGTTGCGCTCGTCCGATAAGACCACCCAATTATCGTTATGGACAAAGTATAATTTGCCCATAACGGCTGACGTTATTAACATCGAATGCTTTTTCAAGCCCATTCCTATAAAGTATTGGCTTTATACGAGCCTAACAAACAATCTATTCGATATAGTAACAAAGCTCTTTGTCTGACTACAGCCTGCTTTGTCTGCTGCTCTCACTCGCACGTTCTGTATACGCGTAGCATCTGTCAAATTGCACGAGCTTTTCTTACAAGATTCATTACGGTTGGCGGTAGTCACTTTAAGCGAATGCTTCAATGTACACCACTGTAATGCGAGTTTGTATCTTTGATGTTTTTGTCTTTAATAAAAACCGACTCAGCCGTTCTTCAGTCAGAAATCCAAGTTTTACTGTTCTTAAAAGCAAACAAACGTGACTGGCAACAAATCAATTTATAATTATAAAATGCATTTCCATTATTTTATCACAGCCAAATAATATTTACAAGCTCATCACTGATTAGTACGTGCTAAAATACATTCTGCCACAAAGTCCTTTAATAGCCTTTGAAATTAAATGAATTATATTACAACCTGTTTTTTTAAATGTAAGCAGTTTTCGCAGAATTTCTTGCATAAAACGTTATAAAAAATCTTTCAAAATAACGTTTATCCGGTGAATGAAAGAATAAAACTGACAGGCGTGTGTATTTTGCAAATCAAAAAAATACTTCACTTGCCCCCGTCCATCTTTCACAAATTATAAAAAATCTTAATTAAAAATCTTAATATCTCGAATATCATTACAAGGTTAAGATACGACTCGGACATCAAAGAAACAAAAACTATAAGTAAGATATACTCGACGAGTGAAAAACAATGTCAGGCGTTACATTAATCACGTTTTTCCTCTCCTTTTTTTCGCAAAGCAGTATAGTGTTTTTATGCGAAAAACACGCTAATGCTCAGATACGCCCGACATGGATATGTCCTTTTACTTTTCATAACATGTGGTGATGAGACTTTGAGTCACATGACAACTTTTGAATCGCGAATTCATAATTGATTTCTTTCCGGCTGTACCTGATTAATTAAAATCTTGCTAACAGGTATTTGTTTAACCCAGTTTCGCGTGTACTTGTTTCTTTTTTACGAACAACGTATGAAGATTCATTGCACATGAAATACGTGGAAAACACCGTGTTCAGAAATCTACTACTAAAATCTGTGAAGTCGAGTTTTACTGCTTATATAATTAGGTGAGTAATGAACTTGAAAAACAATTCAGGGACACATTATTATGATTCAGATCTGCTGCTGTGCATCGGTGTAATAATTTTTTTTCCAAATAACTAAAAGATAGATTTTTTTAGTATCATTTGACAATAAAAAGTATATCAATCAAATTAAGATTTATACAACAGTATGAATGAAATTTACTTAAATAAATAAAAAACATTTATCTAATCTATCTTATAAATTAGCTTGAAATATTTGATATATGATAATAGTTGTTGTTATATAAAAAAATCGAACATTATTTTACGTCTCAATTTATATTATAATAATTGACAAATTATTGTTCATAATGTTTATTATCATTATTAATATTATTTATTATAATTATTAATAATTATCATTCATATTTAGACAGATAAATGTTTTGATATTTATATTTGCTAAATATTTTGGGATACTCCATGAGTTTATGGAGGTTTAAAAATGTATGGTGTGTTCCGCGAATTTTGATTTACGCACCTATCGAAAAGTTTTACATACATTAACCTAAATGTTCGATACATGTTCGGAAAAGTCTCGTGATATAAACTTTTCAAAACAGCACACGAGTAGGGTATCTATCTTTTTTCCCCAATAAATCTTAAATCAAACAAAATATTTGTTTTAATCTATAGATAACTATTTTATTTTAGAAAGATCATGTTAATAAATAAATAAAAAATTATATTTCTAATCATGTGAATTCGTCAACGGGTTATTTTGAAAATGAAATTTTCATGCGTTTTTTGTTATATAGTAGATCACATTTATCATCATGCTTTTTTATGTCTCTTCATCTGAATAATAGATCATCTTCAACATTTTTAAAAGACCGCTGTAAGCGTAACAAATTCATACAAAACAAAAGTGTTTTTTCTGTGAGCACATAATTTTCATCATGCTAATCACTATGATTGACAACTGGCAAAAAACCTCGTAAAAATACATGCAAAAGAACAAGATAACTGTTATTTTTGCGAGTCATTTCAACTCGTTTCGTGTCTATAAAATTACGTAAATCCTAGGAAAAAAGAAACAAAAAAAACCGCTGTCATTTGTCAATTCTCGAACGAGTAAAAATAACTATTATATTTCTCTTGTTTTTAAGAACTTTTTCGTATTTGGATTTCATCTTGCAATTACTTAAAAAGAGTCATTTTTTAATAACTGATTATTTGTCAAAAATAATTTGAATGTATAAATGAACAACCATAACAAGAAACTGTCAAAGCTTCAATTTACCGACAGTATAAAATATCGTAATGTATAAATGCTCGAATTTCAATGAGGTCAGAACGTAATTTAGTTTCGTTTATGTAATTATCTGACACAAGCACGCTCGTTTCTCCTTTTTTTTCCAAGTCCATATAACTTTGAAGAGACGTGCTTTTAAAGATCAATATTTTAGATGGCAGTTGAAAAAGCTCGCGATAAAAAATAGCGAGGATCCGGATATCAAGGAAAGCATACTTCTATAAAGTATGCAAGACATGTGCTGTTCAGCGGTTTAGGAGAAATTGAAAGCAGACTTATGATTTATTTTTACACTGAAAATTACTCAAGATTTGTCTTCTGGACAAAATCATAAAAGTGGAATTGTATTGAAAATTCTATAAATGACTATTTCTATTTTTTGGAATACAGTAGCGATAAAAATGTGACTTGTATAAATTTCACACAGGTCATGTTTTTTAAATACTTTGCTAATAGGTTTCATTGATCGTCTCACTGCTAAAGCAAGAAAAATAAATAAAACAATATTTTCTACGGTTTCGAGAAAATCAACTTTACGTTCGCCTTAACTCAGCTATTCGTATTTTAGTATTACGCGAAAGCACTGTAGCACTGTTTACAATCTCCGTAAGTACCTCGAGTTGCACGTGACAGGATGAAGACGGATGACAATATCGTCGTAGGTGTAGGATAATCATAGCTCCTCTACCTTTTCCTTGCAGTACATTTTTATACGTAAGATTTAACTTCGGTTTCAGCTGTTAAATTAACTTGTCGATCTTTTTTAAATGTACAATTTCTACATTTCATTGTATAGACGTAGACATGCACGCATGTACGTGTTACAAAGTGTCTCGTTGAGTCAGTTGACTTTGAAGAATGTTAATATGGTTGTTAGCATGCACTGAATATAAAATGATCGCGAGGAACCAAGAATCCGAAAAATCAGGTTAACAATAAAAAAAGAAAAAAAGCTCGAAGATGTCACTAGGAGTTCTCGCGAATTCAACTAGTTTAGTATTATAATTACTGTGATAATGCAAAATTTGAAAATCATAAATCATAACTTTTTTATTATATTTTTAGTTCTTCAAGATAGCACAAATTTAAACAACTAAATACCAAATACTATATATAAAGTGTCTTTTAAAGTATTTAAAATACAGTTGTATATACTTTATTATTGTAATGAAATTTTGAACGGCGTTGAACGAATTTATGACTTTTCCCGCATTATTTCAATTTTGCATCACAGAATAATAAAAGAAATAATTGAATGTTTTATTTAGAACTGTAAATTTATGTTCAATTATCTAAATTTTCGGAACGCATAGGAAATATAATAATTATTCATTCTTCAATGAACAAATTAATCCTTAATTCGATCGGAGAAAAGCTCTTCACTAAAGTCGCAAACCATGCCCACGTGAAATTCGAGATTCGCAAAAACAAAAAGAAAAATGAAATTAGCCTTAGTATGAACGCGATAATGTTTGGTATTCACGTCGTTAGAACCGGTATTTTATATTTCATTACGCGCATTCTGCACAACACAGCAAGCGCGAGACAGCCGCGTCGTTCGGACGTCAGGAGGCAGTGGCGTCGCGTTCCGAATGTGTACATATACATTGTGACTGTCCGTGCATATAGCAATGAGCAATGCCCATATAAAAGTGAGGGACCCAGACGGACCCATAGCATTTCGGCGTCGACCGCGTCAAAACTCGTGCAACGGATGTAAGTGTAATCACAGCTTTTTTTTGTTTTAATTGTTTATCTTTTTCTTATCGGACGTGCGCTCTGTTGTTGTCGACTGCTTACATTAATTGAAATTGTGCGCAGGAAACTCACTGATGTGATTGTGTCATCATCGCCGGATGCTTAGTAATAATCTTGTTTTATTTTCAATCTTTGCTTATCAACGTAATCGCGCGAGCGCTGGTTTGGAAAACTTAAAAAAAAACGAGCGATGAATATACCTTCATTAGTAGACGGAAAGTTGGCTCAACGTATATGCACAATTAATTGATCAATTGCAATTCGATTAAATTTATTCACCGGAAAAATGAAGTACGACGTTTGCATGGATAATTTGTCCAATTATCGTAGAACGCACGTTCGCAAAGAAAATCGAGAAATAAACGTATACAAAAGGCGGTGCAACATTTATAGTCCAGCAGCAGCTCTTCGCTCTTGTATGTGTCTGTGCGCGCGTCTGACATCGTAACAGTGCCTACGTTTCCCTCACGATGACCATGATGGATCCGAAACAAATAAGTGAGTAAAACACTTGACTGCACCTGTTCTTTCGAAAGTCATCCTAATGTCAGTGTCACTATGCTTTGTACACCAAACTGCCATTATGACATCAGTAGATTTTAATAATTATTGTTTTCTTCTATTGTGGGCTTGGTTAATTATGCGGTAAAACGAAAAAAAAGGTATCGTCGTTAAAATTTTGTGGTGTTGAAGTTTCCTTTGTAAAGTATTATATAATAAAGGTATATCTCATATACAACTCGTTGACTAAAAAGATTAATCACGCGTGCATGTGATTATAATTAGATGACGACAAGCACATGGCTGGCATTATTTCGATTAATACTATCCGGTTGCAAGAACGTGATTTATACTAAATACATTCAGTACCATACCCCTTCAGTTCTGCCAAAAAATTAACGCGGATAATTAAATCTAGATGTATTTATTAATTTAATTAGTTTACTGTATAACATGAGTTAAAAAAAAATAATCGCAAAGGGATGCTTCGATATACGTGCTATAGGAAGCACAAAAATGATTAGCATTGATTTAAATTTAGAATTTTAAACAATACAACAAATAATCATATAGTTAATTTTCTTTTTTATAAGCATTAGTTTTTTAGAAAAATAAATTTGACTTGTAAAAGCTGTCTGTTTTTTGTCTATAAATTTTCTTTGATGGAGTAAGTGATTTTACTTTCGAGACAGTTCATTGGCATTCATTGAAGACTGTTCACGGTCTACTATTCAGCTTTATCTGCGCTGGCCTTGACTGTAATACATATCCATATTCCTCACGCACTGCATAACTGAATCAATTGGCCGATTTCTCAGAATTCGCAATCACTTTTTACTTAGTAATTATTCAATTTTTTAATACCACTTGTAACTCTCTCCGAGTATACTACTTGGAAGAGCCATATTATCACATATGTACGTACGCAAATAGACACGCACGCAGTTTATGTGCTTTGGTATCAAGAAGCTGTTTGAAGTGTTTAAAGTTCTCAAATGTTAGTTTCGTCAATATTTAGACTAAGCACATCGCAATATATCTCACGCGCTAAATGCTGCTACAATAACGAAGTGAGAGGTGAGTCGAGAGCGGCAGTGACGAGCAATCACCTTCGCCAAATTTCGGAGAGCTCAAGGGAAAAAAAGACTAAAAATGACTCGGGTTCCCTTGGAAGGTCGCCGAGAAGAAAAAGAAACGAGGTTCTTTCGATGAGGGATTCGCGTGTGCGTATACCCGGGAACGTGACGCGCATGAGGACTACTGGCTCACCGTTCGCTTCGAGGTCTATGATTTATGGAGACGTATATAGGGGCATTTGACCTGGAATCAGGTTTTGAGAAACTAGCGTGCGATCTGCGACCGCGAGAAAAATTATTCAGGAAAATCTTCATGAAATAATGGTAATTCGTTATGTAGAATTTCCAGAAAGCAAAGCCGAGCGCGTTCTTTCTTCGCGTACGTTTTTGAGTTTTCGCAATTGAAGTCTTGTAAAAAATCTTGTCAACATACTTTTCTAACGTTGCAATTATCTTGACACTCGAATACTTAGCTTACGTGTAGTAGGAAAAGAATGAGAATACACACGTTGATGATTGACATAGGATAACTCACAGGCTGAAGCTGAGTATAGTTGATTATAGCTTTCGCCATTTCATAAAGATGAATAACAACGTTATTCTATTGCCATTCTAAATGCGGTTAGTTATTATACTATTATTATGCTTGGAATGTAAAGAATACAAATTAGAAATTTACCCTTCTAACTGGAACATACATTTTTTTAAGTTTAAGCTTGAATTGTTAATATGTTGATTTTTCCAAATTTGCTAGTTTAGTTTTTTTATGGCTATGCAAAGTTCTTTCGACACTCATAAATCACAACACTATTTTCCGCGTCATAGACTGATTCTACATAAACGTTTCAGCTCTGAAACACTTCATAGCATATTCTTTCACATTTTGCATACATTATCTCATTGATGCTGTACAAACACTTCTAACGAGAAAACATTTAGTTTTTGTCGTAAGATAAAATTTACATGTAATTGAAACTCAACTAGAATAAGAAAATCCAAAGTAAATTACAATCAATGAATCATTCCCTAGTAAACAATAAATTACATGTAATTGAAATTTACATGTAATTGAAACTCAACTGGAATAAGAAAAGCCAAAGTAAATTGCAATCAATGAATCATGGCCAAGTAAACAATAAAATAAACGAAAGATTTAATTTACTAGTTGATCTTGCGATGGAAACAATTCGCCGCAAGTATTCTCCTTTCGAGAAACCTTTTAATTACTGAGAAGGAAGTCGAACAAACATTGAAGAGTTAGCCTCAGCAGTGGATTGCAATATCCCCAATCCCTCCTACATCAAGCCCCACACCGATTCGTCAATATTTCCAATCTCGCGCGCGCTAAAAAGAAGTGAAAAGGAGGCAACCACATTTGAACTCCTTGCATTTAATTTTCGATTTTCAATCTTGAAAGCTTCCAGAGAGCAAAAAGACTAATGAACACAATAAGCGAGGAAAAGCAAACTGTTGGCTCCTTCGGGAAATTTGTCGATAAAATTGTTGTTTTTTTACTATTTGAGCGTCATACATGCTTTTCACTCGCCATGCTCTTGTTTTCTAATGTTTTTTTTATTAAATTAGTTTCGTCAAACGCGCTTTGCGTGCTCATTTTTTTGTTTGTATTTAATTAATATGCATTTTAATGCTTGAATCAAATCAATTGTTATAAAGGAAATTTTTAATTCTCAATATCAGTACATACGTTCATAAAATAATTCTATGATTTGAAATAATAACATCCGTTATAAATTAGTAAATTCGAATAGTATCTTCGATATTACTTAGTAAATAATTATTCAATTAAATTGATACTCATATTCATTAGAAATTTCAAATTTAATAATGTTATAGCTTGTGAAGTGTTTAGTTATAGATATAATAGGCAGTGCACTAAATTCGTTTCCGTTTTTTTTTTTAATTGAATAAACCGCTAGCTGCGCCTAATGATGTAATATTTATTTTATTTTTTTGTTATATTTGTTTATTATCTCAAATTTTTAAGGGATATCCCCAAAATGATAAATATATTATTTTATTAAAAATATTGTAAATCAGTTTTGAGCTATTCGACGCTATTGTATTCTCAAAATAATTTTCAAAATTTCCAGTATCAACAATCAACACAACTTTTGAACCGCTCTTCAATTATTCAGTCATGACAAAATATAGCTTTAATTAAAAAAATATATTTGAATAAGTTATTGTACCGAATGAGCTGTAATTACTTTACAATATTTTATATCAAATAATAGATCAATTCATTATATTTATGGCGTTTATTCGAAGCTAAACTTTATAACAAAATTATGGACTATATTTTCATGTTTAAGGTATAATTGTAATTGACGATAGAGTACTAGGATTATTTTAGCATATAATTTTTTTATTCAATTACTTAATCGACAATATATCGATGTAAAATGCCTAGGGCTATTCATTAGCGCTGATTTTCTGAGTACGTCAGCTGTTCTGCTAAATTATAATATCTGCATAATTAATATATACACACAGGTGCCCTGGCATTAATGTTTGACCCGTGTAGTTCAGAATCCAAATTATTTTTGACGATTGAGTATCGATGATATCAATCGACGTTAGGTCAAGGGGCTCATGTTGGGAAGTTGTATCCTGACAACTTGCCAAAAAAAAAATTTAATTTTTTGAACTTTGCGAGTTGCGAATTAATCTACCAGTAGCGTACATACACATTTACAAATTACATAATGCTGTCACACAACAGTAACCCACGTGACTACATTCAGCCAATTAGGTCAGGTATAAAACGGCTTCACTTACCAAGCCGTCAATTTTTTTAACAAAAAAAGAAGATTAAATCCTAACATTGTGATCAAAAATTATATCACAGAACTATTTTTAAACAGAAGTTGTGATATTTTTTCAATATATGCAAAATAGATCCAAAATAAAAACGATTGAATGTTTTCATGGATTAAGAATTTTTATCGGCTCACTTTATCAGCATCATCTGTAAAGTGACAAAAAAAAAGATAAAGACAAGTAAAAAAAGTGTAGTGGCGCAAACATCACGTACACCTTGAAATCATCAGTTTTTTGTTGTGCACATTAGCGTCTAATCGATTGAATTATTTTTCGAGGTAAAAAACACATCATAATGTTAACTACATCCTTCGACGCTATCAAAGTTTTTTGCGTGACACACCTTGCGTTTATGAGTATTTCGCGATTGTATTCTAATAAACAATAAACTAAAAACGGGAAATCCCGTCAAGGGTCACAACACTCGAGGATCTTAATATTCTGCTTGCCTTCACCAGTATAATATATTCATTGAATTTCAGCGGTTATCCCTTGCAAGCATTCCCTGCATCATTTTGGCCCTGAATACTTTAGAGCCTAAAATTTCGTAACATATACTGTCGCTTGCATACTAATCGTAACTCTCATTTCGAAACAATGCCTATCGTTAACAAAAACTACCAATTCGATGAGAGGAAAGAAGCCGTGCGTTGGTCATCGCAACAAAATAGTAAGGCGCGTACAGCTGTCGAAACGCTCGGATGCACCAGTTACGCTCATTAATTTCTAACGACCATTTCATTTTTACGCAGCGTTGAGAAACATTGCTATACTTTTCCAATCTATCGTGTGTATTCTCGTAACGAATTTCATCATTGCCCGTCGACTAATAATCCATTTTTTTATTGGCGATGCAATTTTGTAATTGTTGACGCAACGCTACCTTTACCATCCACTTTTCTTTCAATTCAAATTTCGATCCGGTTTTGGGATGAATTTCATTCTGAATTCGAAATTTCAATGTAGTCATAAAATTATTAGCTATACGTATTATCTACTAATGCTATTCAAAGCCAAAAAAAGAAAAATTGTGTATTTATATTCCAAGCGTATGTCAAGTGATTATTAAGTAAAACAATCACGTGCGACAAGTCGTAAACTCGTTGACGAGTTATCCATCGCATGACTTTGCATTGTCATGAATAATCTTGCTTAATAAAATCAACTACTTTTACAAATTATTCGACGAGACAGAGAAATGATAAGATTAAATTGATCAGCTCGTAACTCGTATTGAAGTAATTGCAGTCAATTGAAGGAAAAAACTATCATTAAGGATATGTGTTACGCATATAATATAAACATCCGTAACTCATGCGAGACACGATATGAATGCAATACTCACTATACCAAACATTTAATTTTCTAAAAACTATATGGGCAATTAGCGAGCTTTCTTTTTCAATGGCTACGAAGCTTCATTTTTTTCTCCGCTGAATCGTGACAATTTCAATTTTTTTCGAGAAAACGCACCTACGATTGCTAAGAAAATTTCCTCGTGTCATTATCCATATCGTAGACTTTTACATAACAAATGTTGGGTATGGAAAATAATCTGTTATTCTAGATAGACTTGGCCTTGATTTTGCACATTATACACGAATTTTTAATCATTTGTAACCATACGAAACCTGATAGTAACTTCTTTACAAACAACCACGTTTTTTTAATGCATGCAGAATACCGGAGATAATTCAGATTCCCTCCGAACAGAACAGTACAAAACTTGAAATTAGTTTGGAAATTTTTGGCCGTCATCTACGAAATGGCAACAGTATGTTTCTTTTAATTTTTGTTTTTCGTGAAAATTGATGAGCTTCTTGTAGTGGTCGAACGACTTACGTGACTCAGGTTTATTATGCAGCTCTCGTCGCGATTGCATATACACATTATTTTCTTGACATTGGCAGAAGTTGCAATTCTGACAAATGAATAACAACTATTGGTATATACGTTCCGCTTTAATTAATGTTTCTTTATCAATGGCAAATTGAACTCGCTGATGTAATTTGCATTACCAGTATTGGCGAGAGGACAATCATACAAACATGTGCTTCCAAGCTAACACTATATGACGTATCAAACTATTAATACCGTTGACATCCTATTATAACGATACGCTCTCGAGATAATTAACAAAACATCCAAAAGCGAAAGTTTAGGATGATTAATACCCTCGCTCTGATAAACCGCGACATAGCTTTACTTTACATTTTGTCGATAAAAACTTTTGTCGACAAAAAAACTTTGTTCGTTGCGCAGTGCGAATCCATAAATATTGGAAAATTAAGAGTGAAATTTCATCTTTTCTATCGTTGCTGCCTTTCCTCCGTCGAATAATATTATGGCTATATATTGGATAACTGAAGTCAATAAAGAATTTATCACTTCGAATTACTCTGAATGAAGAGGAAATGGAAAGAGATGATAACGTCTAGTGCACATAAAAGATGGTTATATTGCATAATACTATACATCCCTACTCCCATCATTATATAATGTCTACAAGCGTAATCGGATCCAGATCATTACTGAGTAAACACAAAACTCATCGAACTTCGTACTCTTTATCATCTTGGAAAATTCGAAGTCTATACGCAGTGTACAAACAAAACTACGTGTTCCATTATCTGTATTCTCTTTCTCTCTCAATTTATCGCTGCCTCTTTGACTGTCATTGTCCCAGAATAAAAAAAGGGAACTGAGAGTACTCGTGTACATATAAAACTTGCGAGCGTATCAAGAGTCGAACGAGTCACACACTTGACTCTCGTTCAGTTTAGCCACGCAAATCCAATATCCGATTCTTTTCAGGTGTACTAAGCAACGGCATTTGGACAAGATGGATAGTAAACTTCTCAAGCTCATAAAAGGTAGAAGGTAAAAACTGTGAAGTTCGCGAGGGCACGCGCAGTGCCTCGAGTCGCACAAGTGGTATTCATCGCAAGTGCGTTTGCCTATGTGTTCTCTCTTTGCCTCTGTGTGTTTGTGCGCATCTCTGATATCGATTAATGAGGGCATTAACTGTATTGCTGGCGAGATATTAGGCGTAATAGCTGAACCCGAATTGCCGATCCCAACGTTACTTCTCATCTGTTATCTTTTTCGAGAATCATTCGTTAAAACTAGTCGTCTGCCACGCGCACGTGCATTGTGGGTATTGATATTTTTCGTACGACATGAAGGACGCGGTATAAATTGTAAATTGGTCACGTATACAATTCTTGCTAATATTTCGCCGGGGTGCGAGGGGAGGTGGAGGGGGGCGTGATATGCCAAGCGTGCAAAATTTAAACATGGTTATATTCCGCACCGCGCAATACGCATATATATCCGCGGGAAATTCGCTAATTGACGTTTAACGTAAATACACGCCAAGCCACATTTTCACACTTTCGAGCATAACACGCGTCGAAACGACAGAAATTCATTAAGACGAGCAAAAAAAAAAGGGGGGGAGGGCGAAAAAAAAAGTAACGTGCGAATTCGAAAAAATCTTCCAGCTGCGGATATTTTTATCGAGGAAAATAAAAGATAAGTGGAATACTTACGTCAGAGCGTCGGCTCATGGTTGCCAGGACACGCGAAAAGAACAAAGAAAAATAGAAGACCTTCGCTGAACGCGATACTGACCGATGTATATTCCTTAATGCGACAACTATTAAAACTCGAGTTGTCCAGTCAATATCTGACGCAAGCGCCGCGCCACTTGTTTTGCGCGTACTTGTATTATCGCAAACATCTTTCACGCTCTGTCTCTGTATCTCTCTTTCTCTCTCTCTCTCTCTCTCTCTCTCGCTGCGAGTCTGCAAAAACTCGCTTCTATCGGTTTAACACCATTCGATGTGTTTTCGCAAACACACACACACTCGAATGCTATTCGTGCGTCATGTTTTTATGTTTTTCGAATGCATGTCCTTCCAGAAGTTATATCAAATAAATGCATGGTCGTAGTGGTGGGAGTGCATTGTCCGATTTCACGGATATTCGAAGAGACCTTGACTGTTTTTTGGACTTTCTGTTACTGTTGTTTGAGGATCATGCTTTTGATTTGTTTTGCATTTACTGTATATACGAATATCATTTTACGTCGCTGCTCGAAGGTTCGAGAGTATGGTACTTCGAAGACCTACTGAACCTAAAATAATCCGTACAGAATATTTATAAAATAACAACTTTTTTCAACTGTCATATTATACGTATATAAACAACTTGATACACTATAAACTATCGTTAAAATTGCAATATAAATATATATACTCTTCATCTACAACGAAGGAAGCATTCATTAGCTTTTTGTTTGAAATTGTTAATATTATTATGCTATCTTAATCTCAAGATTTGAAATCATCCTATGATTTATATATTAACAGATAAGAATCATTCTTGAATTTTTTTGAAACATGATTGATCAATCGGATAAACAATCCGATAATTATAGAATTATAATAAAAGACTAATGATTGATCGTATGACAAACTCATCGTAAATAATACTGATGAATTCTATGATTGAACCTATTTTTATAAAAAATAAGATGAAGTCGTGATTACTAAATTTAAGTGTTATCATTACATGCTTTTTGTTGTTATTTATTATGTGTTATTGTATGTTTTTAGTCATTTGAACTGCTCTGTGATTAAACTAACCGAAGACGACACTTTGCTTTTGTTATTTAGCAACAATGTTGACCGAAATGGATCAGCTTCCTTCGCTCAAGCTGGGCGACTTGACATTGGAGTTCGAGCTCTGGGAGCCCAATGCCGAGATTCAGGAGGTGGCCAGAAAAGAACTTCGCGAAACACCAGAAGTCCAGAAGCAAGCTGTTCAAGATCTCAAGAACCTTCTCAAAGGTACGATCAATGTAATAAATCGATTGAATAAGTTTTCACGAGAATCATTAAATTCTCCAGCTGAAACTGACTTGAAATGCCCATTGGACAACGACGCCTGGCTGATTAGATTTTTACGGCCAAGCAAATATTATCCCGACTCGGCATTGAAGCTCGTGAAGAATTACTACAGCTTCAAAGTGAAGCACGCTAACGTGTACGATGGTCTAAAGCCCAGCAACGAGGGAAACATTTTCAAGCATAATATACTCACGGTGCTACCCAATCGTGACCAGCATGGTAGGCGAATCCTCATTATTGAGCTTGGCAAGAAGTGGAAACACCAGGAGGTTACCCTCGATGAAGTTTTTAAGGTAAACGTCATATAAAATTCTGAACGAGATGTTTATTCCACTTACTAAATAGCATTTTTTGCAAAGATAAGTTATTATGATAAGTAAAAGTTCACCTCGTTTCACGTGACATGAGTTAGAACGATAAATTTTCAACGTTTCTGCACTATACATAACTTATCGTCAGCTCAAAGAAGCTTGTACATGCACCATTTCAATATCGGAGATTTTACGTGTCTAATTGAGGATAGCATTTGACCTTATTAACGCGTGACATTTTGATAATAACAGCACTTCATTCAAATGAAACACGTTGTTAGTGCACAAAAAATTATTCACTTGTTTACACACGTCATTTTCAATATTTTTAACTTAAGAAATAAGCAAACGGAAATTTCTTATTTTGAGAAAAGTCCCTATTTTAAGTGCAAATATTTTTTAATATCAGTAACGGACTGTTAACAGTATTTAAGAATTACTATTTGCAATAAGAAAAGTTTTATTAAAAAGTAAGAAAGCAAGTTGCATTTGTTTTCTGTTCTTAAAAGTATAGTTTTGTTTTATGCTTTTTTAATTTCACAATGACATAACACCATTTGAACAAAAATAGATTTTTTTAAATAGAATAGAAAAAACTGAAATCTCTATTCTCATTAAATATTTTTTTCTAAAGAAGATTATGACCTATTTCAAAATTGTTTCACAAATCGGTATAAATAAATCAATGTTGTATACTAAGATTTTATCTTTGCAGGGATGCGTATTATACCTTGAAGCCGCAATGCTCGAGCCAACGTCACAAATCGCAGGAGCCATTGTTATCTTTGACATGGATGGTCTGTCCCTTCAACAAACGATGCAATTCACGCCGCCCTTTGCCAAACGAATCGTCGATTGGTTGCAAGATGCCATGCCCCTTAGAATCAAAAATATCCACATTGTCAACCAACCCTACATCTTCAACATGGTCTTTGCTCTTTTCAAGCCGTTCCTCAGGGAAAAGCTGAAGAACAGAGTAAGTTTCTTTGTAAAACTTTCATTAACTTCAAGTATGCTCTTGCCTGCACAGTAAAAAATCACGAATATGTTAGTGAATGTGTTAGTACACCAATCTTTGCACAATATGTACCTAACTAAAAAATTGTTTTCAGATCGTTTTCCACGGGAAAGATCGCAAATCTTTGCACAAATATATTTCGCCCAAATGCTTGCCAGAATGCTACGGTGGAACTATTTCAATCCCAAGGGTAACTGGCAGCCAGTGGCTTGAACTGCTGATGATGTGTGACAAAGAATACGAAGGTAAATAATTTTATCAAGGAATCAAGTTTTTCCGATCTGTAAAACATTAAGAAAAACTATAATGTGTATATGATAAAAGATATACATAAATCTCTGTATTGAAAAGTTATGAATAAGTATTCGGTTGTTTACATAAATATTGCTCAATTGATAGGCATTTCTATTATAAAATCTAATTACTGTTTACAAATATTTTTCTTAATGTTATACTAGCAATATTTTTATTTTTTAGCATTTTTCGATAAATTTATTGAAATTTATTTACCTATCTCATAATTTTTTTGTCCGTAATAGCAATCAATTCATATGGATACAAGAAGTAGAGCTCGACCGGTGATGTATTTACCGACACGTCAATGGAATCATCTTGTCGTCGTCGATACTCTACGAAAAATGTATTCCCCAGCGTTTTTTAGATCGCAAAACTTGCTGTAAATACGTCTACGTGGTCGTTGATCGGCCGAGTTTACTTAAACAAATCTCGGGACTTCCAAGTTGAGATCTTCAACTTCAGTAATCAAAATTTTGTTAAAATCAACAACACATGAAGTGAATTATCTTTTCTGTTTTAAATACGTAATAGAAATATATATATATAATTAGTTGAATTTTTCTTTTTTTTTAATGATATTGTTAGCGATTATTACTATAGTAATACATGAAGCAAGTTTTAGGATATTCGTGATAGAGCGGAACGGTTATTATTGTTATATATTTTATAATTTTTAATATTGTAAATTAGGTAAGGTTTCATCTTGTAATTACATATAATGATTTTCATGTTTTTTGTACACCTCTTGTAAATGTAGTCCACGGCCCTATATAAAAGCAAATATCAACAAAAATGCAAGTGTATTTTCATCTACAATCTATAAAAAAGCGAGAAAGCAGTGTAATTGAAAATAAAAAATTTTACGTTGGTTTTATAGTATGCGACTTGTGAAAATTGTCATTGTAGCCGTGTAGTGTCGGAAAATGGAGTATTAGAGTGAAAAAAATGAATTCTTCATGTGCGGAGAATCGAGGCAACCCTTAATGTCAATTAAAATGTGAATTAGATCGTGCTGTAATGATATTTATAAATCCACATCTCTCTTTTTTATTACACTATCGAATTTACAATAAATATAAAACACTGATTCGTAAATCATCGCAAGTATTTATTTCGTCCATCCTTAACCCATATAACAAATACATATGTAAATATCACAACGCGCATAATATTCCAATACAAAATTTTAAAGCTACGTAACTATTATTATTCCAATCGCGGACTAATGTTAATCACGTGATTCTAGAATTGCTAACCAACTGAGACTAATGCTGTATTTAAAATTTAATCTTTAAGCGTCATTAATCTGTAAAAATTTTCAAACAAAAAGTATAAAATAGGTATAAGAGTATTTATCTTTCCGACTAACAACATTTATATTTAAAAATTTCTGATCTTCATAATATAACTATCTTAAGAAATCACATTTATCGAAAAAGTACAAAATAGCAAGGTAATAGAGCTTTACAATTAAATTAATTTTCAGCTATAAGTAGTGTCAAACTATTTCAGAATACATTTTAACTATTGATGACATTTTTATTCATTTAAAAAAAAAATAAAATTAAAGAATGTGAACTTCCAAAGATTTAATCTTTGAAAATTAAATTCTGCTTTTTGGTTGATTGTTTCTGGCAATAAATGTTGTAGATTCATCGATTTGCCAAGTATACTTCGTTGACGTATCCGTAAAAATTGGCATTAAAATACATCCAAATTTAATTCAAATTTTCATCAATTCTTCATTATTATAATTCATTTACATATCCGTATCGATTAGCATCTAAAACGGTTTCAAATTTTCAAATATTTTCCAAAAATTATTGATAACGTAACATGTAAAATGAATTATTACCTGTAAAATATTCATCATATGTTAATCCGTACTCATAAAGTGATTCACCGAGTGGCTCAAATTCGAATTCACCACCATACTTTTTAGGACAGACTTTCGGATCAATGTAATCTAATATTGACGGCCTATCAACGCCATGGAAATATATTCTATCTCTAAGTTTTCCCTAAAAAATATTGAAACAACCAATGGTATTATAGTACTGATTTATTCAAAATTAATATTATCAAAATTAATTTTAACTTACATGGATGAACGGTTTAAAGAACGCAAAAACCATATCAAAAAGATACGACTGATTGACAATATGAAAACCTTTTAGACGACAAGTTAGACTTTTCTGCACGAATTCGACGACTGCAGAGGCAAAACTTGGTGAGAAGTAAGTTACATGCGTCAGAGTTAATCCTTCCATGTCCATAATTACTCGCACTCCACCGACCTTAAAAGAAATATTGCATTGAATAAATAAACAGTTTTAAATCAGCTTATAATGTCCTTAATAGTACATTGATATCAAGTGACCATCCTTGAATATTAATCAAATAATAATAAGACACCATTGCTTTTTTATTATATCATCGGGGTAACTTCACATTTACTGCTTTACCTCTCAAAATATATTAATTCATTATCAATAATACTGTAAGAGGTAAACTGCTTTGTATCCAGAAGCTTTATCATGTTTATTTTTTAATATGTTTGCACATTCCCTTTCTGATCTTATATTAAAGAAAATCGTGCGACCGTTGGTATCGAAGTTTTTCATAAAATAGACTATTGAGATGCAAGCACATCCAAAGAAACGGCCTTCGACGATGTGACCGAATCGTGAAAAAACTGTTGGAATAATCAATTATGAAACCTGAGTGATATAGTATTTTCTGGATCTTTCTTTTTATTAAAATTATTTCATTTTTTTGTCATAACTTATATGCTTATTTATTCGACCATGAAAAAGATTTATCATTATAAAAAATCAGGAAAATTTGAAACTGAAAACTTCTTTGATGAATATACATCATATTTTTTATTAAATAAAAAAAGCATCGAATTTTATTATTAGCATAATAAAGAATAGTCAAAAGATTACCTGCGTTTTGGGCTCTGTAATAGCAACTTCGAGGATTAGTATAGCTCCACGAAAGATCTGCTCGAGTGTCACCTCTTTTGGATTCCATTGTTGTCCAGCTTCAATTACTACCACCCTCGCTCCATCAGCGCACCTTCTTGGTAAAGGAGTCAGGATACTTGATTTATAAATTTCTCGCTCATTACTCGGCACTAAATTGTCGTAAAACTCCGGGTGGTTTAGTTTATACTCATAATACCGTTTTATCTACAATCATAACAAATGAGTCAGAATAAATTTTAAGTCTCATTCTTAATAAGAATCAATCAAATGAATGTACGTTGTGTCGTAATTTAGTTTTTGTAGGTGAAAATTATGAAAACTCTAGGTGTTTCATCATCTGATATTGCATATACTCATATCCATGCCAGATCGTATGTCGCTTTAGTGCAAATGAAGTTATTGAAATTTAATAATTACATTGTACAATAATGAATTATTGATGTTGGATAATCACTATTATAAGCTATCCTTGTGCAACTTTTTTCTTGTGGACCACAACTTTATAAACTGCAGCCCGTTAAAGGAGTCATTAAGTTACAAATTTAATTTTTAACAGTTATCAGCTAAAAGATTTTTAGCAGTTCAAAATTTGAATTGTAATAATGAATTGTTTTGTAATAATAAAACGATATTTTTTGAGTGAGGCATACTTAAATGAGAATTAATTTCTTCATGAAAATAAATCTTTTAATTTATTCTTGTAAACTTTTAAAGTTATTTTTATTGTTGAATATTTTTTAATAAAGTTAAAAACCTGTAACATTATTCAATAACGGAACTAATTACACTGTTGCATTAGTAAACAACTTATTATAGCTCATGCCTATGGATCATTTGTATTTATTCGCGATTAGATAATTTTAATTTTTTTACATTTATACTTCAATTATTTAAATAAAATAGATTACACTCACCAACTTAAATGCACTCTTTGGATACCACTTACATGGTCGAAGAAATCTTTGCAAAAACCACTCTTCTAAAGGTACAAATAGGTTTTCTTCCTCTGTAAAATTAAAGAATAATCATTGTATCCCATTTTATTAGCTTTTCAAAATTACTTTTGCTATTCGACGCTTTTCAAACGAAAATAGAAATTAGTAGTGAAAATAATTTTTCAAATTGTCAAGGAAAACAAGTGCGATTACAGTGTCTATACTGTCTATATATTTCCATCAATGCAATGACTCAGGACAATTTTACTTTATAATTTTACAAGCTTGTTCGGTTTTAATGACTCATGGTACTTTTTGTAACTCAAAGTGACAAGGTTAGCAAAAAGCATATCTTGTACTCAGCGCATTGATCTCTAACGTGAAAAAGCCTTTCATAACTAAAGCATATCTACATTGTAAAATAAATAAGGACTATCAGATTTGACTTTAGGGTAATTTTTACACAAGAATAAAATTGTTGGTTTTGAATAAAGAGCAAATACATGTTCAATTCTATATTATTTCCATGTAAAACAATTATATAAGTTGAGTATCCCAAGGCACTGCTTTTACTGAACGAGTAATCGGATGAAAAAATCTGTCTGAATTCATAGTTCGTAAGGGACATTAACTATAACCATTTTTTAGACGGTAAATAAGTGATCGATACATCATGTGTGTGTGTGTGTCTGTCTGTGTGTGTGTGTGTGTCTGTCTGTGTGTGTGTGTGTGTGTGTGTGTGTGTGTGTGTGTGTGTGTGTGTGTGTGTGTGTGTGTGTGTGTGTGTGTGTGTGTGTGTGTAGGTTTAAAAATGATAGGTCTGCCGTATTTTTAGGAAATTACTTGAGCTAAAAAATTGTACAATGATGACATCAAAGGGAAGGAAAATATTTGGACATCAGTGTGCATGAGCTTATTTGTGATTTATTTACTTATTAAATTAAGATTATTAGAATAAATTTAGTGGTATAAAATAGAAAAAATGGATTTTTATGATTTTCATATACAACTTTGAAGGTTTGCTATTCAGTTCGAAATAAATTAAGGTGTTTAAAAACAAAATTAGATAGATACAATAAACATTAAAGAATGTATAGCCGTGCTAATGTTTTAAAAATTTAGAAAATAATATTAACAATCTTAAAGAAACTGGGAAAAGTCGAATATAAACTATGAAAAGTCACGCAGACGCGAAATTTAACTTAAAAAATCATTGAAAAATCATTTTTCTTTAATTGTATGAAAAAAATTTGAATTTGTTCATTCTCAAGCAACAGAGATAAAAAAGTTTCATAAACTTTTATTTTAAATGTCCGTGTTACTATGCATAAACAGTCATATAAACTCCCTTAAGTTAAAGTGTGTTTCGCATTTTGTGAAATTCTTTATTAATTTTTATTTATTCAAAGTCTATTCATTTTGAGTTTGAAAACGAAATTTCAATGCAAAAAATGGAAACATTTTTAATAGTTTTCTTATTACATTTATGTCTCAACAAAGGAAAATAAAATTAAGATGAAATAAGTAAAAAAAAGGATGAAATTTTTTTCATTCAAATTTCGTTAAGCTCAAAATCAACAAATTTTGAATAAATGAAAATGATTTGAGAATTTTGCATAATCCTTAAGCTTACATTTTGACTTATGAGAGTTTATATAAATTGTATTTATACATAATAGCATGGATGCACTAAATAAAATTTCATCAATCTTTTGATCCTTGTTGCTTGAAAATTAATAAATTTAAATAATATTTTTTGTACAATAAGGGAAAAGTGATATTTTATGATGTTGAAAGCCAAGTTTCGTTTGTGTACGACTTTTTATAGTTTATATCCAGCTTTTTAAGATTGTTAATACTATTTTCGCAATTTTAAAAAAATTAGCAGGTCTGTGTTCTTCAATGTTCAACGTATCTACATAGTTTTTTTTTAAAGTAATTAATTTATTTTTGACTAAGTAACAATCCTTAAAATTTCTTCTAATAATCTTAATAAGTCGCAAGCAATCTCATACATGCTGATATCATAACACTTTCCTTTGACGTCATGCAAATCCCACCATTGTACAATTTTTTTGGTCAAATTATCCACTAAATATACGTTGAACCTATCATTTTTAAACCGGTAGTAATCGTGAATCAAAACTTGTCAGAGATGCTAAACAAGCTACGTCAGCAAGCATCTTTAATAGAAAAACTGAAATTATTTTTAATTATGTGTCGAATCCACATTTTTTTATAGCCATTGAAAAATTTTAGTATCAGTCTCTCAATTATACCATTTGCTTTTTGATTACCTATTTGCAAAATTCATATTAAAGAAGCTTGGTTCATAAATCATCGAATGTAACATAATGAACCAAATACAACTTTACACGTCTATACATATGCTCAATAATTTTTATACCTAATAATGAGACTGCATGAGCGTAATGTCCAATTCCGGGAGGTGTGCCACATACAGAGTATCAATCTAAGCCAATATAATACGATCGATTGCATGAAAAAGTTTTCCATTTAGAGACTTTTTCTAAAACTGTAGCAATTAATACTGGGATCTTGTAAGCGAAAACGTCATAAAATGTATACTTATTATTATCGAATGCTTATAATTTTGGTCGAGTAGAATGAGAGCAACTGAATTAATAAATCTTATTAACACAATCATTGAGGTCATGTCAAATGTTACATTGCACACACTCTCATTTGTACTCTACTCACATTCTAACGATGAGGTAAGCATGTACAACCTTACTCATTAATTTACATTATTAATTTTCACACAAATCTAACCGAAAAGCATTAGTTCCGAAATTATAATTTGCAAATTTCAATTAAGAAATAACAGAGGGAAAGAAGAGAAAGGCAATACAACTAACCTGCCAGCATATCGCACAAGAGCTTGATTGATTCTTGTACGACTTCGGGTGTTTCGCGCAATTCCCGTTCGGCTTTGTCTCGATGGAAATCATCGAACTCGTCGGGCCTCACTGCCAATTCCGAATCACCAATCATATAATGCACAGCCTTCAACTTTTTGGTCAGAATTTCTATAGGGTTGCTCATTTTCAGGCTGTCGCTTTCGTTTGAAAGGTGCCCCAAATAAAGTCTATAAAGAACTCAAAAAACACATCGTGAAAAAATAATATTGCAGAACATTTTAAAGAATAATTGCTATAGGCACATCTATATATATATAGTACTATTATATTTAAGTTGTTTTATTAAGGTAAAAACATTTTACTCAATATCAAACAATTTTTGTTGTAATAAATTCTACAAAATCTCATATAAATTATGAGCAGCTGTCTATCAATAAAAAATACTTCTAATAGATTCAATTGCGAAATGTTTCTCTATTAAATTATATATTTATATATTACATTTTTTATAAGAACTGTATAATTTTATAATATAGCATTTAATATCTCTAAAATTATTGATTTGCATTATGATTTTACTAACTTATCATAAATATTAACTTTTCAAATTAACACAATGTATCTGGGATATTTGCCGAAATCTCGAATTTTCAACATTTTACTTAGTATACTGCATATCGTCCATGTTAGTACACCTTTCATCAACTTACAACACATGTAATTTTTCCATTATTATAGCAAAATAATTGAATAAAAATTTAAATATTACATAAAAACGACACAAAATCTAGATTAATCATTTTCTTTGAAAATTTTCGTAACTTTAATATTTTTTTCCTTTACACAACTAACAAGAAATGTTGATATGTAAGTTGAGAAATATATCATTAATGATTATCGTAGCAATAAAATTTGCTCAAAACACAGCATGAAATAGTTTATTAGGTTATTGGATGTTCGTAAAAAAGTTTTCTATATACTTATATTGCTATTAGATTTACTTACAATATGTAATATGTCATTACACTATCCAATTATTTGCACAAGAACTGTTCCATATAATCATTGATTTCACAATTGAAATAACAAATATATTTTTCTCTCGGTTAAAAAAATTATAAATAGAATATTTGCGACTTGTTAAATAACGATGAGTCAGATTGCTGCTGCTTAATAAAAGAACGTTATTATTTTCAACAACTGTTTTTATGTAATCTTAATGATCCCAGCTTAGTACACGCTTTATTCACTGTCAATAGTAAATCACAATCACACAAATTTTACGTACTGGACTTCAGTGACGTAAATTTTTTCAAAATTATTTTTCAATATGAAATATATCGATTGATTTGTAATTTTTCCAAAACATATCTACATATTTTGTATATAGATATAACTTTATCGAGTGAATTATTATCAGAGACTTTCATGAGCGATAAGAGTAAAGCACGAATAAAATTTGGTCTTCAACATATAACTATAATTTTTGTAGTTGCATGCTAATATTTCAATATGAAAAAATAAAGTAAGAATAGACGTAATGCCATTATAATATTGCAATGAAAAGCGCATTAATAAATCCATTTGGGTTATAAACTTACAAATAATAAAAGAAAAAAATCGTAAACTCGTGTATTAACAGAACACGACTGTAGATAGTCTCTACAAGATTTGATCGTTTTCCAAATGCAAACTTGATTGCAAAACGGACTAAGCAATACTTGTCAGTATCAACTACACCAAGCCTTATAATTACCCTTTCGAAAATCAAGTGCTCGTTTGCTCAATCTGACGTTGCTAACCGACAAGAAATATTAATATCTCGCCAAGATATCCTCGAAAAGCATAAGATGAAGAAAAAGTACCTCCAGCGCAAAAGGAAAGCAAGCAGTTTTTTGAAGAAAAAAAAAATTTGGTCAGTAAACAGGCGACGACGGCGATCCGAGTGGCTGAATGTCTCGTGGCGGACTGAGCGAGAGATGCAGGAAGGCGATTAAAGTTGCGGCGGCGGTGCAGAGAGCGAGAGCGCGCGCCACCGATATTACGCGCCGCGTTGTCTGCCGCCGCGCTACCGCTGCACGCGATATAGACCAAATTACAATGCAACCGCGTCCGTTCGTTCGTCTCGCTTTCGCCGCGAATGAAGAAATTGAATGAGACGCCGGTCGCGCGGGATACAAAATTAACAGCGCAAAGTGTAACCTGCAGTAGCCGCATTTTTTCAAAGTAACAGAGCGTGTGGACCCACGCACGAGTGTGAGCGAGAAGTGTCCCCGTTATCACTGCGTTATACATTTCGATTTCGCTCTCGTACATGTAGCTACGGGTTATTCAACTCTTGTGGCTACTTACAAATATAGCCCCCTCCTCTCGCCCTCCCTCTTCGATACATACTGTAATTATACGGGAAAAGTGCACCAATACGCTTATTATCAATTCTTTCAAACTTGGCGTGAGGCACGAAAAGAGCTACCCAAGCTTTACGAAAATCCTATAGATTATACTTTCAATTTTGAACGAGTTCCTTACGCTGTACCACTTAATTTACATCACAATCTAATGTTACTGAAATCTCATTCACGTGCTATATATGCGATATTATTTCCTTTCAGAGCCTTTCTTTTCTAAGTAGTCGCCCATAAACAATCACAATGGGCCTAGAATCTAGAACGCTTTTTGCGCGTATAATTCATAGTTACTCTCGAGGAAATGGGATTGAAAAATGGTTTGACTGCTAGACAAAGAAATATACCTTGAAATTTAGAAAGATGAGTGTGTGGTATATGCATGGAAAAAATTGTTTCCAGGCAAACATCACCAATATTGTCCTTCGAAAATATTACGATTCACTGAATTATTCAACATTTAGTGATAGCGATGGCATGCCATTTTCACACTCCACGGGAATCATCTGGTTCGATTGAGATTCATAAGAGGCGAGTATTATTCCAAATTACTGGTCAATGAGCGTGAAAGAGCGATATGAGGAAACTTGGTCGGCTCTATAGATTGCAAACAAGCTGATATCCTTGCGATAGACGTCCTACTAAAAATGACGTGAAAGATTGCATCTGATGAAAATCAGAAGCAAAGAGTGCTCACCGTTACTATAAGCCATATTTCACAAAGATTTACGCTGATTCATTTGAGGTTCAGAGTCCTTTATATTGACATTGCGTCTTTGCACAGACGAAACCGGTTGATCTCGTCTGTAAATAAAAGATATCTCTCGGCTTTGTTTTGTTCCCGATGGAAGACTAAGCGTTGACGAATGCTATAAAACAAGATTCTTTGAAATTCGACTTTGTTATGCAAATATATTTTTCAAAAGAAATAGTTACATACTACTTACTCATAAAATTAAATTGGTTTGTGTTTGGATGTCAACCATGAAATATTGGCGATGCGAATATCTAATTATCATTTGTCACTTAATTTAAATTTACCTATTAAAAGATAAGTATTATATTAATTATATATGTTTGACAAAAATGCAGCGATTGAAAAGAATTTATCAAACCTCGTGCAAGACAACTATCCGTTTCATAATATACTGCAGAATTATTAATGAAATTACTCATACGTGCTCAACGTTAAAAATGAGAGCTTCATGCGAATTTGCAATTGCACAAAAACGAAACGGAAATTTTTTTGTTTTTAGTTCACTTACCAGTTTCAATTGAAGATTACCTTGCGAACTGATACACTTAAATGCGGCAACGTGCAAGGCGACTCCAATTTGGCTAGGCGTACTTTTCCTTACTTTCACAGTACTTTCTATCGAACACTCCGACTATAGATGATATTTTGAATTACTGTCAATTTTTATTACAGACTAAAAATGATTCGTCTTGACATTTTATATCAGTTCAAGTGTCAAAATACTTAATCACTTTTTCCTTTTTTACATTCTGGAATGCTCAGTCAATAATATTTTATCAATAATAACACTAAAAAAATAAGCTAGCGATCATTAAAGAATATTTATCCGGAACTTAATTTGGATTGTGCAGTAAAGATTTTGGTTTTGACTGGATTTGATAAGAATTTGCTTACGGTAAAATTCTAGAACTATATATTTAAATGAAAAATTCTTAAGATTTCGAGTTGAAAAATTCTATATTTCCTCTCGTCATTGTTAAAAAGGTTAATAATAAAAATATCTCACCGATAAGATCATTTTCACTATGGATATGGCAATGTAGTAAAAAATTCTTTTTTAAAATGGCATGCAGATGTAGAAATTATAATACCTATGTATTTCGATTTGAAAAAAATGCATGGTACGAGTAATGAACTACGAGAATTCAGTATTGCAAATTACATTTGCATGGGAACACTATTAAAAAATGCTAAACCAATTATTTAAGAACTACACGCACGAGCGTGAGTGTGCGTGTGTGTCTGCCCGTGCGCGCAATAGGAATAGTAGCAATAAATAGCATTAGTATTGATTTAAGATTTCAACAAATATAATGTTACTCGACTGTAACTATAAAGTTGGAGATTGAGGTTGGCAAGTTTATACTAAGAAAATTGTAAATTGATAGACGAACAATAGAAAAATTTAGATTACGAAAAATTATTACAATTCAAATATTGCGCGTTCTTAATGTACGTGTCAATTTTACATTTATATAATTGTAATGAGTCACCATATCAAATCATCCTGATAAATGCTACACGTAATTAGATTGGAGAATATTATTTGTAGGTTCCAAATAAATTGGCAATATTATGAAGTTAAAAGAATTATCTAAGACAACTTACGAGAATAAATGTTATAAAAATTTTTAAAACAATATATTTTTCATAAGTTTCGGCCATTGGAATAATATATCATTATAAAATTGATTGAAAAAAAAATTACTTGAAAATGGCACCGAACTACGCTACTCAACTTTTTGATTTTAATTCGTTCTGGAACGATTCCTGTGCGACGGCGGGCCGAATACTCTAATTGTAAAACTTTTTTTTTTATTTCATAGAATTAAAACCAAGAACGGAATGAGAACCTTTGCTCGTGTGACTAAGTTGAGTGTTACAGCAAAAATTTTCCTTTATGGTTTGCAAGTGGCAATAAAATCTATACCGAACTTAGTACTGGTTTAGGCACCCGCTTTTTATATTCCTTCGCCCGTCGCTCTCTTTCGCTCGCATGCAAAGAGCACGCAGCCTCCGAGCACGTGTCTGATAAGCGTACACATATCGATAAGAGGAGAGGGGCATAAAATTGTGACTACATCCTTCCTCTACTTTTCCTAACGAATTTTTCTTCTTTGAAGATACTCAAAAATTTATCATTAGAAAGAAATAAAAATCAAAAATTGTCCGAATTCAAATATTTAAATTACACATTATGTAGCAAATAATCAGGGCTCCTTAAAACCTCTCATCGAATTCTCGCTCCGGAACTTGGTTTAGCCAGAAAACAACGAAGAAAAAACGAAATTTTTTATTTTAATGGGGATTTCTGCGATTTAATGGATTAATATCTTAAGAAATATAGTTTCCGTTTAAATTCAATTTAATTAAAACAATATGATCAATAAATAGTCAAATTTCACGTTTAAGATAACAATAGCTTATAGTAAAGATTTGTAACGAAGCTTGTGAGCTTGCAAACTGCTCCCTTCATCTTTGTATAAACAATTACTTATTAAGTGTATTTACGATCGAGAGTCAAATGTAAGTTAACTGATGAATACTGCGTAGATTCCGAGAGAGGTAACTCTTTTTGGAAACGATTACCCCAAGACTTGTGCAATTTTTACCGTTATGGCAAACTGTATGAGGGCATGGCCAATAAGATTACGGACGAAAATGGAAAAATTGTTTATCCCCTTACTACCGAGAATATTACTTTTGCTTTAGTAGTCAAAGGTAAACGATATATTTGTGGATATGAGCTACAAGAGACCAAACATCCTAAATATTTTATTTTCGAGACGAATTACCAGTAATCAGGGAGTAACACTTACCAATTTTGATATATTTGCATACACTAATTCTAAGTTTGTTTTTGTAGAGCGTTATATTAAAACGCAAATTAATAACTTATACTGTGATATATTCATGCACCGTTGTAGACAGGAACAAAAAGTTTTGATGAATTCTCTTACTATTGCTAGTTTGTCTTTTGACCAGTTCGTTCACAATCTTATGAAGGAACCGGGTTATATGGCTGTACTTGCTGGTGAGATGGTACATATTGTTAAATGCCTTCCCGTGGATGTCAAAATTGCTGGTAAAGTTGAATGTTACCTTCAGATTACGGTGCCGATTGCAACGCATTATTACCGACCTATTTCTACGTTAATAATGATTGGTTCAAATTCTTACCCCAGGTCGTGGAAGTAAAGGCCCCAACAACTCTGTAACCATTCTCACAGATGACTTGAAAGTATCAGGATATTGCGACCCTTACCACTAGTGGAATTTACACAACAGAAGATTTCGAGGAATTACTGAACAGAATTATGTTTCTTGTTGAACAACCGGCGGTAATCAACGATGTCGCAAGGGAAATACGAGGTCGTGTCGGAAAGGACAGCGATGATACCATTAGTCGCCAACTAATCTAAAATACCTTGGAATGACTGATGGAGAATGCCTGGAACAAAATGTAGACTAAGAATTCATGACCTTCGGAAATTTCAGTATTGGATTGATAACCGTATTAATCAAAAAGGCTATCGAAGTATTCACTGAAACAGCACAATGAAATCGTCATATCACCTGATCGGCATTGTTTGGAACAGCCTAATTGCTTTCCTCATCTCAAATCAAGGACTAAAAATAGGGTTGATCCTGACGTAGAGTACCGCTTAAACAAACAAAGTTGCCTAAAAGCTGGGAATAAGTATGAGATACACCAAAGAGAGAAATGTGAACCAAATAAGGCGGTAGCGAAAGAAGTACCAAATATCAATTCATCTTACTTCCTGGTTAAGATTGTGGGTTAAAATGTTAAGATTAAAAAATAAGTAAGTCGAGCAAAGAAAAAAAATTAAAAATTTTCTTCATAAATTTTAGGAACTGAGTTAGGGCCCGGAAACCAAACGAGGGAAAATCTAAAGAGCTTGGCAAACCAATTAGCAGGCGATTTCCCGCTCCACTTTTCTCAAAAATGAGGGGACGAGAGAGGGACTCGCCTCCCAACCACCCCAGGATATAAAAAGGGCCATATGATATTAGACAACGGAGCTAGAGTAGCTACCAAGAATTACTCAAGAGAACAAAGAAGCCGCCAAGAAACAAATGACGAGCTGAAAAACGAGACGTGAGTACCAACCAGAGTGTTAGATCGTACCCAAAGGAAAATAAAAGAAAGTAGTAAACTAAAGAAATCTATTTAGTTTCTCTCTCTGTCTTTTTCTACCTCTTACAATTAGCTCACGAATCTCTAAAAAAAATCCTTTTCCTTGGTATCTAAAGACTACTATTGATAGGCTCTAGATATGATCCTGAAGAGAAACCGGGTTCTACTATAGCTGGACCCTGGGTACTTCTCGTCTTTGGATTACTACGATCGATTGGAATCTAAAAGGCAAAAGTATAAGGAATAATGGCCTACTGGAAAGGCCACTGAAAAAGCCTCTGGAAAAGCCATTGGAAAATTCTCTGGAAAGACTCTGAAAATAACTCTGAAAGACACTGGAAATAACTCTGAAAACTCTCTTAGTTTGATAGCAAGCACTGGTAGTTAGTAAGGTGAACCTCTATCCCTGGTAGAAGGATAGAAGGCTTCAGATAGATCTGAAGCTGGTTGAGCTACTCGAATTAATGGTCTAAATGATCCGGAGCATTGATTTTTATACTTTTGCTCAGAGCGCTCTCTTCCACTGTGTCATATTTTGGGAGAAGAGACAAGATGATCCATAAAGAGTAGCCCTCTGGTGAGTTCTGAGATCAGTTCTAGGTGAATTTGTAACATCAGAGAAGATTTGATTCCAGTTGCTACTTGTAGTCCAAAATATAAAACAAGTATAATCAACAATCGTATTGTAAGTTAACAAGAAGCAAGACTCGACCTGTCGTTGTAGATCGGCGAGATAGAAGACGAGGCCAAACATTTACTTTTAATATTTGTAAAGCCTCGACGTCACAACTGTTTACCATAGATTCATTGATTTGAGCGAAAAAAAAGCCACCCATACAAAAATCCGATATTGAGGGGAAAATTTGGAAATGTAGTCCGAGGCCTGAACAGTTGGTATGCTGTATAGAGGTCAATATATGTGCAGTTTCAAACCAAAATGTTAATAAGGGGCTGATTTATCAATTGTTGAAAAAAAATAGGATTGTTTGTTTTAATTTGATTTCTCAGAAAATAATAAAGATTCAAACTATTCACAGTCCTTTGAGAGATAAATTAATATGTGTGTAGAATGAATACAGAAGTATAAGGATGGATGATATCGTTTAGGATCTGTAAGATAATACAATTTGATTTACTAATAAAAAAATAATATTTATTTATTATTTAATGGCTCGACTCTCAGAAATAAAGACAAAAAGTAACATAAAGAACACGAGTCATGCGTTGGGAAAAAACCCTTTGTCTCAGAATTAAACATTTAAATTACATGTAACAAACTTAAATTAAACGTAACACAAATAAATGATAATTAAGATAATTACATACATGCTTGTAACACGCGTGCAAATGTTGAATGTTCGAAGCGCACACCGCTAGAATGAGAACTTTCTCACCATACCTTATTGCATCCGCAATAGTCGAGAAGACGCTTTCACAAAGTACGCACCGGTATGCCGACGTCTTGGCAACAGAATTAGGTTTCCCACTAGAGGAACGAGGAAAAGCTACTCAGTGATGTAGCTACTGATAGTAGAGCACTTCAGGATGTACTAGGAGCCACTACAGCGTTGGCTCGGCAAAGTGGCATCCCACGAGTTCATCAGTATCGAGACCTCGTTCTGACTACTGAAGAGCAGACTCGGAAAAATGGCTCAGGATATCGCACAAAACACAGACGCACAGGAGTTGCCATAATACTTCGGTATTATAATCCGCTCACGATGGCTCGTGGATCGAGGAGAGCAAGAGACTCAGTAATACCGTGGACGTTAGTTCAACACCACTCTCGTTCTCCTAACATACGCGCATGCGCAATGCTCGAAGCCTCTGATCCCCTCAAAGAAACGTACTTATTATTTATATTTTGAAAGTAAATTTTTCCGCGTCTTTTAAAAAATATCTTTATTAGTCTCTGAGAAATCAAATTAAAAAAAAAATTCCATATTTTTTCAACTTTTTTTATGTTGATAAATCAGCCCCTTATCAACATTTTAGTTTAAAGCGGTGCACACGTTTATTTATATACAGTATACGAACTCTGAACAAAATTGGTGATTTTGATGTTACGGGTTATATGAAACAGTCAAAAATAACCTAAAAATAGTATTTATCTTAATTCCATCCATGATAATCATCATAGAATGAAATAGTATTTGCAATGGATGATTTCGATCGAATCGGAAAAAAAATCAGATTATTCCATTTACCCTGTTCATTTTTATAAAATGAATTATTACGAATATTAAATAAAACTTTCTCGATATTTCTTCATTATAATAATCACCATTATTATTGCTTTGTTCAATATTCTTTGTAGATCTTGTGAATAATGCTTGAACTAAAAATTATATTTTTATGAAAATTTTCTTACATAAAATTTTATATTGGAAATATATGTCGAAATACAATTTTTTCAATATTGTTATCAACATATAAGTTTTGCTTCACACATTTCAATTGAAATTTTTTCAAGTCATCAAGATTATGTGTGTGTATGTGTGTATGTTTTTATAGATACACAAACAATTTAATAATAATTGAATGGAATGATAATATATAAAAACATTTAATTTAATTTAAAAACTTTCTACCATATTTATAAAGTAATTTTCAAAATATACTTTCGATTCTAAATAGTCATTAACTTTTTAATTTAACCAATTAAAACATCGTTGTCTCTCTTCTTCCATAATATTTTCATTATTTAATCACTGATTAAATTAATGTTTAGCTAGAAATACGATAAAATTTAATATCTAGAAATCAGGAAATATTGGGTTATTAGGTTATTATATTAGTGCTCTAATAGTCTACGAATAATATAACATTCATTCATTGGTTAGAAATAAAGATATCTGTAGTAAATGAGAGCAATGCAGATTTCATTCTATAACAGACAATAGAATTAAATATTAAAAAAAAACTTTTTATTAACTCTTGACTGGTGGTAAAAAATAATTAATTATTAGAAGTTACTTCTAGAAAAAGTGCAGTAGGAAGCTAATTAAAAACTAAAGATACTCAATATGTGATTTTTCATGAAGCAAATAAATTACTTCCTGAGCCAGTTCTCTTCCAGTATTACCTTAATATTATTTCAAAATACGAAATTATCGCAATAAAAAAGATGTATAAATAGATGTCGGTAAAAGAATTTTTATTTTTTGTTATTCAAAAATACAAAAAAATGTATTCTAGGACAAATACATGTATAAATTTGTTTAAAAACTGAATCCAGATAAATGCTCTTTTCATAACATAAAGTGTCTTTCCGTCAAAAAAGTACATATATTATAAAATATAACAGTTAAATCAAATGGTAAACGTTGAATGCAGCGTATATTTAATGAAAAAGTAATGACTAATCGTAAATACCAAACATCTATGTTTCGTTCAAGCAATCAAATTCTTTCATTCATTCTGATTGTATAGATATCATTTAATAGCATTTATGTAAAAATTGCCGTAAAATTACTAATATAGTAATATCGCAACTGGAGTAAGTTTCTACAGCTCGAGAGTGACTATAAACACGTAAGCTGAGCTGTTAGCAATTATTGTTGAACAAATTCCTTATACTATTTCGAGATTATATCTCATAACGTGAAGGGGTTATGCGTGTGTAAAGTAGGAAATTATTAAGTTGGCAAGTATGTTATTCAATTATTCCTAAATGAAACTTACGAAGTTTACAGTATAAAATGTAATAAGTCATATGTTACACAGGCAATAATTCTCGCTGTTATAAGATACAATCACGAGCACCGATAATAACATTTTGATCAACAATTTCAATTACAATTTAGATGAAAACATTATGTAGAAGTAAATACACTTTAACACTTCAATGAACCGATGGAAATACGTAAATCAAAAGATCTTCTTTACGACTTGTTGATGTAGCCATGTTTTGTTGACACTGAAATAAAGAAATCAATAACGATAAGATATGCGTGTATTTTGTATCAGATAAATGGAAATATATAGAGATCTACCATTAAAATCATCTTCAAACGTTGACAAGAACTTGATGAAAGGCTCGCCCAAGGGTTCATTAGGGAATTCCAATTCTCCGCCATACCTCTCGGGCAAGCACGCGGCATCAATGAATTTCTTCAATGAATTCCTATCAGTACCGTGGAAATGTATCCTTTTCCTGAGTTTTTCCTGTTTAAATAATAAAGTATTCATAATCAAATTCTAATGAAATAAGCTTACATATTTATTTTGTTTTAAAAAGTAAACCTACCTGTAAGAAAGGTTTGAAGAAGGCGAAAACCATATTGAAGATGAAAGGTTGATTGATAATATGGACGCCTTTAAGGCGGCAAGGCAAACACCTCTGTACAAAGTCAACCACTGCTGCAGCGAAGCTTGGAGTAAAGTAAGTTACGTGTGTCAATGTCAAACCATCCATGTCAATGAGAACTCGTACTCCAGCCACCTTTAAGATAATTTACATTTTTTATAACGAGTCTCATGCATAAATCGTAATTTAATAAATAAGTAGATAGTTACGAGTCTAGAAATTACGTAAGAATAACTAACCTAATTACTTAGAATTTAATAAAATAACATTGGTCTAGGAAGAAAATGTTTGTAACAAAGTATTTTACCTGCGATATAGGTTCAGCCATAGCTGCTTCAAGGAACAGAATGACACCACGGAACATTTGATCCAGTGAAAGTTCCTTGGGTTTCCATTTCCGTCCACCTTCAATGAGGATAACGCGGACACCATCATCACAACGTTTAGGGAAAGGCGTAAGAGTTCCAGACATTAGAACTGCATGTTCATTGCTAGGTTGCAAGTTGGCGCAATAGCGTGGATGATTTGCACGATATTTGTAAAAGCGTTTCATCTACAAAAAAGGACACGTAGTCAATGATGTTACTTTTGAATAATTGAATAAAAAATGTTGACTGCTCTATATGTCACGTTTGTTATTGCAATTTTTACGATTTCTTATCAACGACAAAAAACTCTAGAAACGAATTCTTTTCCGGAATTCTCTTATCAATTTTCAGATAGTGATAATGATGATAATAATTATCCAACGTACCATGATCGTTGCGATTATAACTTTAGCGTACAGTAATCAGATTTAAAAAAAACCGATATGTTTTCACGTATGAAAACTTTGTCGTTTGACTATGATACTTACCAGCTCGAAGGCACTGTCTGGGTACCATTTGCATGGCCGAAGGAACTTTTGCAGATGTTCTTGGTCAGTAGGTACTTTTAAGTCTGGTTCGCCTGCAGTGTAACAATTTGTGATTAAAATCTTTTACTTTTACATTAATTTCTTGCTTGTTCTTTATTGAAGAGTTATGCTAAGAGAATTCTGTAATGTTTCTTTGTTTTAAAAAGAAATTATACAATTTCCGAGCTATGACTAAAAAACTCAAAAGAGATTTGATACATTTTGGAATATTGCGAAGCTTTTAAAAGTTAATTACTTGCTCTTTGAATAGAAATGAAAGAATAGAGAAGTGATTTATAAAAAAACAGGATTGGAAGCAGAAAATTACTGTCCGTATTTTTTGTTGCTTTTGAAAGATTTTATTTAAAAAATATTCAGATAAATGAGCGAATGAAAATTGTATCACGGGAGTTTTTTTGTTCTAGCTTCACGTGGCGCTAAAACACGTATTCTAAAATTGCATCACATTGAGCGTTTCTGTTTCTTATGAGTGACTTGCTTTTTAGAATCGTTTTCCTAAACCTGCTTTCAAAACTCTTTCAATAGCTTTTCAACCTTAGAATTAACCACGTGAGAGTTATTTGCATGCAAAATACTGCTTGAAGTAATTAGTTAGCATGCAAATCGTTTCTTTCAATGTCAGCAGAATAAAATAATGTGAAAGAATGGCTTATAGCTTATACAAACTACAATACAGGCCATTTCCAATTCGACTCGATTATAAAAATAATTGGCGAGCATCCGTTTTTTTATCGACTACAAATCTGCAGTAAACATTTAGAACACAATCGAACATTTCCCCTCTCATTTTCCACCTCTTTTTTCCTTGTTGAGCTACAGAGCTGCCGTGCATTACATTATTACTGTCCTCTTCCGTTACTGCGGACATTCGGTCAACTTTCAATGTTGCATCTCAAAATACTCTGTGCTACTATGACGAATTCAATACCGGGGCCAAAGAGCTAAGGAAGTATTTGACTTTCTAAATTGAATTTCAAGTTAATCTACTCTTCGATTTTTTTTCCTCGGCAAAATAAGACAATTAATTAGTTAAAATGCGGGAAAATTCGATTCTATTGTTCGACTATGTTATGCAATAAGACTTTCTAGCAGCTAATTTTTAGAAATCCAGAAAAGTTAATGAAAAAATTCCTCTGCTGCAATTTCACTGACTATTCATACGTGAAAGATTCTTTTCAAAACATGGACTTTTATGCGAAGACCATGTAAGCACTATGTGTGTCAGAGCTTGTAATAAAAAAACTTTCTTTACAATGAGGCAATCATCTGGTAAAGTATGATGATTTTTAAGTAAATCTATTAACGATTATGAGATTGATTTTAATTGTCAATAAACTGAATGATAATTTTTTAGATCGAGCTTCTATTTTATTATTAATTCTGATATTTAATAAACATCCGTTAATTGGAATAATAAACACCGTTGATTATAAATAATTTTCGATATGAATCTTTGTTTCCGTTGAACTACGATGAAGAAAATACTGTCGTCAGCAATCTTTTACAAAAAGTATATATTTACTTTTTACATGGCACGCAAATAAAAACCAAGTTTTACTTTCGTTTGAACCGGTCTTTCAATTGTAGGTCGCTAGGTAAAGCGACGTTTGTCTGGGAGATTTCAAACAAGACAATGAGCAGTATTTAAATGTAGAAGATTCTATGAGTTAATGGACCATTAAAATTGTATCTATCCTTCAGTTAGGTAAGTGGCAAATCATTGTCATATCACATAAAGATCAAAAAAATTATGTAACAATGTATTATACCTTGAAAAGTTGCCGATTCAAATTTTTTCTTCCCGGTATAAGAATTATTTAATAATATTAAAAATTATTTTAGGAAAATAGAAAAGAAATTCTAAAAAAACAGACGTTCAAAAGTATTTTATAAGTAAACATAGAACTACTAGTGACACTTGATTTTTATTAATTTATTTTAATATATGTAGGTACCTTATATAAAATAACTTTACATTATTTCAATGAACATATATTTTATTTTATTATTAAAAGAAAACGCTTAAATCTAATATAATTGTCTAATCAATCTAATGAATAATTAAAAATCTAAATATAATTATTTAATAAAAAAAGTCATACTATGCTACACAACATTTTTGAAATTGAAAATTCAAGTATTAAAATCCAAAGACGGATGCGCAATCAGAATCTTCACGATATTCATTAGCTCGATAATGTAATCATAAATGCCAATGTCACAGAATTAACGTGCACTGATTGCAAGCATAACTACTCGCTAACAACGCTGTTTGATATTCTGAAAAAAAGGAATAAAATGACTATAATTATTCTGAGGATTACCTTTGATATGTTCGCGCAAAATTTTAAGCGCTTCTTCGATATTTTCAGGTGTTTCGCGTAATTCTTTGGCAGCCCTCGCTTGCATTTCAGAACTAAGTTCGTCAGGATCGAATTTGAATTCGATTTTACCAATATAAAACTTAGGTGCGTGTTTCAGCTTATCCTTTAATGATAACTGCTCGGTGGCTGTTATTAGTGCATCCTGGTTCACTGACATTTTTGCTTTGTTTATTGGATTGCTTTTTCAAAACTGAAATTTTAAAGGAAGATAAGTAAGCCAATTCTGGAATGAACGTGATATTTTTTAAAACGAATAATACGTCATGAATATAAGTTGATACAAATGAAATTTCAAGTTTCCCGCTTTCACGAAAGTTTACAAAATATTTTTTATCCAAAAATATCATTTTTTCGTGAAACTCTTTCTACTTATAGTAAGAAACAAAAGTTTTTGTGGTTTTGGAGTTACGATGTAATTTTATCTTTCTCAATCTTTATGTAGACAAGTATGTTGTGAAAATTACAGTTCACCGACTGGCTGTTTGTGAAATTGTAGTAAAACCAGAAAGTGAACTCTTCACCTTCAACTTGCCACATATACCAACTAGATACTCGAATTTCGCAAACGTTGTTTCATTTCTTTTCGTTTTCTTTCTACATGTTTTCTCGGTATTTAGGTTACGGAACGATCAAAATACAAATTATTTTTGTTAAAACAATACATATAATCTGAAAGCTTGAAAACTGCAGTTATTTTCCACTTGAACTTTTTCAATAATATTCGCGAAGATTTTCGAAGGATATCTTTAATACAAACAAAAAAATTGGTTAGCCTTCAGCCTGCACTTGAAGCTATTCACTTGTTGCATCAAGAACTTTCACTGAGTGTAAAGCATAAAAACATTTCCGAACCATGAACGCAAGGACCACTGCAAAGACTGCAAAAAAACTTATTCACCTTAAATCTTTTCGAGTTATTTTTTCCAAAAAGTATTGCTATGAAAATGAAATCATTATTTTTTTATTTATAAAAATACGATAAATCTCATTATTTATCTCGATTCAATCACAAAATATATTTTAAGTTTTAATTAGCATATTTTAAATATTATAATCAATTGATGTTAGAAAAATAGCAAATTATAGAAAAAACTCAAAAATACATATTATGTTGAAAAACAATTTCTTTTATCTTAGAAAATATTTCTCATAACATAAATACAAAAAATATTAACATAGTCGTGAATAGTTACATCACAGCCGTAAGCATAATTTAAAAAACGTTTTAACGACAGTAAACTACGAATGGGATATATATTATAAAATAACTGAAACTCCGAGGCTGAAGAAGCATTGAAAAAGGAGTTTACGAGTCGACTTCTACTTGAATCAACGAAAAAAATCTTTAAGCTACGTTAATGTCTATCTAACTAAAGAAATTATTGGTTATTTCATCCGCGACCAATACATCAATTCAAAACTCATTCCAGCGTAGCAATTGTACTCTTCTACTCTATCCCAGTGACGGACATAATTGTTGGTCATTGAAATTGCTTTCAGTGCTCTCTAGTCGGCGTTTTACATTTGGCGGCGATTTAATTGATAGTTTTTCACTTGATAGAGATTTCTTGATAAATCGAGTACTTGGAACGAGGGAAATAACGTTAAAATTTCGTGAAAAATTATTTGAACACTTTATGCGACCATAGCAAAAAGAATTATACCATAAACATGAGATAAAAATCACACAGGATCCAAAACGAGAACACAAATTTACAAACATTACATTTCACTCCAAGAACACTAAACAAACTGAAAGAATTGCATTGATATTTTGCTGTTTACAAGATGTACGAAGGATCAGCGACACAACGTTTGAAATGCAAAAAAATAAAATAATTTATAATAAATAGGAAAAAAAAAGTGAAAAAAACTAGTAAAGAATAGAAGAAGACTTTTGTATTACGTATTATTTTACCGTAAGCTGTACGCACATATACACAGCACACAGCACAGCACACTCACACACACTATGGAAAGAAATCAGCGAAAGGAGCGGCAAACCGGTGCGCCACTCCACGGAACTCGCTTACAAGACTGACGAGAGAGCAACGGTCCCGTACTTAGCTCGCCTCGACTCTCGTGTTCGCAGCTCGTTTTTCCCCACCTTTTTGACCTCATCAGCGTCATCGACAAAACCACTCTGTATTCGTATAGGCGACCCCACGTGGAAAAACAGTACCCAATTCGGTGCTTGCTTTTTGCTGCTTTGGCTTTGGCGAAAAAGAAATTCCAGGATACGTTTTCAGCTGTGAACGTTGAATGGCATGCTTTATTAATGGAATTTAGTTGAATAACCAATGAACATACGTCTATCGGATCTACCGGTGAGGTAGGTTCGTTTAATATTTCCTTTCATTGCCTACTAGCAAGATTAACTTGTGCAATCTACCATCGATGGTTTGTTCTTCAGATATGTTTCCTTTAGATTTAGATTCGCGTTAGGATATGATTTGTTCTTTCGATTGGTTCTTTAGGCACGTTTCTACGCGAAGTGGTCTACTGTCTGATGATATTGCTTATAAGTAATAAAATTGAGCTATATGTCATGAATGTAGACAAGAAGAGGAAAATTTACTGCCCCACGCAGGATGTGATTACGCGATTTTTCACTTTTAAGCTAGATACGATACATCCACTATGCATGGAGAAATCAACAGTATTTACCATTCTATATACAATTATAGACGAGAAAAAATTAAATAGAGCAGGCCAGATAGAACAACTCGATGCTGCAAACTTGCACTACGATCATTATTCTCGAATCACTGTGTAAATGTGTATAAAATTAAAGTTTCTTATTGATTGCTTATATTTTTCATTGAGTAAGAATTTTAAAACTAAATGTAATTTTATATAATCTAAATAAAATTATATTTTAAATCACACTGAACAGTCGAGATAAGATAATACTTTGATTATCTGCCAAACGTTATTTATTATCTTGTCTCTCTATTAAAATGCCAAGTACGTTAACCAATCTACCTTAACTACAATATGTGTTTTAAATCCGCTTTGTTGAACACAATCTTAATTTTCTTGCGTACGTCTAAATTGTTGAAAAGATGATTTAACGCATTTATCAGGTCATTCGCTTGGTTGAAACGATTCTGCAAGCACGGATGTTGAATAAAATTAATACTTAATTATAAGATCATTATACTTTTGCCTAGTATAGCAAAAAGAAAGTTTAGAAAATAAAATTAGATTTCGTCATTTCGATGCTTGTTGTATAAATAGATTACGAGGCTTGAGAGATTGATCGCACGAATGAGTAACCAAATTCTTTTGAGATGGGAGTATTACAGTGACTTAAAAATGCTAGTAAATAAAAAAGCCATTATGTATTTTATACAATTTGTATTTTATACAATTACATTTAATCCTTATCGTTACAGTAAAAGAGAGAAAGACCGGACATGTCACAACGCCTTAGAAAAATTATACATTCACTTAACTAGAACTAGATTGTATTAATTATATAAACAACATAAAACAATTTTTTTTTTATTTTCTTAACACTTCATTGCAGATTATGCGTAAGCTCTGCAGTCAGTCTGTTCGTTCTACTTGAACCCATAGCTGTTCATTTCTGTAATAAAAAACATCATTTACATTAGAAAATACTCATTTTCAAAATATTTTCTCAAATAATGTGACATTAATAATAATTGTAAATTTATATTTCATATAAGTTATTGATGATCTCAAAACTAGTGTAGTTTCAGTCAAGATTTTAGTATTGTTGAACTAATGTACGACTTTCGAAGACAAACGTGAAACGTTAATAAAAAATATTAATCGTCAGTAGAAATTTTTATCTAAAATTTAATTCCATTATTAAATCCGATAAGCACAAAGGAAAGATGTGCATAGTGAGTCGTCGTCGTCGTCGTCTTTGCTGACAACAAAGAGAAAAGTCGTGAAGATAAGGACAGAGAAGTTAGTCTTCCGCGGTAATATAAAGAGCATGGAAAAAATAAAGGAATTAGCATAAATTCGTTCGCCTATGAGCTACGTCCACTTTGGAGAATGTACATGGTGCTGACGAAACTATGTGACTCCGGAACGCCGCGTTGCCTAATGTATACTCTTGGACTGTCGCGGTTGTTGCGCGATATATTCCGAAGCCAAGTGACGGATCCAGAAAATTTTTTTTTCTTTTAATGATGTTTCCCGTAAGCAAAAGTAAATGATTTTCGTCTGCTTGTTTGTCATTTTTGTTTCTTTCGATATTCCGTCGAGTTAGCGAAATTATTGTGTCGTCGTCATGGCTTAATCGCTTATTATTATCGGGTTTTCCATCGAGTTGAACTGTTGTTTATACCGTTGCAATGCGTGCAAGCATTGGCTCTAAAGATTCGTTGGCTGTCGAAAACATCGCACATGCCGCTAATGAATTTTACATCACACTTGCATCGTCGGTTTACGCACGTAGATGCACATTTCTAACGCCGGTTTTACGCTCGTTCGATGCGAAAACGACGTGTAACGTTTTAGAATAGAGGCAGCCGAGAGAGAAATGACCACAGACATAATTTTCCGTCGAGGCTCGATTTACGACTTCCGCCGCGCAGAGTTTATGAAGCCCATCGCGACCTTCCATCAGTCCACGCACTTTAACGCAATACCGGAACACTAGAAACTCACGTGTTTTATAATGCCAAGCGTGTGTTGCACGTCACGAAAGAAAGTTCGTACCCGCGAATCGGTTCATCAATTTTGCTGCTGCTCGTCGAAATTCGCAAGCGAGAAAAACGCGGCGAATCTTTACAAGCGGCATCAGCGTATACTTTCATTTTCTTTGCTCTTGGAAGCGCGTCCCTCGATATACGTACAGCGAAGCACGCGGCGATCAAATGCGCGCGGTTGCTGTTGCGCTGTGACGTCGCTTTCGCGCGCACGCTTTTTTACCTTTTTACCATAGCTCGCGAGAACGAAACGATTTTCTCGCATATACTTCTTTGTTTTTGCCAAGTCACGACTAGACGGGTAAAGAGAGAGGGAGAGAGAGAGAGAGAGAATGAAAGAGAGATGTATTGAGAAATTTTCCTTGTTACATAAGAGAGCACACTGTAACATTAGCCCTGCAGCCATCTCTATTGCGATTAATGAGAATGTTCGCCTGTGTGTCACGTGCATTCCAAGAGCCTCCAACTCTCGGGCGTCTGAAAAAGCGCGGACCACACGAAAGCGTCTGTCGTCGAGAAAGAAAGCGCGATTGACTTCCGCCACTCGCTGGGTAGAAATTGAAAGATCTCGTCGTGGTCATCGCTGAAACGAGGTAAATTTTCCGGGAGAGGCCAATTGTAGCCAGCAGCCACGCGAAGATGCTCGGTAAATGGATTAGGCGGTCGGTGTGCAGGTTAACGCTCGGAAGATGCAGGCATACTCGCTAGCTGCTCGTTGGGCGTTACCGAAGCTTCAATGAGCCATGAGAGTTGAATGCTCGCGCGCGCTCTTGCTCATCAATATTTAAGAAGCTACACATTTGAAATCCCGGCTTACGCGTTTATTGCTACACGTCACTGTATGTAGGAGATGACGCCCCGATGGCATTTAATCAGACTATTTCGTGATTACGTGGGTTAGCTATGATAGATTCAAGTTTTGTTTGTTGTTTGCCGAAATGTAATTCGAGAGATAAATCACGTGACACTTTTGTATACACAGATTTGAAATACCCTCTACGTATGATTCTGTCACGTAACATTTACCTAAGGAATCAACAGAAATATGTGTGAGATAGAGATTACATCTCCACAAGTTACTGAATTATTATATAAGCTAGAACTGTTTAGTACTATGGATTTAGTAAAATGCTTTCTCCGAGTGGTCAAATGTTTACTTAATTTTCTTTTAATGTCATTCATTTGACGTCTGCAAACGGGAAAATGGTTTATACATTCCCAAAACTATTTGAATTTTTAAACTAAAGTGCACTCTAAAATATATTACATTAAATTTTATGTACAAAGTAAAACGAAAGCTTCCAATTCGATCGCCTTCAAAAGAGAAATCTGCAGAGACCGTTAATATGAATTCCTTCCTTACCGACACTGATGTAAAATCTTTTTTTATTTTGATTATCGTCGAACAATATAAGCGAACACTAATTTTATTGGTCCAATTGATTCGAATTACTTGTAAAATTAATTATAACGTGAAATTAGTTAGATTCATAGAATAATCGACTAACAACGCGATAATACACGAACTATTAAGCGTCTGGCAAATAAACAGCGCGTTATTTGAAATCGAATGACTATGCTATACTCCACTCGATTGATTTTCGCGATAAAAAATAAACTCACGTCTTATGTGGTCCTCGTAGTTAATGATAGTAGGATACCAATCAGCGCCTGAATAATCGATCTCAGGCAGTTCTCCACCGTAGTTCTTGGGCAGATGACTTGGTGCCATGTGCTTATGAAGCGAGGACATCTTCGAGCCGTGGAAGAACATGCGCTTCTTCAACTTTTCCTTCACGAATGGCTTGAACATTTGCCATACCATGTTGAAGATGAATGGCTCTTTCACGAAGTGAACCTGTAATAATGGACAAATCGTAAATGTTTCTTTTTATTACGTGAATCAAACGTATTAGTAAATAAATGTCTTTCAAAAAAATACCTCTTTGAGACGAAGTGGCATAGCTTCTTGAATAAAACTAAGGAGCCTCATACTAAAGGCCGGAGTCAAACCTAAAACTTGTTTCATTGACAAACCATCGAAGTCCATAATAACAACCACACCGTGTACCTGAAATTCATAATAAATGAGTTTATTTTTAACATCACGTGCACAAGATTGTAGATAAATCTGTTCATTGAATGACTTTCATTAAAAATGCTTCTACAAAAATTAGATATATTTGAAATATTTGAAAGATTATGAAGCGACCTAATAAAATTATCCCCGGTTGTAAATTTCATCGATAGTGTTTTAATTAAATTGGTACAAGAAGAATCTTTTATCTTTTCGTTCATCAGTAATGCAGATTTTTGGCCTTGATAAAAGTTGACACGGTAACAGTGATCGTATTGACTCGCTAACATCTCTTCAATTTTTCTAGGTAATGTCAATGACAAAATCAAATTAATTATGCGCTTGATTGAATTAAACTTTCTCCATTGATTTATTTTCGATTCAAACGAATTTAATTAATACAATGATGTAATATTTCACTTTGAAAATAAATTTATATAACGAGATCAATAAAATTAGTTTTACGACCTCACTGACTCAAACTAATTGTTACACAAGTTTGCATGTAATAATATTCATTATCAATCGTTCGAAATCGACCTTTAAAAATATATGCTTATGTTTTTAATTGAATTATTATGTATAAATATGATTTCGAAAGGAATTATTATAGCATTTAATTGAACAATACAAATTGCATCTACTTGTAATTATCATCCCAAAATAGACGTTGAAGGAAAATTTGTGTCCATTTCGAAACTCGTCTTGGCTTTGTTTACTAAGTAACCGATCAATTCTATAAATAACCGAAAAATCATCGAATAAAAAGAAGTGCTCACCTGTGTTTCTGGCTCAAGAATAGCAGCCTCGTGAATAAGATAAAAGATGCGGAACATTTGATCCGCATTGACACGCGATGGATCCCAGGATTTGCCGGCATTGACTATGAGGACACGTCTACGTTTGTGATCCCGATTCTTGAGCACATTAACCACGTTATTCTCGAGGAAAGCTACTTTTTCGTCTGCAGGCATTAAATTGTCCAACAGTGATGAGTTTTTTTGCTTAAATTCGGCGATCCGTGTCATCAGTGCGTATGCCGATTCTGGATAAAACTTGCATGGCCTCAAAAAGATTTTCAGGAAATCGTCGTCCGTTCTGAAGTGCAATTTTTCGTCCTCTGTAAGCGTGATTATTGCAATTTTTATTGCTTGCCTTACGTTTCTCTAGTTATCTTATGAACAAAGACCCTGATGATAATTTTCTAAAGATTCGTTTTACGAGTAACAAAAACTTTACGATGTGCTGTAATGCAACGTTAAATCGACGTTTACTAGGTGGCATTTATCATTAACACGTAAATTAGTTGCTTCTATATTCTTTTATATAACCCTTCTACGAGGAAACATCAGAAATTACAAATAAACTAATTTATTTTTTATTTAATTTATTTTGAATTTGACAGCCATTACAACCCTTTTACTAATTCTCTTTCCCCATTGGGGATTTATCCTTGACGAAAGCAATATGTAAATTGTCGATCTATATACTACAGAAACGTTTGGCATAAATTTCGTACATGTTTATGCTGTAAATTTTGGAATTATTGAGACATGAAATAATATTAGATAATGTAAATATTATTCTTGCACCGAATAAAACGCACAATTATTCAACCCATCGTTTCGTATAAATCAACTAAAAACAACATAGTTCTTTCACTTTATCATTTTAGTGTGCGAATTCGACCCTGACAAATCGGTGATACGCATGCGTCAATACAAATAAGTCCTCGAATCATCGAAATCATCGGAAATTTTCACGAAACCTTCGATTGTCGTCGATCTTTTGCATGCAATCGGCGTTGCGCGTGCGTGATGTTTTTGACTATATAGTTCTCCTTCGATTGGCTCATTATTATTTCGAAAGATATATTCCCGTCTATATATAGATACGGTAATTTTAATCTTCCAAGGAATCATCATTGAGCGTGTCACGCAAATTTAGTTGAACTTTGATACAATGACCAATTTGTGCAAGAAAAACTTTTTTTTTCTAGCAATCTTGTTACTCGATAATGACATGCTGCATCCGACGTATAATTAATATTTATGAATAGAGATTTGCACGTTACCATTGTGATGCGAGCAAAACAACAAACGTACAAAAAGAAAATGGCGAAGAACAACCGGCGATTTAATTTGCAACAAAAAATGAAGATGAAAATTGCTTATTGAATGATAACAGCGATTGACAATAGCTTCGTTTTTATTTTTTTCATTATTTTGACCTTATGTCTCGCTGCATCTTTTGCAATGCGAAATTCGGACGTAAAAAACTATAAGCGAAAATATTTTCTTACGCGCGAACGTCACTTCATATAATTGCAATTTCGTCACCTGCACTGTTCATTGTTCCGTCGCTTATCAATGTATGTACACATAAATATACTCAGTCAGTTGATCGCTTTTTCCTTTCTTCTGATATTATTCAAAATTGACTCACACTTATTGTTATATCGTTACTTTCAACGAATCAACTTTGAACAGAAGTTTTGTCTTGCTACTGAGAAATTTCCGGAGTGACCGATAAATCTCGATGAATCTTCTCAGTAACAGGACGGGAGATGCAAAATTATCTACATTCGCTGTAAGAGTGCACGCGAGAAAAACAGTAAGTCGAAGAAATTGAGGTTAACGAAGCTTTATTATCTCGCTGATTGTTCATTAGTACACACTTTGAAAACCTAGTGATCGTTTACCTTGGATAAAATAAAATTGTGCAATCATTTAAATTAACAAAAGTAACCTAATCTTTGGCATGTCTTCCTTGAAAAGTTTGCTAAATAAGTGCACTTTGTGAGCCTTATCGCCGGAAGCCCTATCACAAAGTTCATATTCTGCAGAAATGATTATCAACTTTATGATTCCGTGTCACTAAATAACATCTACTTTACTTCCAATGGAAAATCTTTGTGATGGATTATTTCATTCAAAGATTCTATAGACCGTTTTAAAGTACGAAAAAAGTAAATCATTAGTTTGACCTTTTCAAATGCCCGGCATTTGATTACCGATATCTCAAGATAAATTTAAGTATATCCCTGATTTGATGATGTATCTTGACTCTAAGATAAGAGAAATAATACCAATTTTTAAAATAACAACTTTGAAGCTATAAGATGTTTGATATTTTACGAATTACAACCGAAGATTATCTCACTATTATACCGCTAATCTAACTAAAAAGCAAAATAATCGTTAGCAAATTCAGTCAAAAGAAGGTTATCGATATACAAGAACTATCGAAAAAAAATAATACGGACCACAGCTGCTAATCTTATCGAATAATTATATTATTTTCTAACAAACAGATTTATCTGTACATGTAACTCGACAATCCGTCTTCTATAATTTAACATTTAATGCGTTTTATAGTGTTTCTAGACTGAAGGGTTATTCTCAAATTAATTTTCAAATCGAAATAACAATAACATGAATAATCACATTGAGTATTCGAAGACCCCTATTGTAAATGTCTTATACTTAATGTTTTCAGTAACATAACGACGACGTTAAACTTGGTGCTACGTGTAATTGGACACGTACGAAGAGCGATATTCCACTTTTCAGATCAACCCCCTCTGTAATGCACGCAACGAGCCCTCTGCCCCATAACACCTTCACCTACATATTCGAGTCTGCGTTCAAGGTGATACGCGCGCGTTCTAAACGTTAAGCGACCAGGCGTTGCCGAAATTCAAATGAGATAGACGCTTCTGCACTTGACCTTCTGTATATATACGAGCTGTCAACTAAAAAGGACGCAATCGTCGTAGTACACTGAACTCATCGATATATACACATTGGCGGAAAAGTAGTTGAATGAATTGCCACTTTAATTCGAAACGATGGATTTGTAAGATTTGAAAAAGAAGCTAACAAGCCTATTGCTAAACCGATCAACGCGCTTCCCTTGGGGATAAATAAAAAAACCTACCTTCCAACAATTTTCTGAGCTTTTCGATGCCCTCCTTGACATTCTCGTCGGTTTCGCGGAGCTCTTTGACAGCGAGCGCCTTGGTCTCGGCGTCGATGGGCCCAGTTTGCAGCTGGAAGTCCGCCATGGTCCCGTCACTGGATCAAAGAACAACAAAAACAATGAAATCAGAGCAACGAGCGAGAGATCCTGCTTGTTCGGGAGTTGCCGGCGCTTCTGTGGCCCAGGGCCTGACACCTCGACTCTTCCTTCGTCCTACCCCCACTCGCGCCTTCTTACTCATCCATTGCCCCCCGACTTCTCTCTCGATTCCAAAGTCCGAGCGTCGACAAATAATACCATACATACGCGTATGTGCGTGCGATTAATCTAAGCCTCGCTGTGTGTATTGAAGAGCACTTGAACGCGTCAGTTTTTCTTATTCGGCCGTGACAGATAAACCGCGCATGCTCTTTCTCTCTCTCTCTCTCGCTCTCGCCTGCTCTCGCGCGATAACGACTGAAGCGATATCGGTTCGTGTGGACCGCGCGCGGACGCCGTGGTCTCCAGAAATTCAACTCGCTTTCTCTCGCTTGCTGCTTCGACTTCAAGGATTGTCGGGACGACTTTTTTCCTCCCATTTTTTGATTGATGTATTATTGTTTGGCCTACCTGTGGCCACTTCTCCCTATTTACTTTGGCCGCTTATTACGACAGCATGTTTGACCGCGTCCTACGGTAAACTCTCGCTTTCGTCGAGTGTTATACTTTATTTGGCGTGATCGACTCCGCGACGACGTTTAAGAATCTATTTTCCTTTTAGTTTTCTTATCTCATGAGACAGTATTGTTTCAGCGCTCAATTTATTCGGTAAACATTACATATGTGTGATTGTAAAATCTTGTCGAATTTCCAAGCACAATTTTTTTTATCCACGGAATTAATAGGTACTATTGTACAAACTGTGATCGCATCAAAGTCAATAAGCACGTTTTTTTTCGGTTTTCAAAATCTGATAAATCAATGTATAATTTAATTAATAACAGCGTCAACAATGTTGTATGAAACATACAAGATCTCTAGTTGATTAGTACCTTAATAATTTTTCTTGTTCAAGCTTCTTTATCAGATTATCGCCGAACTTTATATTCGTTAAATCAATGCGATTAGCAATTACTATTAAGATTACGAGATACCTGTATAGTCTGCGTTGGACTTTGATCTGATCGTTTCTTTATAAAGTGAGTTAATGTTTAGAGATATAACTTTTTAATATCCTCACCACGAATCTTTCATTAGGAAACCGGTTTGAAGAATGTATTGCACTCGCATGTTTTGATAAGTATTTTGAAAAGCACGCTATTCTATTCTTACTTACATTTCTTGCAAACTTCAGAAATCTTCCTTGCTTCCCTCAATGTTATAAATTGTGATCACTTTTAACAATACCAAAAAAGGGAAGCACTTACCGCGGGAGAATAATTTTAACGACTGGTTACCAGACTTATAAGAAAGCTTCAAGCATCGTACTAAGAATATACTGCGATACGATTGACTGTTTGGCAGCTGTTTCTCGTACAGTTAATTTCTTTTTGCTCTTCCCATCATGTGTTTGTCCGGTTATCAAAGTCTGTCGTCAGCTATAAGCCTATCGCTACTTTTACTTTTCTGTCAGTTTTACCGATAACACCTATTTGCAAGACTTTTTCTAAACTTTATGTAATATTTTATCGAATTTTGATTACGTACAAAACTTTTTTACCTTTGCGTTTTATCCAGTGATGAATATAACAGCTCCCGAGATAAATAATCGAATTTAGTTTGATGATTATACGATTCTCAAACATGTTTTTATATGTTCAATTTTGCACTGTATCTTGCATCCTTTTTCATTTCAAATTCATCATTGTTCTTTGACCGATTATTTTCCATCGCTCTTAGACGTACATCATATATATTTATGCTCATCTCTCTCTCTCTCTTTCTCTATGATTATGCTAAATATTTTTTCTTTTATTTTTTTGTAAAATCTAATCTTTTTATCGAGTAATGACACTACTTTTTCGCTATTTCCTAATGTATATCATTAATGCATTCGTATTTCTGTGTTATACGAATCATAATACGGGATTTTTTCATAGACGCGAATACGTGTTAACTTAATTTTGATAAATTGATTTTTTATTCTAATTAGCAAGATTTCTGAAGAAAATAAGATAAATGAAGACAGTAATAATAGATCAACGTACAACTATATCAGGCAGTGTGTATCCATGTGTTAAGCTACATTGTTTACTAATTCTAAAATAACCTATTTCAAAGAAAAAAGGACAGCAATTTATTGTCTTCTCCATAATCTTAAAGCAACAAGTTGATCAACATTTGAACAAAAAACAAGATGTTTTGACTGGTCTTATATGATATTGAAAATAAAATGAATCGGTAATACTACGTTTCTATACGTACTGGTTACACTTAAAATCAAAATAATGAATTATTAAGAATGACGAAAATTGACGTTATCAAGTAGAACAAAAATTCTCTACTACACAGCTAGACTGTTTGATTTCCCTATTGTTAAGCAAGAGTAGGGGTCTTGACGTCTAACAATGGCCGCGAGTATGGAGATCGCCGGAAATTTTGTCGGCCACGAATTGAGACTTGTATTTAAACGAGTTGACGACACTGACAAGACAACGGATAAACCATTCTTGTTTTATGCGATCGCGTTTTTCTTTTTCTATTCGCGTCAATTGCCGTTGAAAAATAGCCGATTTTTAACGCTCGTGAGTAACACGACAATACCTAGAGTACCTGCATCGGCAGAATGGTGCAATATGCCCACCTTCGTCCACGATCCGTGATGTAACTGTGACTTTCAGATTTTTTAAATCTATCACTCGTATAGTGTGAAGTATAGTATCAAACAGATGAACACTAATGACAAAAACACATACTCCAAAAATTTATAATACGTCTTTTGCGGCTTCAGAACTATATGCGTGTTTGTCTGTTATGCCGTGCCCACGGTGCTGGCAATACTGCATAGCAAAATCACCTTATAAGCTTTTTTCACAATCAATAGCGAATCACATTAATTTTCAACTTGAATTCCTCTTTTTGCTTCGTGTTTACCGACCCGATACCTCAAGGCAGTTTCATATTCAAACAATCGCTTTGAATAATTTTATGGTATACGTTTGGAGTCGTATATAATATTTCATATATTTTTCGTTTGCTTTTCTGCTAATGAAACAAAAACAATTTAACTTTAATTTTTTTATATTTCGAAATATTATGAACTATTACTGTTTATTTGTTTATTGATCGATGTGTTTCATAAATAGATGTAATTGCGAATATTTCTATTATATCACGACACACTTTCGCCAAATAGACTTAATGGTATCAGCAGATCGAAAATATTATTTAATTCGTCGAGACTTTTTTTTTAAATCGCTGCTTGCTCTGCCGCGATATCGCGCAACCTATTTCAAATAGTTAAACAAGCGTTTACAGACATAACAAATGTAACTGTAATTATAATATTTTATATCGCACATGCATCGAGAATATAAGTATAGGAAAACAAATGAAGATAGACCACCAGTTTGTCATGGAAAATTATATGGACTATAGAACATTTTTTACATACTTATAGGCTTCGTGTTTTATATTACGTACTAGTAGATGAGTATCATTGAAATAAATATTTCAACTCAGATGTTCATATAAATTAAAAAAAACAAATCAGGTGCTGATTTTTATATTAACATTTGTAGCAAATAGAAAACTACAGTATCTAATCATCGGGATGAAAAACTGTTTGGTATATTGTATTTCTGCATACGACATAATCAATCCAAACATCTTTAGAAATTGAATAATACAGAAATATTGTATTTATCACATGATCCGCAATATTAATTCACAAAAATCCTTATAATGGTTAGGTTAATATTATTTAATCATCACATGTCTTTTGACTTGCATATTTCAAAAAACAATATTATTAGTCGTCGGTAAGGTAACAGCCCAACTTTACATGAAATTTTTTAAAAGGTAAACATTATGAATTGAACAGAGGTCTTTTAATTATCACACGACTGGAGCGAATTGCGCTAGTATTTTTATAAAATCAATTAATATAACAGATTGAAAATGTTTAGTCTGATTTCTTAATTATTGTCGTAAACTACATCGAAGGTCGACGAGACACGAAAATTGACAGACTCATCTTAATTGCTAATATGATTATATCAAGATACGGATCATATACACATATGACTTTTAAAATCTAATATGGCATAAAAATCATTCTAGAATGAATTTGTAGCTAATTCTTACGTTAATTCGGGCAATATACATATATTTAACTGCGCAAAGCAGTTCGAAAGATTTTTATAGTAATCAAGACACATGACACTATATAACTTTAATTTAATTTGTAAGTTGGTATTAACGATATAAAAAAACTAACCATTAATCCTTTTTTAACTACATTAATCGTAATTAACTCTTTCAATTAACTTTTAATATTGCTACAATTTCTATGTTAGCGCCTTCTACTTGCGCATCAATAAGTGAATGTCAACTTACAATTAGTGAGACTCGAAAACAATTGAAATAAAAAACTTAGTTATATTGAAAATATTCATTCGTGTATAATATTTATAAAGAGATTCTTTCAAATATAATCATTATCCTTTTGTTTGTTCCAATATTTTGCAATTCGTGTATCGAACAATCATAAACTGAAATGTATTCACTGTATAACATGTTCATCTTTAAAAAATTAATCATAAAAAAGATTCATAATAAACCTGTGCAAATCACTTGCTTCCATGTGATATGTGAATAAAGGAGAGATAATAAAGTACAACAATATTTTCCAATAAATAGTAAAAATCGTAATAAACTTTTATTGGCGTGGAGATATATCAGCAATTAATAAAATTGTTCTAGTTTTTTATAATCCATGCTCAGCACTGAACGTACTTTAAGTAGTTACAGGTGTTGGTTCTGAGATCGAAGACCAGAGGCTTGGGGCACGAGAACTCGTGAACGATGTACTTATTGTAGTCAGGTTGACAGTAATAGAAAACGTTGCATTGCTTTGGGTCCCTACTGTAGCCTTCACTTTTGCAAATTTCGGTTGGTTTGGGTTGGTTGGCTGATGGTTCAGCGGTGGTTTCGGCTGGCGGGTTGGTTGGCAGAGGTGGTTGACCATCACGAAGAACGTAGTTGATTGTTTTCAAGAGTGGGTACTTATCACCACAGACACCTTTAAAATCATCAGTCTCAACACCCCAAACCATCATACCACCGAGACCCAAGTTCTTGGCGAATTCAGCCTTTTTAGTCAACGAGCTGCAATGTTTTTTCCTCGTTACAGCCTTGGATAATCTCATAATTGGATAGGTAAAATGGTAAAATAGATCAATCTTACCGATGATCGTCATATCCAACCCACTGGTTGCCGCTTACGGCATAAGGTACGTATTGCTCCTCCTGGAATTCAATATGCCAATTCTCGTTGATAAACTTCTCACAGATTTCATTGTAACCAAGTACGCCAGATTCACGAGTGTAGGGACCGGCCATGGACGGTTGGTTAGCTGGAGCGCCAATTCCGTTCATTTGCGAGTTGGCCAGGGTGAAACCACGGCCGTAAAATGGCACACCAAGGACCAGTTTTTCAGCTGGAGCACCATTCTCCAGCCAGTAGTGTACCGATGCATTCTGTAAATGTTGCATTTTCACTTCAGAAAAATAATTGACTAAACGATAATATCAACATTTCTTGTAATATTGCATTAATAATATTTTTTTCTCGGCAGTTCATCATTGACAGTAATATCTGATAAATTTATTTTTAAAAATTCTGATTGTATTAATATTTGCAATTGCACTTGCGTCATAACTACACGAAATGTTCTTGCTACGTATTTAAAATTATTCAATTGAAAAATCCACGATAACGAATCAAACAATGTAACTGATCAATATTTTCAATTCATAAATTTGGTAAGAAATCGTGCGTAATTCAGACTTGATTAATTAACAAAACATCATCTCACTGCCGAGTTCTACAAAAATTCGGTCTGCTTTTAATTCAAAAGCTAAAATTTTTCGAGCACTTGATCTCCAAGACAGAAGCTAACTTGACTATTATGAAAAAATTTTAAAAAATAAAACACAAGTAGCTCGAGTTACTTTGGAACTAAGGTAGGTTCCGAGCTTTTCAGGAATCTGCTCCCTAATATTCCTCTACTCAATCGTAGATACTTACAACGTTAAGACACCTTTCAGCGTCGGTTTTCTCCCAAGAACCAGCGTACAGTGGTGCGTTGATTCCAGTCTTTTTTTCCCAGATTCCGTGCATGTCGTAGGTCATCAAATTGATGAAGTGCAGGTACTTGGACATTTCGCTGATGATGTAAGATTGGCTGGCGGACACCTCAGCGGCTGCAACGGCAGCTGACAGAATGAGATCCTCCTGGTCGAATTTCTCTCTGAGTTCTCGCAATAGAGCCACATAGTTGTCTTTGTCGGCTAGAACTCCCCCACGTTGGTTAGGGTATTCCCAGTCGATGTCGAGTCCATCGAAACCGTACTTCTTGACGAACATGACCATGTTCTCAACGAAGCGTTTGCGGATGGTCGGGTTGCCGACAACCTGGGAATATCTGACCGATTCCTCGTTCCAACCACCGATGGCGATCATGGTTTTAGTCTGGGGACTGATTTCGCGTAATTTGTTGAAGCGACTAAAGCCGTCCTTGCCGTAATTATCAGGCAAGTCTTGCCCGGCGTCAAGCACCTTCACATCGCCGTCTTCGGTAATGCCAACGAACGCGTAGATCATGTGTGTACACAGAGATGGATCGATGTGTGAGATGTCGAATTTGCCATTATTTGGACGGTAAACTGCCCAACTGCTAAAGTAGCATACGACTTTTTCTGTTTTTCGCAAAATACAAGAAATTTAATATTTTAAGTAGAGCACTTTTCAGGTCTTAAATATATATTAAAAATTAAAGTTAAATAACCGTATTTTAATGGACAAAAGAGATAGTGTTAATTATAAAAGTTTGATCAGCGGGATACGTAATTGCATTAATAATATTCATGAAAATGGTGACTGTTCTTCATCGTACGTTATACGAAAAATTCAACTTTAGAAGTGTCATATTATCAAAATTGCTCGAACCTTCAGAATGCATTACCATAAAAATTGAATAATTTATGAAATATGCAGTCATATATGTTCTGTAACTTATCTTTTTGTGATTTTCAATATTCAAAATGGAATGTAATTTATGAAATGATATTATTAAATTTTACTATAAAGAAATGATCGATAAGATAAAGAAGTTTTATTGAAATATTACTAAAATATTTATGTGGGTTTATTAGAAATATTATTGATTTCATAATATTGCAAATACGTAAATCTGGCTTCTTAACACTATGGAATCAAAAATAACAGTGAAAGAGAACTTACTCTCGCTACTAGCCACAGCCATGGCCAAAAGGCCAGCAAACACCACCGAGATCGCTCGCATCTGTAATTCAATATTAATACAACTCAAAATCGATCCTTTTCTTAAAATGTAATTTGTTAAACTACGTATGAAATCTCAGCCTATCAATCAGGAATTAAAGGAACTGCGATAGACTAACGATAAACTATCATCTTATCATATAGATAATACAATTCGTAATCGTCACACTTTCTATTTATTTTTACTTTTTATCAAAATGATTGGAACTATCTATCGGATAAGTTGTTTGCGTCTAATAAAAATCATCATAATTAAATTTCTTCGTAACTGTACTTACCTTAGTTTTCAATACACTTCTTTTTATGGACTGTGATCAATAATTTTGCAAATTCAGTATATATAGATTCTGCCAATCATTATTAACAATAATCCTTACAAGCTGAATGTGTAATGTAACTAAACAAGATAAAGAAACAGGTGTGCCTCTTGGTTCAATGAACAAGTAAATTAAGTCTCTCTCTAATATGGGTTACTAATTTTTAATTGACGTAGGAATCATCAATCAAACAACAGTAATTGTTTAATTTGTCGGTTTCTTTTTTTAAATGATTTTATGTGAATTTCGATTTTTCAGTTTCGTTATTAGTTATAAAAAATATATAATGTATATATTGCAAAAGTTCAAAGATAATATATTTTATTTAAAATTTTATTAACCAAGATAGACTATTTTCTACTTTAACTCTTTTCCAGGCCAAAAAAATTGGGCTACTGTATAGATATGCATGCATGTGTGTGTGCATGTGTGTGTGAGATTTAAGAGATTCGAGGCATCGCTGATTTCAAATTTGTTGTTGTTTTTTATTGTTTAAACAAATTGTTTATACAAATTATTGAAAAATCAATACCACAATCGGATTCTACGAACAACATACCTCTGCAGCGTTCCACGTGGACGTAGTTCTTGAAGTAATAACAATAACAATAACATCTAATATACTAGTTTTAATTGTTGAAATACATAGTTATTAATAAATTATTAAATAGCTAATTTTGAGATATAAATAAATCTTTTAAGGTTTACATAAGAATAAATAAAAATATTGGCTAAGGGGTTTTTCAATGATTTTTGAAACTTATTGAAAAATTGAGTTTTTTTACAAAACCAATGCTGAAATCAGATTTTTTTGGAATAATTTCTTTGTTTTTACTTAATTTTAAATTTTATAATACGAATTTATATGTACTAAGGTATAATTATATATTAATTATATTAGTACTACTGTTAGATTTTCATTATTATTTTTATCTAATATTTTAAAAACAACAATTTTCATTTTATAATCATTTAATATAATATTCAATTCTCACTGTTCAACGCAGAACATGATTATCAAGCGATCCCAAGAACAGCTGTTTAGAAACAAGATTATTTATTTGTAACGGACCGCTCAATTTTTTAATTATAATTTTTAAATGGTAACATTGAAATATGCAGTAATCCTTGATAAACATATATCTGATTTATAAACATTAATAAATCAACATCGTATTGATATTCTCCAAAATGATACTGTTTTAATCAGGTTCTTAATTTATTTAGAAATATTTCCTTTTTGGAAGTTATACTATGGAGAACTAATAATTTAACTACACATACAATAGTGCTTCAACTCGGCATAGAATAATCACGCTGAATGTAAATAAAACTAATTTTGTAATATATTTAAATATTTTTTATTTTTTGTTTCTTTTATTTTTTTCTTAATTGCTTTTGGACAATTTTCTTGTGGGTATTTGTGTATATCTTTGCAGGTTATTACTATATAATAGTCATAACTTAATTGTAATAAATAAAATTAAATACAAATAAATAATCTAAGCTCAAAACTATATATTTGGCCGAAAATAATTTCTCCATTTATGTGTGATTAATTTTTCTGATATCAATAATTTATGTATACTTGACAGTCGTTTTGCAAATAATAATTTATATCAGTTACTGTATATGACGATCCAAATCAAATTAATGCAATTACAAGCTAGTGTTATTATTTTAATTTAAAGTAACATGTATAAAAAGCGTACTAGTAATCGTTCAATGAACGAATCAATTAATGAAGTTAAAAAAATGAATGAGTTTTAGATTTTTTACCAATTTGAATGATGGCTGAGATGGCTCCTACATCAATTAAACATCTGTTATCGATATTGAAGACATAATTCGTTTGTTTTATTCCGAATCCAAACCAAAATATTAACTTACTTGAATTGCATTAGATTGCAGATTGATGACTTCTTACGTCAATTAAATATTTACCGTCAACATTGAAGATGTAGCTCATTGGAAAGCATATTCACTATGATGTCCATAGATGTGTAAAATAGTATTTATCAGAGGTTTTGAACATAATATTTTAAGAACAGTTAAAATGAATTCAACTTTTATACAAAAAATCCGATCATTTGAAATTCGGTCATATTCGCTATGTTTTTAAATGCTAAGATCCATTCAAATGATAGTTGTAAAAATTATTAAAAATTTGAGAAAATAGTAAATGGCACTGTTTCCTTCAATGAGATGATAGTAAATTTTTCGTCGCTCTATCAGCAATCAGTCGGTTTCCTTATTCATGCTAATTTATTTTAGACTTCACGCACATTTTCATGTATTTGAGTTGAGAAAAGGATAAATTTTTGATCAATTGATTTGCAGATGCGAGCAATTACGGTGATGTTGGCTAGTTCCTTAACCATTGTCTCGACCACCATTGAGAGTAAGTTCTTTTATTTACATTTTTAAGTTTGATAACCATTTAATATTTTTGATGGAGGTACCGTGCAATAATTCGATAAAATCTGATTTAAAAAATCCATTACTATAATTTTCTCTTTTAATTTTGCAAAAAACAGAAAAATCCATGTGCTACTTTTGCAGTCCTGGCCAGTCTATTGTCCAGAATGGCTAATTCGACATTTCGCATGTCAGTCAGTCTCTGTGCCTTTATATGATCGTTACGTTCATCGACATCACAGAAGATGGTAGTGTGAGTGTTGGACAGATTTTAGAGAAAATGTTGAGATTGATATAAAGTCCGTCAGCCAATCTTACATTAACAGCGAAATACCCAAGTATCTGCAGTTGATGAACTTAGTGGCCTATACGATTCGTGCAGTATCTGGGGCAACAAGACTGTAATCAATAAACCACTGTACGCTAGCTTCTAAAAACACCGACGCTGAAAGGTGTTTCAATGTGTTAAGTATTTGTTTTAACAATTGTAATACTAGTGGGAAGTTTATAAAGTTAAAATATTAATTAATTTTATAGTTTGCTTTCTCCCTAGTCGTATAATTTTCATAGATATCAGCAAAAGAATTTCGTGTGTAGCGTAACGCTGATATAATAGCATGAGTTGATTCCAGAAAGTATATTATTTATAAAATATTAGGATTGCAACGTCATTAGTAATAGTGTCGCAAATCGATTAAATTATTTAAGGAACATGAACCAAAACAAGCTTGCATAATCTATCTATTTCTTACTGGTTAGAAAACGGTAATCGAAAAAAGAACGGAATCGGTGCTCAAGACTGAATCAATCGGCCCCTACAGTTCAGAACCTGGCATGCATACAAGTACGACGAGTTGAGATTTGCGAGAAGCGCAAAACAAAGAGTAAAGAGCAAATGTCACGTTGAGTTCCAGGTGGAACAACGTTTATCAGTATGTACATAAATTAGTAACAACTATAACGAATTAAATAATTGCAGATCGTTGATTAAGCAGGCTGAATACATCGAAGTATGGGTCTGAGTGGTGTGAAGATCTCAAGTGTAGAGACCGATACTTTTAAGGTGGTCTTATCATAAATCGAAATCCACGTCATTAATCTGAAACTTTCAGGACTTCAAGTTCATAAATAAATATACACCTGTGCAAAGTTTCGAATCGATTGAGTATCTAATTTATGAGATATAATTTATCAAAGTCTTCTCTTATATACGGCAGGTATAGGGTGAGGTGTGAAGATGCAATGTTTCTTTGTGCGTAACCTTTTTAACAACCAGACTACTATTTTTTTAAAACTAAATGATGCTATATATACAGCTATATTGTGACCATATATTTTTTGCTTCAAATGTTTGACCATCTAATTCTGGCGCAATAACTATATTAGAATGTGTCAATTTGATGATCTTACTTATATTACTATATATAGTATGTCGCTTATCGTTAAGTTTGAAAGTTTGTATTCTTATTGCTATAAAGTCTGCAATATCAACAGCAGCAAGCACATTACGAAGTGTAAGGTTTCTAATTTACGGCATCGAAACTATAGCAAGTGTAACCATACCCAATTCGTAAAATACTCAAATATTAAAATTATTATATAGTTATCAGTCAAACCTTGATGTAACTTAAATTTAATTTAATTTACTCTACTGAATGTATATTTGTTACTTAATTTGGCACGTCTTATATTTTCATACAAATATTTTGTAATAATATTGTCAATAACATACTATTTTGAATTCTTTCAAGAATTAACAGAGTTGAGAACTAATTACCTAAATGAAAATATTTGAAAATAATATTATGTAAAATTGGCAATCTTTCGTTTTCGAATAAGAGTTTCCTGAAATTATGTAAATATCAAACAATTAACTATTTCATACATGTTTTGCATATTTTTTAAGATAAATAATATATACTGCCGCGATTTGAGGAATTAAATCTGAAACAAAATTATTTTATCTTACTACGTGGCTTAACTTAAGTAACGCCTATCTGTGACTCGAGTACTTCATTTTTGCACTCGTTAGTGCTGGTGGTGACCTAACCTTAGAATGTAAAATTGATCCATCATATTTCACGGATAGACGAACCGTGAGTGTTGATTTGACATCGTAAGTACTATAAAATGTACGATACTTGTGACTCAAGTATTCCGTCGTTGCACGGCGTGATTATCGTCCTCGCTTGTGCTCGAGCGTTAATAGCCATGCAATAATAGGCGGCTACTTGAGTCATACGTATCGTAATATACTAAAATACTTTTCAGTTTAACAATGAGCTCGCACGATGCAAACACAAATTCACGAAAAAATTAACGAAAAATGACAACATTTTTATTTATTTCACTACCACATTTCTTTGTATTTATTTCGATGGAATGACTGGCCACTAAAGTGTACTGTCAAAATTCAATATACGCTGCAATAGTAAAAATTAAAAGCATATGAAGATTTTTTACATCTCGAGGAAGAATTCGATTATTACGAGAAAAATTTTAAGCGTAAACATCGGCATGAAAACGCCTGAGAAAGCTGGAATAGTAGAAAGAATCGTTTATCAGAAAATAAAACAATCATCAGTTGACAGCATCTATCTTCGTTTGTTTAACTGACATCGATGATTACACAGGCGAAATGGACAAAATCGTGAACGCTAGCAGAATAATCTTCTAAAAGACTTTATTAGTATAATGATTGCAGATTTTAAGAATATGTATGAATCTTCTTGTTTTCTGAATTATTTGAAATTTAAGAACAAATACATTTTTCATCGTAAACCTAAAGAAATCTCTATAGTTAGAATATCCCTATCGCACTTATTCATTTCAAAATTGATTTACTGGAATAGCAATTTAATAGAACATTACTTTCGAAATCTTTTCGGTACTATATTACAAAATAGTTATTAAAAGATGTTTATAAATTATCAATATTTATACTTATAAGTTTTATATATATAAAGTTTTGTTCAAGTACATATTCACCAGACCAGTGTACAGGAATTTATTCCTCTGCTGTGTTACATATATTTATTGTGTAACGTATTGTAAAATTCACTTAAGTGGATTGTACAGTACTCTAGGTTAATAAATAAATAAGTAAATAATAAACCATGACTATTTAGTTTTACGATATTTTTGATAAATTGAAATCGTACATTTTCATCTTGGAAGATATAAATGATTATTTTTAACTAGCTTTAACGAATCGAAATCGAAATCTTAATCGATATCGAAGCGAAAAGACTGACAAAAGACTAGGATAATTCATGTTTCTAATCGATTTAATTTAGTACATCCGATAATTGAAATGAATTCAGCAAAATCGTAGCCATTCACTCGAACTTAAATTGGAGATTATGAAAAATACAATTAACATATTCTTTTAAATTATGTGATTTTTCATACGAAATAGCCGAACCCTAATATTCGCATTTTTTTAGTTCTATCTCAATATACTGAAAACAAAAAATTAATTTAAAAAAAGTTTTATACTTCTTCGAGTTATTCAATAAGATGCGGAAAAGTCTCTAAAATGAGTTCAGGTTAATTTGCAAGTAATTTTTGGCTAAGATACAAGACTTGCAAATCAGCGCTAATGCGGTTTTCGAAGGAGAAAGACGATTGAGCGGTAATGGACAATGGCCCATAAATTAAAAATCTCGATTGAGATCGATGTAATGAATCATATTATTTGCCAATAGCTGATACATACAATAGTAAAAGAAAACAAAATACAAATAAAATAACGAATGAAGATAAAACTCAAGAATTTTTCTGAAAAATAATGTAATTGCACAAGGCTGGAATCGTTCTATTTCTCGATAAAATCATTACAATAAGCAAATTCTATTTACTTTGAGAAAATAAGTGCACGCCCTCGTCAAGATAATAAGTTTTACCGCAATAAAACAGATAATCTAATATACATCACGCGCGTGTTCTTTAAGTAGATTTATTCGCATTTATACCTATACGCACGTATGCATACACACATATATATATATATATATATATATATCACCACCTACACGCGCGAGTACACGTGAATACTAAAGCGTACGCCTACTGTGGATCACATTTTTTCGCGTAGGATACGATATAGTTCTACACTGCATGCCTCATGTTTACAATCAATTCAGTCAGTCGGTCAGCGAAACAAAAAGTGTAGAGTGATACTGCAGAATAACCGGTATTAATTGTAACGTATGCAAGATACTACTCACGACGCCGAACGAAGTAGCAAAAAAACAAGACGGAAGCTCTTCTCCCACCTTCGAACGATCGCACCATTGGCAGACCAGTGGCAGACCCAAGCTAGACAGAATACGTAGTGGCGGTAAAGTTTGTGCTGATAACATAGTTTTTGCGGTGTATACACTGGTGTACGTTATTGCAATCAACATGTCAGAAAGGCAGGTCATCTCCACCGAAATAATCGACGGGGTTTGGCCCTTTTTACAAAGTGTGAGTACACTTAGTCATTTGTTTTGATACTTACATTTTTCGTGCAATAGACAGTTTTTATGCAGTTAGTATGGAGAAGACGCAAAAGGCCTTGAAGACCGACAAGTTCTTTTAGGTTAAGGATCCCCTATATATCGTCGTTCAGAATGAAAGCGAAAGTATTTTTATTAAATAAAATAATACCATTATATTCACGGTATCTCGATTTTTTTGTCGTATAATGCTTGCTCTATTGATCATATTTCTAAGGTTGTTAATTTTAAAAAATGATGTAAATCTATGTTACATTGCTATTTTTCTGTCCTGTGTTCAACCTTAGATTGTATAGATAAGAAAGAAAACAGAATGATTCTACTAATATATGAATTAATTCAACATTTTGTGATTTAACTTCTGTATTTATTGACAATATAGAGAAATCGTAAGACGTTCTTTATTTTATATTAATATTAATATAAACTAAACTACAGGTATATTCAATCTAATCTGCATAAAAGACTTATCTTATCACTAGTTTTCCTTATAATTAATGTCTAGTTTATAACATGGAAGATATCTGGAAAAGAAAATTATTAGGAGAGTTAGATATATTTTTATTTTTTATTTTCAGATTGATTGGAGGGATCCATGGCTAGCATTACTGTTAACCTTTCACATCGCAGTCACAATGACAGCCTTAATGACAAGAAATCATGCAAACTTTCAAATTTTATTATTTCTTGTACTACGTAAGTAATGAAGAACTGCTTTTATTGGTATATTTTATTTTAAAAGAATTAAATATCAAATATTTGACATTTATAGTGTTGTTAGTTTACTTTTCTGAAAGCATCAATGAAGTTGCTGCCACAAATTGGATGTGAGTGTACTTTTGGAACTCTACTATTACAAAACATTGATTTCTATATTATTACTATTAACAATGTTTTTTGTCTTCAGGGTATTTTCTAGACAACAATACTTTGATTCCAAAGGATTATTCATATCAATTGTGTTTTCTATACCTATCTTAATCAATTGTATGATAATGGTGGTAAGTACTCTAAATTGGTTTACATAATAAATCCATCTTATATTGAAAAATAAGTTTTGTAGTAAATAATATTCAAATTTTTTATCTTTACTTTTTTTATATAATTTATATTTTGTCTGTTTCTAAATTCCTTGATAATAATAATAACTTTTATTAACAATAAATAATTTATTAAATGTATTGCAATGATGCTTTACACCCTTTATATATCTAAGTATTATTCTTTAAAAACATTTGATCATTTGGTAAATTTCAATTTCATAAATTTTCTTTATTTTAGGCAAGTTGGTTGTATCAATCAAGTCAATTAATGACGAGCCTAAAAAGAGCGCAACTACGTCAGCAAGCGAGAAATAAACTGACAACGAACGCGGAGAATACATCGAAAACGTCGAGTGATACTTCTCATCCCGTCGAAAAGAAAGATAATTAAAGGATAAGAACACTAGTCAACTCGACCTATCAGAGACACTAATGTTCTCCCTAAAATGATCAAGAAAGTGATATCCTCAATCAATGTATCCTGTAGAAAACCATGAAAACAGCTTCGCATTGAAAATGAAAAAATTAATTTAATGATAAATATTAAATGGTATAAGGTAAATATAAAAAGACTAGATTTTGCTTTGCTCGTAATTTTTTTGAAGTTTAAATGTAATTATAATTAATACAATTTTACTATAAACCGTTCATGAAGAACAGTTTAAATTATTAAATCACGAATTCCTAAATATTTATATAAATGATATAAGATTTTAAGAAGCAAGCCATTTTTTTTGGAAAATTTATTCACAAGGATTTAATGCAGTGTTCTTACACTGTTTAATTATTAATTACAATATACAAACATGTGAAACTTACTATCAATAATGTCCATACTTATGTTATCGAAAAAAACGTACAGTATTTAAAAAATGACTGTTATGAAACACTAAAAAGGACGTTGCAGAGACATTCACAGTAAAATTAAAGGTTTAAAATAATTAAACATACTAAGATAATGAAACCATTTTTTTATTAATTAAAGATTTTTTGATATATTAATGTAGTTGCAAGTAATCATTTTGATCAAAGTATTAATCTCATTGAAAATTATAAATAATCTGTGATTTTAAACGCATTACTAATCTGATAAAACTTATTTATTTAAGTACTCTTATTAATTTAAGTACTCTCATTAATATTCTTGCAGCTCAACATTTTTTTTAATTAAATAAAATTAAAACTATGTCACATGTTTGCAATGGGATGTATTACAACTGAAAAATCCAAAGTTTCTTTTAACTTGATGCAGCCATTCGACTGTAAATCGCTCACAATCATTTACGTTTGTGTGAATCATTTTCAATTTATTAGAATGTGTATTTCCTGTTGCTATTTTTGTTCGATTATTCGATTGATAATAATGAGTAGGGACTCAAGATGCGAAAGATGTACTTATTGAAATTGCTGTAATCATTGTATATATTTATTACTGTAAATCAAACTATTATTTAAATGCTAAACTTGAGCAATTATAGTAAATAAAACTACTTGTTGAATCAAATTTTTTGCATGACTGTTAATTGCTTCAATTACCATGTACAAGGTAATTGATTTGTTGCCTTGCATATATACTTTTACTAAAAAAAATACAAAAAGTAAAGAATTATGAAAAAAGTGTGCAAAACGAGTAAACTAATTCTTGTGTGTGCTTTACACTGTATATAGAGGAGTTTATAGTGTGCTCGTATATAATATAAATGTAATATTGTTTGCTTTTAGTTAATGTTCAAATGTTAAAATTATGTTTATGAAACAATATGCATAATTTTTTAATAAATTTAGCCTTGTCTGAAAATCAGTTATAGTATATTTTATTATACCCTGTTTTACTAGATAATAAACATCGTTAGATTAATTTTCTTGTTTTTGCAATGAACTTGCACTTTTGTTTTTAGTAATTTATGTAAGTAATTGTAGTACATTAGTCATTTTCTTATGTTTACTTTAGTACGGGAGTAAAATAATATAGCATTGATAAAGTTTTAAGCAACAAATTATGTTAAATTGTTAGTTTTCTTTAATATTCATTTTAGGCTATTATTTTATTATATTTATTTATTATATATTTATTAGTTTTATTATTTATTTATTATTTATTATATATTATATTAAATCAGTTATTCCAAATAATAATTCCTGAAATATAAGTATTTGAATGGTATTTTGAATTTTACGAAAGAATGTATATTATGCTGCTGAGATTAAAAATATTTTTGTAACTGAAATTTCATTGTTTATTAACCAACTTAGCTACAACTGCATGGTAAAGTATGCGCAGGTACCTACTTTATTTTTTATTGCCTATTACTTTTTCTAGTATCAATCTAAGAGACCGTGGTACACCATCGTTAATATAATTAATAAAATGTACTGGTACAGAATTAGTATCCGTATCATACAATTTCGTTTTAATATTTTCAGAAAGTAGTTTGCCGGCTAATTTACAAATATTCTCACACCGCTGATTATAGCGTCTAATTTTTCTTTTTTTCTGTACCAATTTTCAGTTAAAAATTTTACGCTTGCATCGACGTAAATTAAAATATGGCCATCTTTTAAAGTATGAATGAAAATGTCACTGTTCCGAACTGTGACTCAATTCTCTCTTAACTTACGAGTTTATCCGGCTTCATAAGTGATAAACGAAGAAAATCAAATTATTGACTTAGTGCATTTGTGATTTTTCAATAAAAAAAATGGTCCGCATAAGTTTTGATTAAAAATATTTTTGTATTTGAATTTATGGAACCATAAACAAAGTTAGCTTGTACTATTTAACAAATATTCTGAAGTAGTAAAAATTAAGTTTTCAAAATAAATTTCAAACGTCACTTGCACGTAATCAAGGAACTCGCTGACAATAGCGCTATGTAGCGAGAATATTGTATTGCTCTTGCTTCTTCATGCACAAAATGTCACAATTTTCACCGTTTTTACAAGAGGCTGAGGCTGCGGTACTGTTGTGTTAAGCCAACCCAGTCTTAGGGCGGTGCCGTTTGGTGACGTTTTCTCCACGACAAATGCTTTTTTGTCCAACCATTTGAATCTTTAATTGGTCTCCTCTCTCATTGCCTGTCCTGTATATACTTACGTATATACAGAATCCGAGACAACATCAGCAACAGCAGCAGCAGCTGCAATAATCGAAGTGAATAATCTACTCCTTTTTATTGAAGCGGTATTTTTAGCAGCTACATCTAACATTGATGGATCATCTTGGTTTTAATTTCAAGTTCCGCGAGGCTGGGAGATCCACCTATGGAACTTCAATTTATTATTGCATCTAAAGTCGAGTAAAAGTAAATTGACTAAAACGAAAAAAGGGTAAGCGAGACATCACGTTCAATACATCCATTTCTTTTATTTACTTTTATTTACATCATATCGTCACAGTTACATTATTTCACTAATTCAAGTATAGTGACTAGTATATGATTGTTATTGTATAAATATTTCACATTAAATTTCATTTCAAATTAATCACAGCTTACTTTGAAATGACCAAAAATACACTTTTAACAAAGTAAATAGGTGCATGAATGCTTCGCCAACAGTCGTAGTTTTATTTTTCAAATATTTTATATATTATACTGGATAAATCTAAAAAATAACAAACTGTTCTTATTGGAATTTATTTCATATATGAACTCCATTATTTTCTACAAATTGTTTGTAAAGTTTTAAAAATAGTAAAATCTATTTCACAATGACTCGGATGCTTAAAACTAATTTAATAATTTAATTAATTAATCAAATTAATAGGTATTAAATAGTAAAACCAAAAATCCATTTTAGCAGAAAATTTACAAATTTCATGGATGATATTCTACACTTCAGTTACTAAATATTAAGATTTATACACGTAATAAATTTCAACAAGAAAAATTTGTTAATTTTTTTTAGATTTATCTATTATAATATAAAAAATAGTTAAAAAAAGAACTGTATCTGTTAACGAATCATTCATGCAACTTTTCACTTTGTCAAAAGTGCCCTTTTTCTGTAGTAAAGAAAACTTTAAAAACTATATAGGCACCAGAGGCACGCTAAATATATTACAACATTAATAACACAAATAGGAATTCACTTATTGAAAAAAAAATCAAGTGTCGGTCAACATATACATAAAACTATAAAAAATTTAAATACTAAATCGCTATATCCTTGTATTACAATATTATTTTTTTTAAATCAAATAAAAAATCATGAAAATAAAACAAAGCTGTCAGATCCATTACCTTTTCTGTGCATAGAAAATTATGTAAGTATGCTGCGTTACTATAACCATTGCTGTACGCCTGTCGTCGATGTTTATTGAACTCGGAGCGATAAAAAAAGACCACGTTTGCACTGCTGGTGGAACATCTTTTATTTTATTTATTTTGATTCCCGGAAGCTCCTTATACAAATATGACAAAAGATCTGCGCGGAATGGAAAGTAACGACTGCAGTTACCCTAAGGACAAAAATGCATGATGTTGCATGTTTTTCTACGACTGGCTGAAGGCTTTTTACCATCACAATCGATCGTAAAATTTTGTGTTTAATAGTATATTTATTTTTCGTGAAAATTCATATCCATCAAGTTTTAATATAATTGCTGCTCTACAGAAAATTAAGATCCCGGTCCCATAGCTACGTATGAATGCGGACGGATACGGACGCGAATCACAACTCTAGTAACATCATTAAAAATATCTAGTTCGATTATTTAGTACCAACACTACCGGTAGTGAGTAAAAGTAACTGTTGTTTAAAACTGTAGCGCCGAACGTACCATATTTAATGAACGCCTATCTAACCTTTACATTATTGCAGTCTATAAGATGGCAAATGATAGAGAATTGATGGACTTTCAACTACAATTAGTGGAATTAGGCCTTAATTTTCTTCTTCACAACAGTGATTCTGATACGCCATTCATCCGCCAGGGTAAGTAAATCGACGAGTACCGCCTCCTGATGTGAAATATCCAAGACACCAGGAGCCAGCACCCAGCGAATGCATGAATTCGCAGATCCATTGCACGCTCACACCACCTTCCGACAAAAAATCCCCACGTTGTCGCCATGGAAGACTTGAATTGTCATTTGCCCAGCAAACAATAGACGTCTTGAAAGAAATCTGAATTCTGTCTTTCGGAAGATGTCTTTGTGACAAGTTCAAAGATGTCTTGAAGTATCAACAAGACATCTAATGACCAGATGACGTTAAATAGACTAGTTTTAGACATATGTATAAGCTTTGCTGTAACATAGGGGCCAAGTCATACTGATTACAGTACGAAATTGACCGGAAACGTCTATAAATTTTACGAGTGAACTATTCTACGCATACTAACTGTTCTGTTCCTATAATTACATGCATTTGACTTATAAAAATGAACTTATATACTCATTGATCACCAATTTTCATGTGGAAACACGGTTGGCCAGTTAATACTCTAATCACTGACATGGCTGTTCAAAGATTTTTACCAATTTATACATTTATAATTCCATCTCTTTACCTTACCTTTCTTTACTTCTGCTTACTATAGCCCACTTCCTTCTATTGATACGTCTAGGTAATCTTCCGGTAATAATAAGGCCCCGGTCCCATAGGTACGTACGGATGCGGACGGATACGGACACGAATCGCAACTCTAGTAACATCACTAAAATATCTAGTTCGATTATTTAGTACCAACACTACCGGTAGTGAGCAAAAGTGACTGTTGTTTAAAACTGTAGCGCCGAACGTACCATATTTAATGAACGCCTATCTAACCTTTACATTATTGCAGTCTATAAGATGGCAAATGATAGAGAATTGATGGACTTTCAACTACAATTAGTGGAATTAGGCCTTAATTTTATGGAATATATGAGAAAAAGGAGAAAATAAAATGATATGTATTAATCATCCCAAAAACTTTTTTTACATTAGCATACTCATCAATAAGCAATATTCATGAGAATTTGAAAAGTAAATTGTAGACCTAACATTTGAACATTAAATGTGGTACGTTCGGCGCTACAGTTTTAAACAACAGTCACTTTTGCTTACTATCGATAGTGTTGGTACTAAATAATCAAACTAGATATTTTTAGTGATGTTACTAGAGTTGCGATTCGCGTCCGTATCCGTCCGCATCCGTACGTACCTATGGGACCGGAGCCTAATTGTTACGGAGTCTTCGAGCCCCTATTTCAGTCTTTTGTTGTTCTGGTTCTTTCTTGTTTTATCAACATGGTCTATTTTAAGAATGCAAATGTTTATTTAATTTTCCCATAAGTTACATATTTCAAGAGTTATACATTTCTAAAGGTCGAAAATTCCACGTATTTGACCAAATTTAAATGTTAATAACTTTTTATCTATATAGTCCTCTGTCAAATTGGAAAAATCTGTTTATTCTTTGAACTTTCCTTTATAAATTCATATTATTTAAAATTCATGGTGAACCTTAACTAACTTATTATAAAAATTCAAAACAACAAAGATTTTCTTATTGGAATATTTTCAAGCATGAAATGCTAGTATTTTGAGATCAAAATTAAAATCATCTATGCATCCATTTTTGACAAAAAAAGAAGATTTCTTAGTTAAAACTTATAATTTTGCGTTTGAAATTATTTGTTGCAAATAATTATCATATACACCCACTGGTAGGCCAATCAATAAAGAAATTTTTGGGTAAAAATTACATGATGAATGAAACGCGTATAGTACTTTTCAGGACAATGTAAATAGATGCTCTATATCAAATGTAACTCAAAAAAAAAAACATCGCCTATTGCTTACGAAGGTTTAAAGTTGACCAAAACTAGTGATGGGCGATTATCACAAAAGTAATTAATCGAACACAATCGATTATCAAACTCTATACCAATCGACTAATCGTTTAATCAGCTCAAATTATTGAAAACAATCGGATAATCGATTAATCAGCGGAAACATTTAAATAATTATAATTTATCCAGTGTTTATTAAATAACGAAATTTATCGAATCCAACTTATTATTTTCAATGTTCTACTATACAATAATGAAATTGATCATGGACCCAATTAATTACAATAAATTTTTCATATTTCCAAACTTTTCTTGGCCTTCTTCTGTCAAAATAAAAATTTGATTATGTATTTCTGCTTCATCGGCATTATTGAAATCTAATTCTGTCACACCAGATAACTTTCGGCCAGGATGCGTTATGATGATGGATTTATTCGAATTTGATTATTATTGATAAAAAAATAAAAAATGGTAGTTATGCGATATTTCCATTTATGTACGCATTATAATAATTTTGTAAACATTTAATTGTTACGAATCGTTTACAAAAATGATCCGCAGTTTTTCAATGCAAATAATTTAATTTATTCCCGTCTACTCTAATGATCTATGAGTTATCAACTTGGCAGATTTTTTTATCAATGAAAATGAAATTGCAAGAGACTATTATTGATTTTTATATCGTTACTAACACGTATAATTTGTTCTATAATTTTTTCGGAATAATTTTCGTAAATTTCCCGATGAGTTCAGAGTTCCTTTATTCCTCGGAAACAAATATCAACTTCTCTCTTATCCCCTACCACAACATATGTGCAAAATCACTGATAAGTGATTGATTGATAACTATGATGAATCAAGAATCAAAATGTCAAGTTATTTGCATGGAAAATCTGTAAAGAATTGTAACAATTGATTGTTTACAAGATTATTATAACGTGTGTGCAGATGGAAATACCGTATAACTATACTTTTATTTTTTTATCAATGACAAACAAACAAATTTGTTTTGATGCTCATTTTGCTAATAATGCGTAGCTATGCTGTATTTTTTTTAGATTTTTATTAATCCCTGCCTGCGTTTTGGAAACCGTAACTACCTATCTTTGTTGATACGTTAAATTGAATCTTACCAATACTATATACCAATAGCACATGCCGTTTAGCCGTCGATAACTCTATTATAGTTGCAGCTCCTGCATAAGGCCCCGATTCCATAGCTACGTATGAATGCGGACGGATACGGACGCGAATCGCAACTCTAGTAACATCACTAAAAATATCTAGTTCGATTATTTAGTACCAACACTACCGGTAATGAGCAAAAGTAACTGTTGTTTAAAACTGTAGCGCCGAACGTACCACATTTAATGTTCAAATGTCAGGTCTACAATTTACTTTTCAAATTCTCATGAATATTGCTTATTGATGAGTATGCTAATGTAAAAAAAGCTTTTGGGATGATTAATACATATCATTTATATATATTTTCTCCTTCTCATATATTCAAGTACTTCCATAAAATTAAGGCCTAATTCCATTAATTGTAGTTGAAAGTCTATCAATTCTCTATCATTTGCCAATTTATAGACTGCAATAATGTAAAGCTTAGATAGGCGTTCATTAAATGTGGTACGTTCGGCGCTACAATTTTAAACAACAGTTACTTTTGCTCATTACCGATAGTGTTGGTACTAAATAATCGAACTAGATATTTTTAGTGATGTTACTAGAGTTGCGATTCGCGTCCGTATCCGTCCGCATTCATACGTAGCTATGGAATCAGGGCCTTATGCAGGAGCTGCAACTATAATAGAGTTATCGACGGCTAAACGGCATGTGCTATTGGTATATAGTATTGGTAAGATTCAATTTAACGTATCAACAAAGATAGGTAGTTACGGTTTCCAAAACGAGAATTGATAGACTTTCAACTACAATTAATGGAATTAGGCCTTAATTTTATGGAAGTACTTGAATATATGAGAAGGAGAAAATATATATAAATTATATGTATTAATCATCCCAAAAGCTTTTTTTACATTAGCATACTCATCAATAAGCAATATTCATGAGAATTTGAAAAGTAAATTGTAGACCTGACATTTGAACATTAAATGTGGTACGTTCGGCGCTACAGTTTTAAACAACAGTTACTTTTGCTCACTACCGGTAGTGTTGGTACTAAATAATCGAACTAAATATTTTTAGTGATGTTACTAGAGTTGCGATTCGCGTCCATATCCGTCCGCATTCATACGTAGCTATGGGACCGGGGTCTAATCCGGTTACTTATTCGAGTCTGGCTGGTCAGCACGAAGAGAAAACACAAAAATGAATTATAGGCTTAGACCCTAATATTTTCCTACAAGCATCCCATAAAGGTCAATTAATTAGTGTGCAAAGAAGTAACGATTTTAATTATAATAATTTTCTCTGGATATTAAATGATTATCAGTAGCTACGCAAAAAAATATCAAATTCTGTTTTTCAATCATCAAAATTGGACTAGATTAATTAAAAATTATTCAAATCTAGTTAGTCAGTTCAGCAAGAAAACTCAAAAATGAATTTTAGGACTCGTTTACTCGTTCCTTGCCTGTCCTCTTCTTTTTTCTTTGCTGAAAACTTTCACTTTTTAGTAGTAGTAGTAGTATGTGTTTTTATTGGCAGAACTTTTTACAAGTATAGGGCCATAGTACTAAATTTTTCGACTTTTTCTCCATTAGTACGTTTTGGCACCAGCTAACAGAATTTCTTAAACTAATCTGTACACGGATCTACATCTGTCCTATAAGCGTCTGTATTTGTTGAGGCTACTATGACTATAGTTTCCATGCATGATATATATATATATATGTATATATATATGCTCCGCGTGTCTCATTCTCGTTGCCTTTGAGTTTGAGGTTGAGTTTTGACTGATGAGTTTTAATCTTGTAAAGTTGTTACTCGTTGGTCTGCATTGTCTGAAAGACTGGAAATAAACAAATATTTTGATTATTTTGAGAAAAATTAACAATATATAAGAACTTTCAATAGGTGATTTGTAAGTGGATTCCTCATTCAAGGTAAAAATATTTCATGTTTATTATAGTTATCAAGCTTGCTAAAATTTAACTTTTATTTGTCAAGCCTAAAAAATTGTTTTAATGAATAATCAATATATAGGAAGACAAAATAATATTCATTTGTTTAAATATTATCAATTTTAGACAATATAAAATCACACAGTAATGGAAATAGACGAGTCAAGCCCAACTTTTGATATGTATGAAGCTGATCCAAGTACAGAAAACATTGAAATTGTAGGATCACCATTAGTAGCAGGAAATATTGACGATGATAGTGACAATGAACAAGGTGATGAAATGTCATGTGCACAAGCACTTCAATCACTTGAAAATGCTTGGTTGAATGAAAAATTTGCACCAGAACTGTTACCACATCAACAAGATCTTGTTGATTTCATGTTGGAAACGATTACTTACATGGAAAATAATATAAAAAAGTAAGTAGTTCAATAGTGTTCTCTATGAAAAATTAAATAACTATCCATCTCATTTCTATCATAAATATTTATACAATAGATGTGAAAAAGGTGACATTCGTATTAATATTCACACTATGGAGAATAGAAGAATTAGGTTCATTATCTCAAGTTATTTAAGAAAAAGATTAGATAAAATAGAGGAATATGCAATTCATTTACTAACTGAAGATAACAATAGAAGTACAGAAGAAGCTTACATGACACCTGCTGAAACAAAGTTTGCCAGAGAATATTTATCCAGTGTTGAGAACTTGTTCACAACAGTAGCTTTACAGCATATGCCAGATAATGTTAATAATTTTGATATAAAAGCAATGGCTTCCAAACCCAATATGGACAAACATGTTTTTGTAAGAGCAAACAAAACAATTAATGGTATTTTAATTGCTGGTAATGAGGACATAGATTTTGAGGAAGACTCACAACATATTGTACAGTATAGTGCTATTGCACATTTAGTAAAAAATGGAGATGTACAATTGATATAGCAAATAGTAAATTTTTTACATACAAAAGTTGAAGTATCTAAAATTTTATAAAAACTTTTTGAATTATAAAATACACTGTACATACCTCATTGTTTCCGGTATAAATTTATATTTTTATACTAATGATATGTTTTAAAAATCATTGGTATTTTTAATATTTATTGTTTGAGAATACATCATAAATAAAGTTGTCATACTGTCTCAGATTGATATTTAAATAATAAGATTTAGTAGAATATTTTCAATTTTGTAAAAATACAATTTTGTTTTAATTGCATTTCATTTTTTTGCAATATTGATACAATCATTAGTAATAGTTACTATTTATTTGTAATATTGAAAATTTAATTTTAAAGTCCTAATATTTAGGAAAATCTTACACTATATTTTTGTATACATTTTATTAAATAAAATAGTTATACAAAGATAACAAAGCCACTTATAAAATATATTCAATTAATTCTGATTCAGTCATATATGTTAGTAAAATTGAAAAATGATCTATTTGTTTTATTAGCCAAATTAGTCGGAATATCAAATTCAACTATTATTCCATGATCTACCACAAAAATTGTTTTACTGTCTGAAATAGTACTCAATCTAGATGCCATTATTAAAATCTCACTTGCAATTTTTGCACTTTGCAATTTTTTTTCTAATAATTAAATCAGTTAACCTTCAGAGAGTCGAAAAACGCTTAGAGGCGTAAAAAATCAAATTATTTGTTTATATTTTACAAATAATAACTAATCAATTATTTATGGTAAATTTTTTTATTATGACAGAATCACTCGTAAAAAAATAATGATACAAAATTAATTTATTTAATCAGATAATACATCTATAAATATAAAAATAAAAACAATAGTGCAATTGTAATGTTATTTTGAATTTTGAAAATAAAAAAATTTGACTATACCGTACCGGATCGCGGTACGCTTCTAGGAGTAAAGAGTTCGATCTACTAACACCCCAAATTATTTTAACTCTAATCTTACGAACCTTAGACCACATCTGTAACAAATACGATTTACAAATTTTTCAAAACCTCGGCTCTCTAAAGATTAATCTGTAAGAAAGTCAATATTTACAGTGACTTCATCAAGAATTAAAATACAGTTATTGGCAATACTAGCACGAGTCAGGAAAAATAACTTTTTCTCCAGTACTAAGATTATTACCTCAATTTTCGATGCGACAGTATAGAAAATAAAATGAGCATTTAATTCAACATTTTCAGGACTTATCATATCATTTCGTTGTATTTTTCAAAAAGATCAAGATTTCGTTTTATTGTCGCAAATGTTACTGCGCAGACTGCTGAGCCTATAAATTTTTATGTCAAACGCTATTGATATAAATTCAACCCTCCTAGTTGAATAATTAAAATATATTATTATAATCCGAATTATGAACGTTTTCCTTTACCAATGCGTTCTATCATTCCGATCTGAAATAATATTAGTTTAATTATTTTTGAACTTGATTAAAAATTTGTATAAGCAAACGACGTAAAATTTGTTTACACTTTTTCTCGTCGTTTCATGAAAAATGAAACGTTCTTCAAACGTGTTTCATCATCTTAAAAATATCTTAAATATACATTTTTAAATTCGATTAGATCATTCGTTAGCCAGCTTTCGGAAGTACCTTCAGGTGCAGTTACGAAAGGACCTTCTTGCTGAAAATTTGTGAACTGCAATATTCTTCTGCAGTTATCGTTTGTGTTATCATTCTAGTAATTTGTCGAAGTCCATACTGCACCATTTCGTACAAGATAAGAATTTGAGTCATGACTAAGCCTATCATTCCAGCGTAAATATTATCTTTCATGGAAAAAATAAGATAAAAAATAACAAAGGCTTACAATAACTAATGGAAATAATATTGAAACAAAAATAAAAAACTAATCCTAATACTATATATTGATATAATGAGCAGAGGTATAAATATTCTGTAGAGTTAAATTTTATGTTTGCCATTTTCTGCATTTTAGCGGAACGATTTTTGCTACACCGGATATTGTTAAGCTAATTTGTGCAAATATTGAACTTTTCGCTGAAAAAAAATCAAAATGATTTTAATTTATTTTTTCAATGAACAAATTTTGTTTGCCTTTGCTATCCAAACGTCTGATATTTTAAGCAGGTGGTAAATAGCTATTTTTTAATTTTCAATAAACTAGTACAACTATAGTAAAAAAATAACATCCACTAGTTGAAAATCAAAATTTGAATAATGACCCCGCAATACCATAAGGAATTCGTGAAATGTGTGTGTGCGTATGTGTGTGGGTGCGTGTGTGTGTGTGTGTGTATGTATATGGCCAATGCTTTCTTTATGTAGAGTCTTAAGTTGAATCAGTTCAAAATGTTTGTCCCACTGTACAGCATTTTTCAAGGAGGTGGTTAATGCGGCAACCATACCTGTACAGTTTCTTCCCGTAGTTGTGCAGACTTAGTTAAGACTTTGTTACCGTTTCTGATTGAGCGATAGAAGATTTTCGAGGTTTTTTCTTAAACAAATGAAGTGATCAACTTGAAACATTTTAAGAATATCCATAACCTAGCCAGCAATAATTGTTTCCGAAACGTTCCCAAACCATTTTTGTTGTCCGTTTTTGTTTGAAGCCAAATATGATAAAAATGTTGAAGAAACCAATTTTTTAAATGTTGTCAAAATATGAAACAATGCACAAAAACAATGCTGCAACATTTTTGCCGGTTGCCGAAAAAGTTGCAATGTTTCCAAAACAATGTTCTGGCAACATTTTGAAAACAATTCTTGCTGACTGAGAATGAAAGAATCGTAAATAGTCGTTTTTTTTTTAAATATCTTGAAAATCGAGAAACGAAATTAAAATTGCGAATAAAGTTTTATTTTTGTTCTCGATGTCCAATTTTCACAAAAACGGTTCTTTACAGTCCTTAGTTTACGTACAATCGATGTTCTGAAAAAATTTCAAGTTGATTTATTTATATGTTTAAGAATAAAATTAGAAAAACTTATTTTCCTCAGTCGGTAACGGCAACAAAGCGTTAACTTTCATTTTTCCATGATAAGGTCTTCAAGGAGTTTCCTTTTTATTTCCTTAAACCCTTAGTGAAGATATACGGCTAATTCTTCTTTATGTGCAAAGTCGTGAGTTACTTCATTTAAAAATATTTGGGCTCTTTTTCCAATAGTATTGAATTTACTAGGGAATAGTGAATGTAACAGACATACTGTTGTGCAGTTTCTTCCCACTAGTGATGTTTAACATGATTCGCGCGTTCCTTTCATTCTCTGCATTCATTTTAATGCACGAATATAGATCACATTTTATTGGTGAAATAGGAAATTCCAAAATTCAATCTGCATTTTATATTTTTATTCTTTAAATTAAGCCGACGATAGATTTATTGATAAATCAATATGCAGTTATTTTATATATATTAACTCATGATTTCAAAATGTTGATAAAGTTTTAAGTTTTTATCATCCTAAGTTTTGTTAAAAAAATCAACATTCAAAAGTTTGGAAAACACGATAACAGTTTATTGTAAATTCACAAAACATTATAGTTTTCTATAATCATATCCTTCACGATGTAAATAACATACTTCGGCATAGAACGTTCACAGTTGTAATTAGTGTCTTTTCAAACAAATTTTCTAATAATATTTACGTAACTTAATAAAGGCAAAATTGTACAATATTTTATAGAATATTACAGATTAAGATTTTTAATTTTTTTTTGTTAAAACCCGCGATTTTTGCAGTTCAGCCCTTATTCGTAATTATATTCCGAGTAATTGATTTCTTATGAATTCCTGACTATTTTATAAACTTATTTATTTGTTTCTTTAAGGCGGTATTCGTTTCAATTAGATTAACGCAAAAATAGTCTAAACTAGCTATTTGGTTAATTCTATTTCTATTTTCTATCTCAAGTTTTGCAACTCGCACACTAAGACTACACCATTTTGATTAATTTTCGTAATAGCGGTATTTGTGACTATTCACTAAATCTATTACTGACTCCTGACTTTCTTTTAATGTTGAAAAATCCTCAATTACGTGATCTACCGTGTCGATTACGTTGTTTGAAATACTACTTAATATATGGCCCGGAATATGGAATATATTTTGGACAATAGGTGGTCTTTCGGGAAGGCTTAGGCATTCAGACGAATTTTAGCAACAAAATATTGATGATAGGGAAACTATAGTCCCAAATCAAATTTAAGCGATCAATTATACCCTAACTTAGAAAGATTAGAAAAACTTATTGAGAAATTGAATGATATAAAAATTATCAGAAGAACAAATGCGTTCATGAAAAATCAGCTCCAAGTAGTCGACTAGATTCCAATGAAAATTTAAGTGATATCACCATAGATATTAGAAATTTCATAGAAATACTATTCGAATCTTGTTCTTATTTCTAATAAATATATTATATAATGAAAGTTATAAAAAAATGATTGATTTGTTTTCAATAATGTCAATTACAATTGCATTAATAATTAATCTTAATAAATTCTTATACTTATAAACGATATCAACTCAATTTTAATACTAAAAAAAATTCAACAGATAAAGATACTATCTCTCTTAAAACAACATCAGCGTAAAATAAATAATAAGTTTTTCTGAGTATTTTCATATAAAAAATTAATTCTTGCTCTGTTGTTTCCTTTGATACACAATTTCAACGTATAAAGAAGACTTGATCTTGCTTAGCAATATTGCCATTCGGGACTTTATAGCAAATCTTCACGCTTGACCGTTCTCCAATATTTAAGAACTGTCGCAGAATAATACGAGAATTGAATGTTAATAATGGTAAGAATTTTGTTTATTTAAGAAACATTTAATTAGGCACTATTTTTTAAAAATCTTTAAGTTTGAATGCTATTATTTCTTTCTCTGTTATCAAAGATCGATTTTTTCCTTCATATAACTTTTCAATTAAAGATATTTATTGACAATTGATCTGCCATAAACTCCTCTACTTAGTTTCTTAACTCAGTTACATTAACTTCATCTTTCGCATCCTTCCAATAGTCGTAAAGTGCAGCTATGTCCTAACCTAAATGAATCATTTTCATTTTCTGGAAAAATACCATGTTAAGTGAACACGGTTTAGCCAGTGAACACAAAAATAAAATCAAGGAAAGCCGTATTATTTTTCCTGCATCATTTTTTTTTATAGAAAATCTCATAAACTTTCAAATTCTCCAATTTCCCTATATCGTCTTCTTCCCATTCTGGTAGTGTACAATAATTATAAAATGTTTATTGTTTGTTCACGATAATCAAGTATTATGATCTAGGCTCATTACTATAACGATAAGACTCCAAAATGTTCTTGTCTGTTAAAATAATAAACTGTTATGGAATCAGTATTTATTGCTCAACTCTTATTTTTTTATATTACTATACTTACACCCTAATTAATATATTTTGATGGCATAGAGTTTCTTTTTTATTCTGCTTCAGACATCTGGTCATAATTAAAGTCATTTTCTTGTTCCGGTTGAAATGGAACCCATTCGATTAACTTACTCTTTTCATCATACTTAAATAATTTTATATCACGAACATGCACAACTTCTGAAGATTGTATTTTTATAAATCGTACATGTGCATGTGTAATTTTGTTGGATTCATCGATGACATTAGCACATTAAATAAAAGTTTCAAACAATATGAATACTTAAGTAAATAAAAATGAAGAATTTAAAAATACGTATCTTATTAAGTTATTATGTAACGTAACTTGTGATTTGAAAACAATCGATAATAAGACAACAATCACTTACTTCTAAATTTTAATACTTGTACTTTTTCATCATAGTTATCTATTTCAACAAAATATATTTGTAGATGTTGAAAATCATTAAAAGTTATAAAACTTTGTCTAATCTGACAAATTTTTATAGCTAATAATGAGCCATCTTTTAACAATCGAACAAGGGCATGTTCATAACCATCCTCATTTTTGAGTAAATCACATGCACCGATTGCTTCGCTTAAATCTATAAAGTTAGGAAAATAAAAAGTTAAAAATGAAAAGAAAATAAAAATTCAAAAAGTTCCTGCTAAGAATCGGTTAGCTAAAAGCGCCAAGAAGGCCAAAGGAGTCAGCAAACAGCTCAAAGAAAAACTTGAATTAATAGCTTCAGCAAATTAATCAAATTCCAATGAGAAAATTGGAAAACTCATTGAAGTGGAGTTATATTGGAGAAGTTTTTTTAGTGAATTTGTTTACAGTTCATTATAGTTATTTTATAATTTTATACAATATACTTACCATGTACTTGTTACACTTGTCAGTTCTGACTTTCGTATCGTTTATACTTTATTTGTAAGTCGTAATAAACAGCTTTTGAAATTTAATATAGTAAATTGAATGTACAATTGAATTCTTGTATATAGATATTTAGTAATATAATTCAAGCAAGCAATTTATCGTGCACATTATTTGCGTTTATCATATTGACAATACTATTAATAAATTAAAATTGTTAAAATGTTTTTGATTTCTGTAAAAAAATATCGACTACGTCTGATATCCCAACTTGTTTAATTTAAAAGAACAAGAGGAAAGGGGGGAGTTACTGCTAGGTGGAAGGGGTGGAAGGGTGTATAGGTGCACGAATAATGAAATGATTTGTATGATAAATCGAGAATTTATTAGTGTAGAAAGAAAAAACCTCATATGGAGGGAAAACGCTGTGAGACGGATATAAATCAAGTTAATTTCTATAATAATCCAATTTATAATATTATTAACTAATTAACGTCGAGGTTCGTGTAGTCTGTACAAAGGTCAAGTGGCCAGTTCGACGGGTTGAGAGCTCTCTTATCTTTGGACGATCGACACTTGGGCAGCTGAGTTTCTTTCGGCAGGACTAACAGAGGAGCACGTAGTTCTGACGTCTCGGAGACGGAAATAGCCCTCACTATGATTTTCCCGGATTGCCGATTTGGAGGCAACAGGGTTTGACCACACTTCAGAAGAGCAAAGGGTCCTCAGCTAGCGTTAGAAAATCCTTCTCTCTTCTCTTCTTTGGAACCTCCTTTCATGTGAATATGATCAGCGAGGAGATTAAGAGTCATATTTCCAACGTGTGGGCTAGATATGGGTATATCGTCCGTCCGAAGACTGTTGTCTTAAGAAGCAGTGTGCGCGTGATTAAGAAAACTAGGGAGCGTAGAATGCACAAACACGACTTTTTGATTAATAATTACAAATTACAAATCATATTATTTTTTTTTCTTTTTTATTATTGTTGATCGTAAATTAGTAATTCGAATTATACTATTTTCATTCACCATTTCCGTTCGATCGTGTGCAGTCGTTTCTACGCAATCGCAATCGTTAACGTTCATTTCCTCCTTGAATTGGCAGAAATTATGATCTTATATAAAATCGGTCTTAGAAACAGTATTTTTCCGCATGAAAACCGGAACAAACACCAAAAGTACGATTTGGAGATTAAAATGCCGCAAAAAACAATATTTAAGTTTGAGTCAACTGTTCGCGCCTACAAATGATCTTCCCGATAGACTTCAATGTTCGCGTAGAAAATCACCAAGAATCGATGTATAAAAATTGAAACTTTCAATAATACTCATGCACATACATACGTACGCACCATTGCTCAGTTGGCAGCCTTACACATCTCTGAAAATTTATAAGATAGGTATAATGCTATTTTCACATTCTTGTCATCGTCGCGATGGCACATAAGAGAAAGAGCACAGTGTCTCTCTCCCCCCACCATGTTTGGAATGGCGACTCGCGCGTGAGTGTAACTCGCGTCAGGCAAGTATCAGTAGCAGCAGCGCCGCCGCCCACGAGCTTCATAGTCACAATGACTCGCGCTGCGTAGACGCCGGTCGTGGCCGTACCTCGTTTTCTTTTCCTCTTCCGTTGTTCGTACTCATAGCAGTGACTGTGTGTGATACTTCTCATTTTATACAGTTAGCGGCTGCTATGGGCCAAACTACTCCAAGTCCCAGGCTTTCGGCTAACTTCCTCAGCAGATTGTTCTTCTGGTAAGATATTCTCTCTTTCTTCTTTGCTGTTTTGTTTTGGAAAAAATCTCTGTAGTTCACGCCATCGCGAGAAAGTAAGAGATTACATTTTCAGTATCACCTCACGTCTTTAGAGTGATCGTTGAACTTGGTTCAGGTTTTTATCGCCGCGGGAGTCACATCATATTTACCATGTATTTCATCTGTTAATGCGGGAGAGAGAGAGAGAGACGTATCTCTTGGTAAGCGGATCGTCCGACTTACTACTGATAATTCGATTTAAATTCATTCCAAATGCATTATGCTGCAATTAACGAAAATGAAAGACTATTGTTTGTTATCATATAATTTATTGAACTTTGCTCGATCACTTGACACTTGGATTATATTACGGGATTTTAATATAAAAGCGCTACCTTGTCGTTATAAGAACTATGTTCGATAATAAGGAGAAATTGGTTTGGCCGATCTATTTTTAGAAATATATTCACGCGAGAGTAGCTATAATTTTATATTCGCGTGATCGGCTTTCATAAATACTGAACGTGTGATAACGTTCTCAAAAAATGACAACACCCGTGAGAAAATACGACACGTATAACAGTTAGCCGTACTGTTTTTTATAAATAAGTGATTTGGTAAACTAGAAAAATGAAATTATGAGATCAAAGATCCTTTTGATCCGACTATAGGCTTCATAAGTATGGGCCGCCGGTGAGAATGAAACCTTTTGTTCTACGCCTTTGTAATCATCTGATTAGATTTGAAATCTCATAAAAACATCTATAGCACTTCAAATTTTAATTACATAAAAAGTAGAACATTTTACTCTACAACATATTCATTGTCAATACTTGTCACTATCTCAATTTGCTATTCTGAGAACTTAGACTTAGTATAGTCAATTTTATATGTATAATTTTATTTATCATTTGATTAGCTTTGGTGTTTGATTAAGAAGTTTACATTTTGAGGCTATATAAAAAGGAACTATTACTTTGAATAATACGAGCTTAAAAACTAATTTTACACGTGAAACTAAAATATTCAGGGATATTTTTTCACAGATACTAAAATTAGATTTAAACAAATAAAAAATTACAAATTATACATATTAATTTACGGACTTAAAATTTATTTATTTACTTTATTATATTATTAATTATAGTTTTCAGTAAGAACACTATTCCAATATAATCTATAGATTTTAAAATAAAACAAGCCAACAGTTACAAAAGTAAATACAGATCCTAAACCAAACAGCGAATGTAAAATGTAAACGTTTAAGGTCCTGATTTTTAGTGAAGTCGCATCAAGATACATAAGCTACCGCGTATAAGACACACAATATCTGTTATTGTCAAAGTACACACATCGTAGCATGAGTCGGTCGGGCATCGTCTTTCAGAAAGAAAGCAAAAGCGCGTAATCTTTAGCTAGAAATAATTACTGACCGCTGACTCGCTCCGGCGCGTCTCTCCCCCTGTGAACATTTGCCACTCGATCTTGGAAACATCAATTTTATTTTCCGGTTGATTTGCATTTTTACACAAATGTATCGTCGTAACGTTATCAAGGCAAACTAATACGATCACATTATGTAACGCTGTAATAAAACCGTTCACCTGATGATGGATTGTCGCTTTTGCGCGCTCAGGAATTGTATCGCAAAATCCTGAATCGCTCGGCAGTTAGGGCCTATACAAATTTATTCAACTTATTGTCGACAATTCCTGTCCAAAAATAGCAATCGCCTGTTTATTTTGACCAGAGCAACAAAGCATAATTTCTAATGTGAAAAATCAATGACAGGTGGTTGAAGCCTTTATTCTATCAAGGCAAAGCTCGCGACCTGAAGAACGACGACTTGCACGATGCGTTGCCAGCCGATGTTAGCGAACATCTTGGTGGCCGATTGGAAAAGTAAGAAAACTTGCTTTGTACTGGTAAAAGTTTTCTCGTTGAAACATTGTTGGTTTATTTCATCTTTTTGGATGTGTACAGATACTGGAAGAACGAGGTGGAGAACGCGCGGCAGAGCGACAGGAAGCCAAAGCTCGTGAATGCGATCAGAAAAGCCTTCGGCTGGTCGTACTTCTACTACGCTGGTCACATGCTTGTGCTTAATTGTTTGAGGTATGTACCTACCTCTGATCATTCAACTATACTTGCATTTTAAGCGCATATTTCGTAACATTGCTCCTAAGGAAAAAATTCATATTCCGCTGACCATTATGGAACGTTAGTCACTATAACGAACCTGATAACGTTGCAGTGACTAAGTCTACCATTCTTGCTTAATAAAACAAGAAATCCCATTAAATTTGCAGGGTTCTACAACCATTCATACTCGGATTGCTGATTCAATATTTCAAGCAGGACTCTGATGTTACCAAGGAACACGCATACGGTTATGCTTCGATTTTGGTCTTGCTTACCTTTGTCCACAGCTTACTCAAGCATCATATAGATCTTGGCACTCTTGAAATCGGTATGCGGCTGAGAATTGCCTGCTCTTCGCTTATTTATCGGAAGGTGAGTCAATCCACGGGCTGGAGATCACTGTTTTTTTATCGGGATAGTTGATAATGTACTTTTAATATCATCTTTAGAGTAGATATTTTTTCAATGTTTGTATGATAATTTCGTTATTTCATATTACAATTTTCATAAGATCAAACTTATACAAACGAAAAATCTTAGCAGACATTCATTTACTTGAAATAATTTAGTAAAAAGAACATCCTTCATAAACTTTAATAAAAAAATAAGAAATGTAGGTCCGAAGCAAGCATACGAGTTGCTCTGTTTTGAAATAACCCGTTCGAAATTTAATATTATACGCATAACAGACTTTCGTGGATTTTATTATTTTTTTCATTTTGTTTTATATATGCCGACAGTGAAAGCGAGTTTTATCATAAAAATTCTTAAATTGTTTATAAAATATTAATTGCAATTAAATACGACTTAGAAAATATAATGTTGCAATTTATTTATAATAAAAATATCTGTCGCTTCACGAATAAATAAGTGCAAGTAAGCTTTTTAATTATATCAAATTAGTAATCGCTATTTGCAAGTATGGCTTGGTAGAGTAAATTTATTATTCGTATTTACGTCAAAAACTATCGTAATTTTTCTTTCAATTATTCTCGCACCTGAACATCAAAGCAAATAATGCCGAATCGGTTGATACCTTGAAAAAAATGTAATTTCAAGCACGTTTTGATTATCTCGGCATAGTGTATGAGTACTATAGGTATGGCAATTTTTTTAATTTTCGTAATTCTGCAAGATCCGGAACTCAAATTATACAATATATAAAATATTTTAGATAGAAGTAAAACTTTTTACAAGTGTGGAAACTATTTGATAGTGTTTTCAAAATAATTTATTACTGTAGGTTTTGCGGCTATCAAATGCATCGGTAACAACGACAACCGGCGGCCAAGTGATCAATTTATTATCAAATGACGTCGTCAGGTTCGATCCATTGTTCATGTACTTACACTACGTCTGGATAACGCCCATCGCAGGTGCTGTCATTACCTACCTGATTTGGTGCAATGCCAAAGTTGCTGCATTGGTTGGCGTATTACTTATGACTCTCGAAACCGTTCCCGTTCAAGGTGAAACATAAATTAAAAAATTACATGTTACGAAAAAGAACTTGACTTTTAAAATCTATGAAGTATGCTGGGTTATAAAAATAAAATTGCCAAATATTAAAGTCAAACAATTTGACGTAACTGAAATATTCGTATTTATTCTTCAAAAGCTTTAATAATAATTTATAATGAAATAATAAATATTTAGATCTTACTTATTCCGTAAGACATACTTGTTTCAAACGAAAAGCTCCGATAATAGGTCTCAGCTGCAGTTCATATATGAAGTATTCATAGCCAAAATTAACCACGCCAAAAATTATATTATCTGATTTCAGTGTACGCCGGCAAGATAGCGTCGAAATTACGGAGCAAGATTGCAACAAGAACCGATGAGCGTGTTAGACTGATGGGTGAAATAATTAACGGGATCCACGTTATCAAAATGTACACTTGGGAGAAACCATTTGAGTTCCTCGTATCGCTGGCTAGAAGGTGAGGTAAATATCATCGTATATATAACCGTGCTCACGATCGCTGTCTCGATATCACTGCGTTTGAGTCTTGATGAAATGACATTTTGAATTTTAAATTTATAACGTTTTTAATTTTATACCGCATATATTTTTATTTTAATCTTTGTTATTGTGTGTTCAATTCTCAACACACAAAATCGTTTTTGTTCACGCGACTTCTCGCGCTCAATTTCAATAGAAGAAAATGATCATTTTCTCCTAAAATCATAAAAAGTTTTCGCGTGTACTTTTTTATATTACAATCTAATATTTTATAATCTAATATTAATTTTACATGAAAACATCAATAACCCCAACAAAAACAACCGATTTTTTAAACTTTTTTAAGTTGATTAAAATTGCAATTAAGCAAGTACCTGATCAACAAAAAGCACGGTACGAATGTCTAAATGTTCTGAAACCGTCTAGGGAATTCTTTTTATTGAGTCTGTACAAAATATACCAAAAATGTACAAAACGGACAAAAAAAAACATTCCCTAGATCTTATACAAAATGTACAAATACAGATATAAAAAGGAAAAAAAAGGACTTTACATAACAAATTGATACTTCAAACAATACTCGGAATTACCTAAAAGACATGCGTTAATTCTTTCAGAACTGTGAAAATATATAATTTTTTCGCAAAGTTGATACTTGTCGAAAAGATAGCATTTTTTTTAATACTTTTATACATTTACCGAAAATAGTTCTCTTTCAAAATGTTTTATAATAATTTTTACAATAATTTTTTATTTTTTCATATTAACTCTAAAAGTACCAACATTGCGAAAAAATTTTATGCTTCAAAAATGATGAAAATAGGAAAAATTATATTCTTAAAATTAGTTTAAAAAACTCCTGTGAATTTTTTAATAATTTGTCAAGCAAATAGTTTATTAAAAAAAAATAGTTAAAATAAAAAAATTAAAAATATACTAAACAGTTCAAAGAATTTACTCACATTCTATAAGTAATTCTAAGTATTTTATAAAATATATTTTTTTGTGTAAAGTTGATACGTTTTAAGTATAAATGCAGCAGCTTTTATATAATACTAATATAAAAAATGGTTTCTTTTTTATGAAATGTAATAATAATAATAGATTTACTGACATTTTCATGTAAAATTAATATGGAATTATTAAAGAACACAGTACAAAACCCTTAGATGAGATTTTGGGAAAAAATGATTTTTTATTGATATTGTGCGCTAGAAATTATGTGCACAAAGAAACGAATTTACGGATTAAAATGTAACGTATATTTAAAATCTTATTCTATTTTGTGCGTTAGTGTATTGGTTTCCAGGTATACGCCTTATTTTTGCCAATTTTAATAAGGGTCGGGGGTGGTGGGTTGGACTCATTTAAAAGGTATGCTTCCAAAATGGTCCTGTTTCATTATTGACTTGATTGAAATATAACTTTGCAAGTAACTGCAAAGAAATTAAAAAATTTTGGAGTCAGCCTTTTCTAAAAATTGTTATTAGATTCAAGCATAATTTTATATACATTTTTAATATCAGGTATGAAATCGATGTCATTACATTGATGTCCTACTTGAAAGGGGTGAACATTGCCTCCAATGCATTTGTCGACCGCACCTGCTTGTACTTTACAATCATGGCCTATGTTCTTGCCGGGAATTTCATTTCCGCGGACAAAGTTTTTTCTATGGTTCAGTACTTCACGATTCTGCAAGGCCTTCTTGCATACAACTATCCACGGGCTATGTTCAGCGTTGCAGAGACTCGTGTGTCTATCAAAAGAATTGAAGTGAGATTTATTACCATTCTATTTATTACTTTGATTTATTCATTAAAATATAGAAGTCTTTGCAGTATTATTTTTTATTGAAATGTATTTTGACGGGTTGAATAAACGAAATTGAATTTTACAGAAATTTTTGATGCTAGATGAGATTAAAATAAGAGCACCACTACTATCTATAGAAGATAATGGTAGTATTATACTCAAAAGTGTAACGGGCTCGTGGTCTCCTAATTTGATAGTCAATACATTACACGACATCACGTTGTATATATCACCAAAAAAACTTCATACCATTGTTGGTCCTATTGGCTCTGGCAAGGTAATTAATTCATTATTTTTTCCTAGAAATAATTTTAATTTTATAATCAGAAATTTTACTAGTAACTATCACATTTATCGAATTCAATTATTAAAACGTACTTTGTTCATTACGAGATATAAATTGTATCCCTGAGTCATCAAGTAAGTTACTTGAATAATAATAAATTGAAGACGAAGTTTAATATTAACTTTATTTATGGTAAATTGTACGTTTTTTTAACTAATGTTAAAGTTCTGACATTTACTTTATCTTGAGTGCAAGTATTCCTATTGTTATTCTGTAAAAATGAAATTATGTGATTCACGGGAACTCTGTTATTATATTCTTTTTTTCATATATAGTAACAAATTCTTTTAAAATTAACCGCAAGCTTTAAATTTCCATAATGAATACATACGTGGTTTCATGCCAAAATTAATTTACCATGTAGTTTGTGTGTGTGTGTGCGCGCATGTGTTTGTGTATGTGTGTGCGTGTGTGTGTGAAAATAAATTTTCATTGACAGTATTGAAAAATTATATTGAAAAAGTATTTCTTTGATATAAAATTATTTATTTTATGCCTTGAAAAGAATTTTGTATGAGTAATAATGCTGGAAACATTAAGTTTAGTTTTTTGTTTTCATTTCATTATCTTTTTTGTAGAGGTCAGACGATTCTACATTTTAAGACAGCGTTCTTCCGGTTGAATATAGTTGCTTGTGGCTCTCTTGCTAGTTTTTAAAAAACATTTTTTTAAATAAATTAGTATATATTATTTACGAAGGAATATTGTGTATATTTTTCTTACACAAAATACCGAATATGTAACTCAAAAAATACTTCGTGTTGCGTCCATATTTTAGTAAACCTAACAAGTGTCATAAGTAAGGCCTTCGATATTCTCTAGATGGCTAAAAATAAGGGTAAGTTAATTGAAAACCGGTTTCTTATACATTTTTATAATAGATATTTACTTCAGGCAATAAAAGTATCTGGTGGTGTCAAACTAGTTTTTAATGAAGAAATCGATTATATACGGGTACAAGTTTTTTAATCTTAATCTAGATTTTTTATTTTAACAGACATCATTGATCCACCTAATCCTGGGCGAGTTACGTTGGTCATCAGGCGATGTTAAAATAAACGGCACGACCTCTTATGCAGGTCAACGCCCTTGGTTATTTCCTGGCACTGTTCGCGACAATGTGGTGTTCGACCAACCATACGATGAGGAACGTTTCCGTGAAGTTGTACGCGTCTGCTCACTTGAGCGTGATCTCCAGCGGTTATCTCATGCCGAGCGTACTCAAGTTGGAGAGAGAGGTACGAACCTCAGTGGCGGACAGTGTGCGAGGGTTAATCTCGCTAGGTAGATAATTATCACCTCTTTATTGTTTTATTTCTTATATTTTTTATGTTTATAAATTTCCAAGGTAAACAGATTTCTACTTTTTTAATAATTTTACATTTTATTATCACCAACGAATGAATCATACTTCAAAGGCTTAAAATTGACTCCACAATCAGTATAATACAATTACACAAAATGAACCATGTTTGGTTATAGTTTCTTGTTATTTATTTGCGATTTACAATGTTATACAATTTGTTTACTTTTACGTCTATTCATTATTTATATTAACAGTATACTATAATAAAGTATAATAATAATAATAATATGATCAGCTTTATTTTAAATATATAACTAAGTAATAAATATAGCGATATAGTGCAAATGATAACATTTATGCCTTTATTAATACATTTTTATTTTACAGAGCTGTTTATAAAGATGCTGATATCTACATTTTTGACGACCCTTTCTCAGCCGTAGATGCAAACGTTTGCAAATATATATTCAACGAATGTATTAACGGTTATTTGAAAGAAAAAACTAAAATATTAGTGACACATCAAGTTCAATGCTTGAAAGAAGCTGATACTGTTTTTTTGCTCAACAACGTTCGTATCTCTTTTCTCAAAATTTCTAAATTCTATAAGTTTATTCGACTTACTCTCGTTGATATTTATATCAAAGGTTAACCAAAGTTAACTTATTCAAAATATTTTTTTATAGGGTAAATTAGAGTTTCAAGGAAAATTTGTAGATTTTCCGAGAAAAGAATTGCAGTTTTTACATCTAATAGAAGATAAAAATGATGAAGAGACATATGAAGTAGACGAAGTTACATTAGATATAGAAAGTAGAAATAATATTACAAATACTGATCTTAATAATATTATTGCAAGCCATTCAAAGTTCACTGAAGACAATGATCCTCAAGAAACAGAAGAACTCATTGCCAAAGGAAAAATGCAGTCCTCAATTTTCACTAGATATTTCCATAGTGGAAATCCATATTCACTCCTTCTTACGACAATTTTATTTTTCATTATCGCCCAAATTATTAGAAGTGGATCGGATTATTGGCTTGCATATTGGTAAATATCATTTATAAAATTCACTTTTTAATAATATTTCAAGTGCTTTTATAATAGTTGTCATAAGCGGTCTAATATGTGTGTTTGTGGATGTGTGTGTGTGGGGGGGGGTGTATGTATGTATGTATGTATGTATGTATGTATGTATGTATGTATGTATATATTTTTTTCTCTTCAATACAGGACTCATCAAGACGAACTTCGATTTAATACTGCAGTAATAAATCGAGGAAAAAACACGATTGAAATACCATTATTGAACTTAACTGCTGCACCTGTGTCATCCTTAAAGTCAACGACTCAGTCGATATTGAATGAAACACAACCTTTTATGATTGATATTACGACTTCACTGCCAACATCGGTACTATCACAAACCACTACAACGTCGTCGTCCACTACATCAACTCTGTTATCAACTACTGTAATGCCCATCACGACATCGTTTCTAGATACCATACAAGATTTAGTGTTCAATACTCTTAAAACTCTTTTACCAAATACGACAACGTCTTTACCAAGTTCAGAGTTAGATTTCATATTGAGTAAAACAAATAGTACTTCTACAACTACAGTTAGAACATTAGTTTCAAGTACGATTGGCAGTTTAGTTTTAAACGTCACGAATAGCCTTCCATTAGATTCAACTGAAAATTCATCTAGTGCACTGCAAAATTTGATGTCGAATGCAATAAATAGTATTTCATCGACTACTACAGTTACAATCTTAGTTTCAAATACAACTGAAAATTTAGTTTCACATATCCCCGATAGTTTTTCTTTGGATTCAATCGAAAGCTCAACAAGCATGCCGCAAAATTTTCTATCAGATACGTCACCGAATACATTATTAAATGTAACAGAGATTCTGTCAAAGGTAGCTGAAAGACAAGTATCAGATTTAATAGCAAATGAAACGTATAACGTGAAGCCAAATATCGAAAAAACAAATTACCTAAGCACAAACGTAGCCCTAGTTATTTATGGTTGTATACTTTTGGGATGTATAATTACTACTGTGAGCAAGTGCTTGTTATTCTATAAGGTGTGCATGAACTCGAGTAAAAGCATTCACAATGAAATGTTCTCCTGTGTATTAGGAGCTCCAATGCACTTTTTCAATCAACAATCTTCTGGTAAGCTTTTTTTATCGCAATTTAGGTTTAATTAAAAAGTTAATGGATTTAAGATAGACATTTTTTAATAATCATCTAATATATTAGTTTATAATACTAATAGTAACTCTCTTGATATTTAATATTTTATTAAACATCTAACACTGAGTTTGTTTTAGTATACATGTGTTTAGTTTTGTTGCAGGACAAATTCTCAATCGGTTTTCAAAGGATATTGGCACAATGGACGAAATCTTGCCCGTCACCATGTACGAATCCATTGAGGTTTTTTGCATTATCGTGGGTATCATAGTCCAAAATATCATAGTTAACTGGTGGTCCATTTTACCTATGATTGTCACTGGCTTTCTCTATTGGAAAATTCGGGGGTTTTACGTTCCTACTGCCTATGGAATTAAGCGATTAGAAGGCGCAGGTAATAAAATTACTATAAGTTTATTCACCAATCAAATATGAAACCATGGTTTTAACAAAAAAATTTTTCAGCCAAAAGTCCAGTGTTTTCGTACATAAGTGCTTCGCTCGATGGTCTAGCCACAATTCGGTCGTGTCGAGCACAAACAACCGTATCTCGGCGATTTGACAGCCGGCAGGATGCCCATACACGTACTCACTTCCTTGGCATCGTTATTTCCTCAGCTTTTGGTCTATGGCTTGATCTTGTGTCAGTTGTCTTAGTTGGATTTGTAACCTTTGGCTGTCTCATCGTAGATCCTTCGACAATTTACGCAGGCAGCGCTGGCTTAGCCATTACTCAAGTATTTAATATGTTTGCGATTTGTATAAAAATTCACAGTTTTGCTTCAAATCAACAAGGAATTTTACAATATTTAATTTTTTATTCAAATGTTATAGGTGTTGATGTTGTGCGGTATGCTGCAGCGAGGAATAAGACAAACGGCTGAGTCGATCACGCAGATGACAAGTGTTGAGCGTATACTACAGTACACGAAGCTCGAACAAGAAGAAGATTCAAACGCGGTTGCTGGTAGTGGCACGAAACCAGCAAGTAATTGGCCAATGCACGGCAAAGTTGAGTTCAAAGAGTTTTGTCTACGTTATATTGACGACGAGGAACCCATTTTGAAAAATGTTAATCTTGTTATTGAACCTGGTTCAAAGGTAAGACTTTGGTTTTATCGTTTAAAATATTGATTATCACAACATTTATTTACGAGTCATACTTTTTTTTAATAGTTATCGATAATTTCTTTTATAATTTCTTTTGAAGGCCTCCCCACCTACAATTCCATAGACATACAAAGCAATATAAATAAATGGGTCGACTTTGTTCCAAGGTTTAACTTCCAAAAAAATATATAAGTCAATAGTTTTTATTGATCAAAGTACCATTAATCAATTTTCAATAGTCTAGTCTATTAGTTTCTTCAAAAATTAATGTTTAAAAATATTGTCTCAAAAATAATATTTTTTAGATTTAGAGATATGTTTATATGACTTGACAAATGAAGAATGACAACTCAGTATTATTTTTGAAAGATCATTTTCAAATATTTATTTTTAAAGAAACTAATAGACTGGATTATCTAAAATTGATTCACGGTATTTCAATCGGTAAAAACTATTGACCTCTGTGTTTATGTGTGTTTTTGTTGCAAGCACTATTCACGGTTAAACCTTGTAGTAAAGTCGACCTATTAATTTACATTGGTTTGTATATCTACGCAAAGGTAGGGGGGCCTTTAAGATGTCAATGAAAAATTTTTGTATCGTGTTCGTCAAAATTTAATTATAAAATTTCTATCTCTAAATTAGAATGAAAAAAAGGATGTAACAATTCTTTTGAATATTTATACATTTACAGATCTAACTTACTTTTTGTGTTATTGATATTAGTGCAGTCAGGCGCGTTTTGCGCGCTTATTTGTTGCTTGAATTCAGTTATATCCAGTTTCATTCTATTGTCATATATCAATTCTAAAATACATAATATATACATAAAGCAATTCTATGTTTGGAAACGCTTACTATTCGTCGATAATAAATGGTAAATAAAAATCCAATCCAGTTACATTAATAATCGCTGATGGCAATAATTTCAAATCTAATAACGTAATAGATTTTTAACTCCATATATAATGGGCAGCGTACCATGTTACTTTCTTGTTTTCTTTTTCAAATAAATAGAACCATCAGCTGTACCTAACAATTTAATTTTCTTTATTTTTTAAAAAATTGGTATATGATTTCAAGCTTTTCGTAGAATATCTCCATATGAACAGATATGTTATTTTAACTGTTTTTCAACTGTTTTTTAATTGTTCACCCGACTATTTTGAGATTTTGTTTAAATTTATAAATTTAAGTCCAAACATTTTTTTAAATAAATTAGCGATACCGAATGTTAAATCGATTCACAGAATTTCATATAAAATGTCAATTTATATTCTCTTTATTATTGATAATGCTTACAAAACTAAACTTTACAATAAAGATATTCAATAAATTTATATTTCCTATAAATAAGTGTATTTGAAGTGTATTAAAATTACTTTATCGTATTATTTTAAAGTTAGACCATTGATAGAATGTGGAATCATCTGTTCAATGCCTACAAATTATTAGATGTATTTTTATTCATTTAATTGCTTGAGTATTAATCAATGTAAAACTCTTCGGGTCTGTTATTTAGTGCCGATTTACTTATAACAATTACTCACGTGACCATATTTAGCCAATCATATCACGAATAAAATGATTTCATTCGGCAAACCATAATTTTTATATAGGAAAAAAATTGTTTAATAAATCGAGTGTCTTCTTTATTAGTTAGGTATTGTCGGCCGCACTGGCGCTGGTAAATCTTCGCTGATCTCAGCTTTATTCCGGTTAGCACGTGCCGAAGGCCAAGTACTCATCGATGGTGTAGATACGCGAAGTGTTGGCTTAAATGAATTACGTAAACGCCTCGCCATAATACCTCAAGAGCCGGTACTGTTCTCGACTTCGCTCAGGGATAATCTCGATCCTTTTCACGACTTTGAAGACACGAGGCTATGGGCAGCTCTCGAAGACGTCGAACTTCACAAAGCCTTTGTGCCACTTGATCATCCGATTGAATGTGGTGGCAGAAATCTAAGGTACGTTAATTGAAGTGAGTTTTATTGATTTCACGAAGCATTTAGATCAAACCAGAAAAATGACATTTTGATATTACATATAATTTTAATAATAATATTACTATTGGATATTTTCATTTTAAAAGTTTTTAATCAACAATATAATATACTAATTAATTTCTTTTAAAAACAACAATTGCTAATAGCAGGTAAAGCGATTTAGATTTTAACAATTTTCACAACCACAAAAAAATTTATTTTTAATGAGACTAAGTAAAACTGACAAGATTTCGATAAATCGATGGAATCAAAATAATAATCAAAAAAGTATTTCAAACCATTTACCTACATCTAGTTAAAATGGAATTGAAATCTATTAAAAAATAATCTGTTTAGCATGAATTATTTTTATTTAAAGTAAATAAAGAACTATAAACTTAATATGAAAGATCTTTGAAAATTAAATCATTCTGTTGAAAATAATATGTTTTAAATTTTAGTGCAGGTCAAAGGCAACTTCTTTGCCTTGCACGAGCGATAGTCAAAAAGACGCGAATTCTGATTCTCGACGAGGCGACAGCTAACGTTGACCCAGCGACAGATTCGTTAATTCGCGAGACCATTCGTAACAAGTTCCAAGAATGCACTGTGATTACTGTGGCGCACAGACTCGAGTCGGTGATTGATAATGACAAAGTTCTCGTCGTGGAAAACGGTGAAGTTGTCGAATATGACCACCCGTACTTGCTGCTTCAAAACGAAGATAGTCTCTTTTTGAGAATGGCTCAGCAAACAGGTGAACCTATGCTTGAGCATTTGAAAAAAATTTCTGAAGAGGTGAGATATTCCGTTAGTAATATGTTATTTAAAACATAAAAAAGTCGTCTATGTAATTCAAAAAATTTATTTATGTATTACAGACATATAAAAGGCTGAATAATCCGGTATCTGAGGTATCTATATCTACAACTAAAGTTTCAGAAGAGCGAACAAATGCAAATGGAAATGTAAAAAATATTGACGATGTTGAATTAGAGGACTTGACTGAGACGCCATAAGTTTTGAGTGTCCATTTTGATGAATAGTATGTAAATGTATAATGACCGTGATAATATATTTTATACTAAAGATTTAAGCACATATCAAGTTTTTATTTTTCTAAACTACAGTTTGTATTTATACTTCCGGTAAAAATAATAATGTATTTTTTTCCTGAGACTATAATTGAAGCGTTCTAGTATAGTTGTTGAAGTATTTTAATAATTTATACATGTAATTATTGAAATAAAATACTATAATATAACTTAACTATATTAATAATGTGCAAAGATGAAACTGCATGAAAATAAAATTATTTCATTATTTAACATTCTGTTCTTTATTTTGTAATTATCAACGTCTGATCTATTCTATCAGTATCTTTTAGAATAAAAGACTCATAAGTTTGAATAAATTAGCGATTTTAACTTGTATGAATCAATAACACAAGCTTTGTACAAGACTTTTATGGCCTCTAAATTCAAGCAGTAGTAAGCGCTTAGTTAGACGATGTAACTTTCAGTTATTTATTAACAATTTAAATGTTTATAATATTATGGCTTTTATGTTATAAGAAAGTGGCATTGATTTTGAAAACAAAGAATTATGCGTCATTTTAACGAATTTGTGGAATTTTTAAAATTCATAAATTTAAATTAGAAGCCAAGATATGATCAGATAACTGACAATATCCAATGCTAATCCTTAATCAATTATTTATTTCGCTACGATTTTTTTTCCAAACAAAACTGCAGAAACCGCAACCCAACGAAATTATTCCTTACTTTTCAAAGAATCTACTAATCATTTCAGATTCTAAAAGTTCTTGTTATAATGCTAAATTATAAAGATATAGTTTAAATATCAAAAAAGCGCGCTCTGACTGTGAATTCAATTGTTCAATACATTAACACCTTTTTTATAATGAAGCCACCAGAATATTTTTATAATCAACTGAATTCTGGTTTCAAAAAGAGTCTAGCGGTTCTAGGCAGGTACCAAAATGTTCGTTAAAAATGAAGATACAGTAAAATTAATACGATAGCGGAAGGCTGGCAACCGCGCGGACTCTAGTTCCGAACTCAAATCGCTAATTTATCATACTGTTGGGCCTACAAAATTCACGTTCTCGGTGCATGTGAAACTAAGCATTTTTAATACGTTACAAGCTCGTGCTATGTCATTAAATAAAAATTAGGTAAAAATGTATGAACAAATTCTAAATTTAAAAAATGTGAGAAATTATTAGTTTCATTTAATTAATTACATTTTTACATGCTTTCGATTTTTAACGTTAACAATTACTTCAATAATGTGTTCTTCATTCACATTTTTCATTTGAAATAACGTGCATTTATTCTACAAAGCTAACTACCTCGGCACTTGTTTATGAGTTTTTGCCTTCTTATTAGTAACCTTTTAGTAACATTGCACGAGTTCGTAAAATAATTCTAGATTTCACGAAGAGTACATCGATTTTGGAAATTTGTAACTATATTAAGTAAAATCGAAAATGTAATAAATTAACGAAATCAATCCCAGACGGGTCGCCGTGGCACGCGCAGCGCGTCGTGGGTATTGTTGCCTTCCGATCTCGTAATAATTTTGCTATACCTTCGGTTCTAATGAATATTTTTTTATTAAATGAGCGCGATTATTAATTGAATGGTTCATAAGACTGTGATCAATTTTTTTTTGGAAAGTGGTCCATTGGAGAATAGCTTGATATATTGTACTTCGAACATTCAATAAAGATAGAGAACAATGTTCTATTTCCTCTGATCAGAGACTACCATCGTATTATCGAGGCGAATCTTTTATTCAATGAGTATAGTGATTCGTCTGTTCATCATTATAATATGCTCTATTGTTTTAGCATAGTTTTAAGTCCGTTTGACGACCGATCTCCAACGTCGTCTACGCTGTATCTCCTTTTAGGATAGGAAGCTCCTTATAGCTAATTCATTTGCTTTCTTTTTCTATTAAGTTTCATGTATTGGAATCCAAAAGATATAGTACTGATAACTCATTAGTTCAAGTTTCATTTTATTCCTTATTGCAAGGGTATTAAGTAATTATAGCTTTTGGTTTAGATTAGATTAAAACTTTTTATTTTCTATTAGAGAATTCTACAGAGAACACTTCCGTAGTCTGTAAAGATAGTTGCGTTGGAAATCCATTTAATCTCTACAAGTTTTTTTCTTTCTATATATTTTAGTTGGTTCTCTAGTAAATATTGATGTATTCGTGATTTATAAGTAACTGTTACTCACTGCCTCCAGACTGCTCCAGACTGCCTGGGAGAGAACTGCAGAAAAAAAATATAAATAAAAGTAGCCGAGATATGAGTGATTGAGCAGATTGAGTCTGGCGCGAGCTGCGAGCGACAACGGCAGCAACTCCATCTCGCGCTCAGTCTGCACCGCTGCCGTTGGACTGCGGCTGGCGCACTCTAATCGTAGGGAAAAATGGCCGCATTTTAGTCTACACGCGAAGGGAAGCGCGCTCGCTCTCTCTCTCTCTTTTCTCTCTCCGCAGCCACTCTTTTTCTTTACTGTTTGCCAATCGCCGTTCCTTGGAGGATTATCTCCTCGTGTGAGTCGTTGTCGTCCTCGCAGCCTGCCGTGAGACTATTGTTAAACGTCGCTGCTGCAGGACATTCTCCTCATTTTCGCCGGGCTAGTCCCCCTCTTTTGCCGCTGCTCTATCGCTACAGCTTTTACCTTTCTCGCTGCTGTTGCGAGGGGTATCCGCCCGAGCATCTTCCTCGAGGAGAGGATCGAAAGACGACTTCATTTATAAGGTAAATCTTTGATATGACATCTCGCACCGACTGCAAACACCTTTTGCGCTCTAACTAACGTTTTTCTATCGTCCTCTGAGTACTTGTTTTTTTATTTGTAATTCGGAACTGTACGATTAGACTATTAATGTAGTTTTTATTTTGGCTCTATCCATTTCCTCGAATATAAAAGTTCAGGCTTTTTAGGTTATCACTCGACACAGAATTAAATAGTAAAAATGGACGTACCCGCATGCTCTATTCACTAAGCAAAGCGCCCACCGGCTTATTTTAATGGGCGACAGCCTTCGAGAAACATCAAGTCTCATGCTTTAACGTATTTTTAATCTAGTAAAATTAAAATTATAGTTTAACAAGCTTTATACAAGTAGTAACTTAATACGATATTGACTTTTTGCGTTCCTTTGCTGAGCTGTCACGTTCAATCATATTTACGAGTTAATTAAGTACAGGCAATGCTATTAATCACTAACTTGTATACAAGTACTTAGAAATATATACTAGCAATTTTACTGTTTATGTAAGCTTCAGTTTAGATAAATTTTACTATTACTTTTACATATTTTGCAATTAGGAATGTGTAATGAATATTATCATCCTTGCATTACTTTTATTTTGTTATGAAATCATCAATATTTCATATGTAATATTTGTGATTTTTAAATTAATTCGTCTCAAGTCACCCTTTCTCATTGAAAAGCATTAAGCATTAACTTTTTTTTACCAAAGTATAACTATGAAATAGAAACAGTTAACATATTGCAAATCAAATTTGAGTCATAAATCTAAATATAATATTGTTTTTTACCCCATAGTGGTAATTTTTTAGTAATAGCTGGATTCCTTATTTCCTTATGTTATACACATATTTATTGAAAAATAACAATATATTAAGTTATATCATTATAACATATTGAAGTAATGTCTAATTTTTATATCAAATTAAAAATATTGAACATCTAATTAAAAAAAAAATTGTATAATTATAGTATAAAAAGTGATGCGTCCCATGCAACAGGCTCAGATGGCCCCAATACTCCAGCCTGTGCAGCATCCACATGCGCATCGACACCGTACCCATCAACAGTTGTTATCAATGGCACCACATCAGCAACAGCAGCATATGCATCATATGCAGCATCCTGCCATGCAAAACCCACGAATGTTGATGGGTATAAATTCTTCGAACGGTAAGATTATTTTTCCAAATTTTGTTATTGTTAATCATCAAATTTTTGCATTTTTCACAAATAACCCTAATTTTGTCATGCTGCATGATTTTTATTGTATTTCATTCGAAGATTTCATTATTTTTTATTTTACATAATTTCTTTCATGATTATAATTAAGATGGATGCTTAATCTTCATTGATGATTTTTATGTTATTGTTATTGTTACTTCAAGAACTATGTTCATGTGAAACGCTGCAGAGGTACATTAGGTACCTGTAGGCATTAGTCTTGATTCTCTATAGTTATGAGTATGTAGACCTATACCCCCCCCCCCAACACTTTTGGGTATATATGTGTAATAGAAAAAATGATCCAAGGAATGATTTCACTTAAAACTAATTTTATACTAAAATATTTTTTATTATTTTATGGAGGTTTCCAATGTTATCTTTCCTTGAAATAGAAATTTGATAATAAATTTTAATTAAGGTCATAGACTAATTAATCATTATTAATTGTTTTTCAAAAGGTGACGGATTGGGTAACATCCTATATTTAATATCTGATATTGAAAGTAATATGAAAAATTCTTAAGAGCATCATAAATTTGATTCTGATCAAAAAGTTTTATTATAATTTTTTTCTTAATTTTTTTTGATTCAATATTAAATAACGTTTTCAAAATAATGAAGAAACATGGATATGTCTTGTAGTTTAAACACAATCACAAAAGTTGTGCTTATTTTTTGTTAGTGTATCGCTACATAGTAACCGTGGTATTACTGGCTCTACTTTGCTGTTGTGATGCACAAGTACAACGCTCTTCACTACTTGATAGAATAGATAAATTGGAAATTTTGTTTGGACCAAGTGGGTGCATAGAAGGTGTGTTTTTTTATTTTCAGGATTTTAAGTAACTATTTGAAAATCCAACAATCCATTCAATTTTTTTTTATAATATCTAATTGATTAAAAATTTCTTTCAATAATAATGATCTAACAGAACATGTACTATGAAGACTTGTTATTTTAGCTTTAATTAAAAAGAGAGCTTTTTTGAAGATTTTCATCATTACTTTGATTAAAATATAAGATAAATCTCTTGTATTTTCTTTAACTTTGCAACAGAACAGTTAACTTTTTTAAATAAACACACAAATTCATGTTCAACTGTAAAATATTTGATAAAGCACATTTAAATGATTTCAACTAAGAGAACAATTATTGATTGGGTTATATGTTACAGGCACGTTCGCATTGGATAACGTTGACTTAAAAGATCAAGGAACTGCCATTCCTATGACTCTACAGAATCATCCTACAATTCAACAGCAGCAACAGCAGCAGCCTATTCAACACAGCACAGAACAAAAGACTGAAGAATCTGGTAAATTCTAACTATCATGAAATGATTAGTACAATGAATGAGATCAGTAAGACTTATATTTTTTATATTGTAGTTGAACTGAAGGATGATTCAGGTCAAGCCAACGCGACCAACGCTAACTTGGCAAACACCCGAGAAAAAACGCCAATGTGCCTGGTGAACGAGCTCGCCAGGTTTAACAAGATTCAACATCAATACAGGCTGACGAATGAGCAGGGTCCTGCCCATAAAAAACGCTTCACCGTGACTCTTATGCTGGGCGAGGAAGAATACGTTGCCGAGGGGCCGAGTATCAAAAAGGCACAACACAGTGCCGCCAGTGAAGCCCTCGCTAAAACTTGGTACAGAAAACCACCACCCAAACCCACTCGAGCTATAAGAGTCCCTGGAAAGTGTCCAGCTGGTTCCGGTGAGTGCGCTCTCTCTCTCTCTCTCTCTCTCTCTCTCTCTCTCTCTCTCTCTCTCTCTCTATATATATATATATAACGATATATATTCTAATGAATTATTCATTTTTTAATATAATAATCTTTCAGGAGGACACTTACCTCCGACAGTGGAGTTAAATGCCTTGGCTATGAAGAGAGGAGAGGCGACTGTTTATACGTTCAGACACGCACCGCCAAGTACTACTGCCGCACCACAACCTCCATTCATCCCACACGGTTACGGTAACTTCCCTCGAATGTATAATCCACGATATCCAGCATATAATCGTGGCTTTCACCCGGAGCCTCAAGGCGTTTTCCTCGTATCATTGAAGGTAATGTACAGTTATATAATCTCACAAATCGAAGTGTTGATTGATTGATAATGAAAATAATATTCATAGGTAGGTGAAAGAGAATTTATCGGACGAGGTACGACTGGTCAAGCAGCGCGACACGATGCAGCGAGCCGAGCATTAGAACAACTGCGCCAGCTCCCTTTACCCGAGGAAATCGCCAATAATTCAGTGACAATAACCGATACCGCGGGCAACATCACTGGTGGTATTGACGATCCAAATGCCGAACTCAAAAGTCCCGTATCTTTGGTCCACGAAACTGCTTTGAAACGCGGTTTGTCCGTAAGCTTTGACGTCGTCTCCGAAACCGGCAAACCGCACATCCGAACATTTATGACTAGATGCACCGTTGGTGAGAAAGTCACTCTTGGCGAAGGATCTTCTAAAAAGGTATATTTATAATTTTTCGAGTTACCATTTGATGAAAAGTACAGTTAAAATGTTTGGTTTACCGCTCCATATTTGCAGGTGTCCAAAAAACGCGCCGCCGAACTGATGTTGGACGAATTGAAAAAACTACCGACCGTTTCTGCGCCAATTCAAAATCGGACTTTGCGTTTAAAGCGTAAGCCACCCGCAACAAAAAAGAAATCACGCAACCTCATCAAAGTGTATCAAGAACCACGTACTGAGTCAGACAGTTCTGAAGAAGTTAATCCTATCTCGCGACTTGTTCAGATTCAACAAGCAAAGAGAGAACGAGAGCCAGTGTACAATTTGATTGAAGAGAAAGGCGCTCCTAGGAGACGTGAGTTTGTGATGGAAGTGTCAGTAGGTCAACATTTGGCACAGGGTACAGGACCTAATAAAAAATTAGCAAAAAGAGCTGCGGCAGAGGCGTTACTCGCTACCCTAGGATACAGCAAGCCTCAACCTCAACCGGCTAAACCGTCCATTAAAACTAGTTCTAGCACGGTAGGAAGCAATGGTTCTGAGAACAAAGAGAGCGAAGGTAAAAGGAAAGTAACTTTCGTTGAAGTTGACAATAGCAACGAAACAACGCACAGTCATCCACCAGGAGGTAAAATCAGCTCTTACATGTCAGTGCATTTCATATAAATATTATAATTTTCAATTCCATTTATGTGTGATTGTAGGTTCAATCGGACGCCAACTAGTTCCTGGATTACTTCTAGTGGATCACGGTAATGATTCCAAAGTTATCAGTGGACCAAGCGTTCAAGTTGTTGCTGAGGAGTTACGTGGACATCAGCAACCTCAATCGACCGGAGTCTCGCCTAAAGATCAACTAAAATATCTTGCTCAACTGCTCAATTTTGAAGTACAATTTAGTGATTTTCCCAAGGTACGTTATTATATATGTGTGAATAATGGAATTGTAGAATGATATTTATACACGTATAGTCCGACGTAAGTAACATAATTGCAGTTTTAGTCAGACGAAAAATATGTTAATTTTCTATTACTTTATTACAATTGGTGTACTTAACGAATCCATATGTTTTATTTATTCTAAAAATCTTTTTGAGTCTGATTGTATTTATTTTTTTGAATGACAGGGTACATATAAGGAGTTTCTGTCTCTTGTCTCGTTAAGCACCGATCCACCACAAGTATGCCACGGACATGGACCCACGATAAATGCGAGTCGCGATCAAGCTGCCCTAACCGCTCTGCGAACCCTCACCAAAATGGGTTTAGATAGTGTAACCAATTCGAACAGTAAAAAAGATAAGCCTAATTCATCATCCAATAGTGACGCATCTGGTATGCACGTTTTCAATCAACAAGTCAAAAGCAACAACGTGATCAATGGCGCATTGGATAAGTGAAATAGGATAGGGTCTTTATTCTTCATTCTTATTTTTTAACAGTTTCCTAGGCACTTACACACTATACAAAGCTTTTCTCTTGAATTATTTAGTTTATATGCGTTTAGTGGCTGATGTTGTAAATTGATCATTTTTTGTTTACTGAATTTTCAATATGTACACTCTCGGTGATTTATTCTACCTACCTAAGATATAAATTCGCTAGGTGGATAGAATCAGTGATTGGAGATGGTACGTGCAGGAGATAAAATCATTTAGTCCAAATTAGCATGTTTGGGCTCTAACATGTTTTGATATCTAATTACGTAATGCAAAAAATTTATTTATAAACTAAAGTATGTCACAGCAAAATTTCTTTCTCGCAATATTTAATAATTTTAAAGTTGTTTGAGTGAATATTCTTATAAAAGTTGTATGACAGCGGTCTAAATTTTATATCGCCACCCCCTCCCCATAAAAAAGACAGGTAGATATTAATTTTTTTTGTCCTGACAATGCAAATGCTACTGCTTCAAATAATTTAAATTCAGTTACGTAAAAGGCGATATAAAAGTCTTAAAACTGCGTAAAGTGAAGATTTACTACTGCCTTACATATTTATTTAAAAAATTATCAATTTACAAAAATTCAAAAGCCACTGGTGGCTTATTTTGCCTTGAACGTCCGATTTATCTATTTTGGATGCTGTACAATGTTGAATATCAATTATGAGAAAATGATTTGAAATATATTATATAATAAACATTTTACAACATCCAATAAAAGAAACAATTTTGATCGATTGTCTTATTTTTATGACTGAATGACAAAGAGCAACATGTTCTTTATACACGTATTATTATAATATTTATCATCATTGATGTCGTTAAAGCAATTATGTTTAATAGGTGCGCAGATTCATTTTGCAGAATTTCTGGCTTGATGCGAGAAAAAAATATGAAAGGATATAAATTTTTCGTGTATTTTTGACAAAAATAACAAATAATAAAAAAGGAATGTATGTTAATGCAGCTGCGAAATGACTTTGCAAGCAAACCTTTCTACGATAAAGGTGATCACTTTTGATAATTGTCATTTTCTTGGCTAGTGATCATGTAGCGTACTTTTTATATATTCGAAATGAAAAATAAATCGAAATTATAAATTCGTAATATGAATAAAACACGGCCAATTCTAGGCTTTATAAAAAGGAGCAACTGATACCTTAATTCTGTCATTGTCATGAATGTAACTTAAGCTATGTCCAATTACCTAATTGACCTAAACGTAGAATCAGTAGCTATTATACTTATTTTGTGCTTTCTCTTGAAGACTTTATTTCAAATCTCGTTCTGCGAACGAAAAGAAAGCGCCGACAAAGTTGAAAGAAATCTTGCTGGAGCAAATGCGTGTAAAAAAGAGGAAGAAAAAGTATTTACAAAAAAAGATGAAAAAAGTCGAAAAAAACACAAAAAAAGTAATAATAGGTAATTCGATGTACATTGGTTTCTTAGTCCCAAATTGCTTTTCCGTGGGGCCTCGAAGCATTATGGGATGACAATTCATGTTAATGCCATAAAAGGTATTAGATCCTTAACAAAGTAAGTTGCCATTTGAAATTTTCTCGAGTCGCTCGCGTGTCGACGAGCGCAGGCGGTTCGATCGATCGGAAAATTTCAGAGGCGAGCATTTTCTATTAGTTGCTATATTACAACTTGGGCCAATATCTCGAAATTCTTCCCCCGTTGTATTAGGATTTGGAGCGACCCCGCGAGCGTTTATAAAAAGTTCTATTGAATAGTCGCATGACAATTCTGAAACAACGCTATGCGAATTTTGATCTATTGCCCAAAAACGAGCGGTGAAGAAAAATGAAGAAAAAAATCCCATTAATATGTACAATAATGAATGTAGGCAACATTCAAGCGTCGGTATTTGTGCTAAGAACGATTCTATTTATAAAACACAATTTTGACAAGATATCATTGTTAAAAATTATTTGATCATTATATCGACATATAATACTTTATACTTATGAAAGGATTACAAAAATGTTAATTTTTTTTTCAATTTATAGCTCTTTCATACTAAATATAAGTTGATTAATTGATTGAATTGAAATAAGAAATGCTTTCTATGCAGTATTTTTTAATACGACCTGAATCGTATTTATTCGATCCCGAGAAAATTAAATGTTACAAGTAAGAAATTAAATTAAATTTGACTACTTGTAACTATATTTTTATCTGTATTTGTATATCACATAACATGCAAAATTGTAGTGTTATGATACTTGTTGAATTAAAATTTTTCATTTATTTTAAAATTTCATTTACTAAAATGGTTTACAGTGATAATTTTTCATGATTCATTGTGCATATTTCACGATATAAATAGATCTGTTAAATGTTTCTCTTACGAACTAAAAAAGGAAATCGCATTAAACAAACGTACGAACTAAAAAGAATACCGTACCGACGACTGCATCTCAGTAATAATATCTTATATTCATTATTCTAATTACATATATATAAACAACCATGTATAACCATTGGACTCATCCCAATCGAATGAAGTATAATATTTTACTCAAAGAATTCATGATTCCGCTTTTCCGATTTCATTTGATATAGATCGTTTTTTTCCTAGCAAAGGTAGAGCCATACATGAAAACTATATATATATATATATATAAATCGCTTTTATGCTATCCATATTGTTAGTCAATTTTTATGAAGTTTTTCAACTACATTATGACGGATTACGTTATGCAATAGAAATTTTAGTTTAAATTATAACATCTTTAATGACAGAAAAGTACGCTTGACGTTTTCATTTAAACGTTTACAATAAAACGTTTTCTGTAAGCCACTTCATGTGTATACATTTAATGAACTTCAACAGTTTTAATTACTTTGTTTTCATTGTTAGTATTGAGTAGTAAAGGCTTCATATTAATAGACTAATTTTCAGCCAATCTTCAAGTATTGTAGCGTGGGCCTACCTTAATGACTGAAACAATGTCGTTTACAGTATGTTGTGTGCTGTAAACATTGTTTCAATACCTCTTTACATTAACTTTTTTTTTAGCTATTTTCAATGTAGCTTTGATAAGCTTGTTACAGGTATAATTATAATTTTTTTCTTTCTTTATCTTCAAATGTTTTTTTGTACACGTACTCATTAAGTTTTAATACAATGCCAGCTAATCGCAGAATATTTCTTTTTTCCAAATATCGCTCTACGAGTTATATGCTTATAAGCGACTCTTGCAAGTGTGGAATCAATTCGTTACTTTAACTAATTGTAATTAATTAATCGTTTTTTCAATAATCAACAAGTTAGTACTAAACTATTCGTCCTAATTAAGTTATTTAAAAAAAGTCATAGTATATAAAAAAATAATTTATACCAATTATTAAATGACAATATAAATGTCGTAAAAATGTTTCAATTTGTGCCAGTTAGAAAAATGTACTTTTGAAAAATACGTATATTCAACTTGTTTCAACGTCGACCATGAGTGTTTTTTTGGTCTGAAGTAATGAATTGTTTCTTACAAGGCAAAAGTATGTCTAATCATAAATAACGAAAGCCTGCGTGTACATAAAAAAAAATGTGACGAATGCGACTGGCACGTAAAATACATAAATACGTGCAGGATATTTAGAAAAAAAAATATTCATACGTGAAGATGCGCAAGGCAACATTATTTCCTGAAAAAGCAATGAAAGTCATTTTGTTGCCTTGTCAGTGGAAAGAAACAAACATGTCAGTTTGTATTTCAAACAATAAACGATAAAAATTGCATAATAAATAATTTTATTAATTTCATCAATATCCAAATATTATCTCGATAGTTTAGATTTTATCGACACATTTTTGGTATACATCATTACATTTCGTTTTCCAATACATTTGTTTCAATATTTTATTGCATTTTAAATATTGTACAATGGAAAATTGTTTATAAAAAATTATATAAATTGAATATTTAATTGGTGTGTTTAGATAATCTTGATGTGCAATATTTAATAGATGGTATCAAAATTCGATATAGAAATTCAAAACAAATATCTAACAAAATATCTATAAACAAATGATGCGATAATGTTTAGAAAAATGTATGTTTCTCGATCTTAAGTAAGGTACTGTTTTGAATAAGTCTATGTATACTAAAGTCTTCTGTAATCTCGTTGCTGCTGTCCAGGATTTGCTGATGAATTGGAGCCCATAGTAGAGTAAATAAATGGTAAAATTGATGCTAAGGCCAATCCTAAACCAACAACTGGCCGATACCAAACCCATGCAAAACCAATGATCAGAAGGCTAATTGACATAGACACAGACATCGTGAGAGATTCTATTGCTATTATTCCACATAAAATATTTGAGTTCAGAATAATAGTTTTCAGTATGTTAGCCAAGCAGGTTGCTGCCAGAAACATTACTAGCCAACCCAATGCTCTAAAATCAAATTAGAAAAATAGAAGTATAATGTGGATTTAAGTAATTTATTACTTCTAATACATACCTAATTGTCCAAGTTCTCCAATAATTGTCAACATGTTCAAGATGAAACATTTGATCAACAGAAACTGAATGTTTCCTCAAAAGAAGAATAGCTTGTCCATGAGTTGTAATATAAGGCTCAATTTCGCCATTCACTAATTTTCCAACTACTGTATAAATATCTCCCCCTTTCCCTGCATAAGATACCTGCACTCTTACGTCACCTACTTTTGGATCCCAAAGATCAGAATTATGGTAATAGAGACCTGAATGCATTTTAATATCTCGACGTTCTGGTCTCTCATCACTTGTGACTTCTACAAAATCATTGAACTTTTTTTTCAACTCCATACCTAAAGCAAAGTCACCTATTCGTACATCTTCTGATATTTGAGTTTGGCTCTTGACTGGCATTTCAGTTGGATTTTCATGACCAAATTTAATGTAGAAGTCATTAGAATCAATCAATTTGTCTTTCCATTCAGTGGTATAATAATAATGTTTATCTTCCTCTAAAGATCCAGGGTAACTGTAATGATGATTAAATAGCTGAATGAATCAATATTTTGGAATTGAAATTTTTACTTTCATCAAGTGGTTTATCAATACACACCTTCTGTCTTCTTCAATCTCTACCCACTGATACATTTGAGCTCTTCTCTTTAACTTCACACAAGCCACAATCACTCCATAATCAGGCTCAGTCAGTGGTTCAGATACTTTCAGTGGTCCAGAAATGTAAATTAATCTATTTTCGAACTCGGGTATAGGCTTCATAGTATTTTGAATAACAGCAATATTATTCAATGCTTCATCCAAAGAATATGCCATTTTCACAGCTCTACCCTGAAAATTGATTAATATACTAGTGTTATTGTTTAATTGAGTTCCCCTACGAGAGATAATATTGGTTTGTAAGCTACGATCAATGTTACCTCATTCCAAACAAACAAGTACATTCCTGTAGCCAATAATATTAATCCGATTATCGCAGTAAGCCAAGATTCTTTAAACTGTTCCATAACTGAAGCTCGCACAGAATGGGGCTCTTGCTCTGGGCGATAACTTCTCATTCTACCATTAGATAAGTTTCGATTGACTCTTTGATTTGCATTGTTTCTTGACAAATGTCCATTTTGCTGAAATTTAATGAAAATTATTTCCAGTTTATTTAAATAATATTGAAATGACTATTTTGCATGGTATATTTTATCAAATGATAACATACATTAACCCTGTGCATCTTGTAATATTTTGTGAATTGTGTGCAAATTATTTAATATTCGATTTGTAAGTTATGATTATAAATTCAGTGATTTTTTCGACGAAATTTGTTTTTTTCTTTTCATTGCAATCATTTTACTTAATGACTATTTGTTTGAACGGTTTTCACAATTTCATCTACTTTCTGTTAGTTCATTACCAACAATGACATCAGCATTGCCAAACTCTCATCAGATGTTGCATCTGCCTGTCGTCTGCTGGCTACATTCTTACAGAGCATGCGCAGACATAGAATCGTCTGCTACAGCGATGATTTCAAAATATTCGAATTTATGGAACCTACGACTTCCAGATAAATTTGGTAACAATGATATAAATGGTAAATTTGGTACCAGCCAAATTAATTGGAGTAGCCACCGATTACGGATCTGACACGAGATTCACAATACTAAGTGTTTATTTAGAGCATGTTCTTACCAAGTGTTCATTTAGAGCGTGGCAACCTCGCCTATGCGATTTTAATCTACGAGTTCTGCGAATGATCCACAGAGGATCACGGCATTTACTGAACAATGAAAAGACACAAAAAACTTTTCGTTGATTAGGCATTTAAGGTAGGTATGCATATATTGTCTGTCAATACGACGGAATAACATTTCTCTAAGATTTGTTAAGGCAGGGCAATAGGATTCCCGAATAACACAAAAACGTTTTGTAAACTTTTTCTGTAAAATTATATAACATGTGACGAACTTGGTAAAAAAACATTATGTGTGTGTGTGTGTGTGTGTGTGTGTGTGTGTGTGCGTGTGTATCCTTTATTAGTCGCTCCATTTGTCTTCTTCATTACTTGCGTTTGCATCTTCATTATCGCCTTGACAAGAGTTTTTGCATTTTGGTTCCCGTAAAATAATACGAAGATAATTTATTAATTTTGGGACTCGATTCAACAAGCAGATAGGCTACATATGGATGCTCGAGTGAAGTGTGTAAAGAAATTGTATCTAAAAATATCAAAAAAAGAAGTACCAAAGCAAGTCTACTAGTATTAAATAGACTGTTGTTATGTTTATAATCAAGTTTTTTTTTTTTTGGCGAGAGAGAAAATGCATAATTGATGCGCGAAGTCGGGACGGCCGACCGTGTTGGACTCGTAATGATAATCCTCTCACTCGACGCATTTCCTCTATTCTCTCTTTTGCTTTCAATACCTAGCACTATTTTCCTGTAACTTATCAGCCACTCAAATTTTTATTCTTTTATTGAAACCGTTACTTCTCGTTCGCGTTTCTCGCACGGTCTCACACTCGACGCTCAAAACTCTTTCCAAAAATGAAGATCTTTCATTCGACGTTTTTTACAAACATGTTGGTCGAGTCTACTACTTATCTGCCCCAATAACACAGTTTCCTTTCTTTTATTCTTTTATCTATTCGAGTCTGAACTTTGCCATCCAATAGTAAGCGATTTAACGTTAAGACAGTGGATCATTGTGGCGCACTGCAGCGATCATTATGAAACATAAGGTAAACACCACACGAAACCGGAAAGTACTTTCCCGCACTTGTATCGTAACGTACTATTATAGCAGGAAACAATTTTGACCTTTACTGCGCTGTTGCCAAACTGCAGTAATTTTTGTTTTTTTTTTTAGAACGGTTTTTCCCGTGCATATTTAGAGATAAGCCAAGAAAACAATTTACTTGGCGCGACTAGAAAATGCAACTTTTTACACAAGAGTTAAGAATAGCCGGTACGGTATATGAAAAAAAAAGGACTTTCTTTGTTTTTTAATACAACCAAAACTACCGGCGTCATATTTTTGTCGAATTGCACGTATCTCACTGCCGTTCGTTCGTGTTAAATAATAAAGTAAAAAAAAATCAACTAAGGTCTATTATTAAATAACCCGTATAAAAAAAGTAATAGAGAAGATTATAAGACTAATAAAATAAATACAATTCTTGTCATTGGAGTCAAGACAACATTATAATTGATAAGCGCATCTAACGTTATGAATATGTGGACTAAAATTAGTGCAACAGAACGTCATATAGAATTTACAAAAAAGACGAAAATATGTCTAAAATATCTTAATTAATTATTCGGACTGTGTATAACATATTTATATTTTAGCGAGTATACAATATTTTCTGAAAAATAATCTTATCATAAATCGAGTATGATCAAATTAATTAACAAAAGTAAAATCACTTATGTAAATACTGATGTTTTGTTGGTATAATAATTCTAATTAAAGTGTACTTGCCAAAATCATCTCTTTTACTGAATTCGATTTTTTAGGAATAGTTTAAAAAAATATAGAAATTAAAAAATGTGTCTTTTTCTCAAAAGAGGGAAGTTGATCTTCATGTGATCTTGTAATATATTAACGCTTTTTGAACTTTTGTAAACATCGTTTATTGTTTTAGGTGAAGTTAGCAAATTAAACTTAATATTTTTTCTTTCTTTGAGTTGTTTCCAACGTTTGAAAAGTTTACTTTAAAGAATCTATATTGTCTTATAAAATTTTATTCTTTTTATAAAATACTATATGTATAATAATACTACTGCTATAATATATTTAATGTACCATGTTTTTAAATAAAAACTTAAAAAATATTATTTTATAGTATTGTACAATGAATTAAGTACTCATTACGAATTTACTAATTTAGTTTATGCATCTTTTATATTAAAATTATACTTCTAATAAGTACTCTACTTACGAGTCTATTGTTTGTATTAATATAAATAAATAAAAATAGTTCATGTCATAATCCTTGGTGCTATAATATATTTTTATCCATATTTTTCACTCGAAATTAACTTACATTATCAATATATCGACTTAGGATGTTTTATTAATTATAATGTTCAATCATTATAAATAATACTTTTTAAATATAAAATTCTTATTCTGCAATTCGAAGTAAGTATATCCAATATTACAATATTTACAGGAAATTGCATAAAACAGTATATAATAAAAAAATATTTGCTTATCCAAACGTGATACTTAAATAGCTATAAAATAAGAAATAACATTTTTTACTTTAGAATATCTGTTTTAAGTTCCATTTTGTCCTGCAAGTTCGTTCAGCTGAAAAAAATATTGTTATCATTATATGCAAAACGTTACATAATTTGTTAGAGATAAAATTTTTGCAAGCGCTGAAAATCTTATAGTTAATGATATTCATAACATACCTCTTGGATTTTTTGAACTTCTTGAGCAAGCAAATTATCAATTATTTCTTGGAAACGCTCTCTCAATTTTATATTTTCAATTTTGTCTATGGTACTTTCTTGTTGACGCCTTTGTTCTTGTAATTGTACGATTTCAACCTGAATTTGTTCACAACGAGCTTGTATGGCATCTATACCAAATTTTTAAACAATTAAAATTTATGATGTTAGAGTATAAGTTTATTGTATTTTTTATACAAACCTTTATTTCCCATTGTACTTTGAGATTCTGAATCATTTCCTGATATATCATAATGATTGAAATTTTCAACTTTTGGAATTTTTACATCCTCAAGATCAGGTTTCATGTCGTCAATAATTTCTTCTGACATAAACATATCTTTACTAAATTCTGTTACTAATGGATCACCGCTAGTTGATGGTACACCTGATAATTGTCCAGAATACTTCACTTGCATTGAATTGGAATCAGAAACCCTACTATCTACAGACAAGCGACTGCTTTCATCCAAGTCCATTACGTTAATTTGTGTTTCTTCATCATCTTCTTCACTATCACTAACAGCTTCTCCAAATATATCATGCTCAGCTAATAAACGAACATTGAAATATGAATGCTAATGTATTTTGTAACTATAAATATGCTTTTTAGTAGTTTAGTTTCTTTGTTGAAAAATTATTTAATAAATATGATTTCTACAATATCTGTTACAATAAAAATTGACTTACCAACATCAACACTTTGTGAAGTTTCATTAATAGGTTCCATCTTGCCTTTAACAGTCCCACTTGACGATACAATATTTGGCTTTGTTACATCCTCATCTTCACAAATTACTTCCCATTTTACATTTACAGCTTCATTATCGACTCTCAATAATCGCTTTACTTCCTTTTCTATCTCTGGTGCCTCTACATACTTTTTTTTGAGTGTTTTCCTGAACCTCTTCTTTCTGACATTTTTTGTTGGTGGTGTTATACCATGTGGCCAAAGGTACTTCTTATCAACTTTAATTGGATCCTTCTTTTTCTGCTTCAATGGGGAATCTTCATCTGTAGTAGTTTGATCATCTTCTTCTTTACATAAAAGCAGCTGTAAAGAAAATGCATAACGAATCTAATAGTATAATCTATGAATCTAATAGTATAATAGTATAAATGATTTAAACTGAACAGCACGTAGGTAACTCACTTGACAAATATCTGCAGTTTTATAAAAACTTTTATTGTCTATTGTTTTCAGTGACTCAACAATTGTTGGCAAGTCAAATACCTGCATTTAAAAAAATACATTAATAATTGTACTATAATCGCAAATTAAACAAAATAGTAATAAAATTATACCAACCCTAGCATGTAGTAAAGTGTTATCAATCCTAACTTCTCCATAGCGCATATCATTCTCTAACTTTATGGTCAGCCGATCTTTCAGTGATAAGCCATTACGTAATGTCTCCCTCAGAACTTTTGCAGGGTCCTACATAATTTTAAAAATGTTATCATGATTAACAAGTTTCATTAAAAAATGTTAATCTTAAGCTAATAGGTTAGAAAATACTTACAGGAGGCAAGCGCATAATAAACTGACTTTCCAATTCAACGGGTGCCTCTTTGCCGCTTCCATAATCATTATGATTGTTTTTGTGCATTGTCAATTTACCTCGCAATTGATTTAATTTACATCTAATTCAAATCAAGTATCACAAACACCTTTTGAGAACGTCACTATAGCACTGGCTTCAACAATACACAAAATCAATAAATCAATTAACAAAATTTACATTAATTACAAACTACAAAAACAAAACACTAAATTGGAATCTAGATTTTTTATAATACAGCCCTAAGCATAAAACAACTCAACATCCGAATGTTTTTGCTTTTGCGAGCCTACTGAGCGCTGGTGGTTGGTGCTTTAGAGCGTGGGTTCGAGCGCCCCTAGTAGCTAAGACATGGAAGTTGTCGCACAATTTGGATGGAACCATGGAGGGGGTATATTAAATGTGTGACTGGCCGAGATGGGCGGAGCGACAGCATGTGCCTGCTTACTCGATCCAAACAAATACCTTTAGGAGGTGTTGCAAGTTTGAGCACAGACTATCGTTCGATTCTCATAGACATTCTTTTGTAAACCAATTATATTTTATGTACACCTGTTATAAAAGTGATTAATAAATTTTGGTTTCAACAATTAATTCAGCTTGCGATGCACTTTAAAACTTTCTTCACTCCCTTAAATGATGAACCCCTCTCAGCTTTTATATTTCAAGCTCAAGTATTTTTGGTGATATGTCCGTGATAAGTCGATAACGTCAAAAACTTAAATACTTTTTTCCCAGTTCTCTCACTTAAAATTCAAAATAAGTATATTAATATATATTAAAAACATCTATGTGTTTCAATGGACATCAATCGACCATGAAAATTCTTTCCATTACAAATTCTGTATTTTTGGTAGCATAGAATGTGGCCTTATGCTATTTTATTGGATAGATCGAGAGAAGAGTAAAAAAATACCATTTCTATAAGAGAACATTATAATTATGATGATGAAGTATCCAAAAGTATAGGAAAAAACTTCATTTTTTACATTTATAAACTCTATCGAGGTCTACTTATAAACTCTATCTTTGAAAATATTTTCTCTAACTATAGACCCTAAAAGTGGTTGTTTTTTGTTATTTTATTTTTAATTTTATTCATTATTTAAAACGTTTATTTTATTGTTTAAAATTTCAATATCAAATTGAAACAGTTGAATTCCAACAGTTTAGTGAATTAATCACGCCCCGCGACATCTATTTCCGACGCTTTTTAGCGATATATTTCTGAAATATTAGTTTTATACCATGTAAATACTTCATTCTGACATAATAATATATCAGTTTCCAAAATTTTCTCGTATCGACCCGTAAGAGGCTACGTATAAACCTATAAAAGTGCCCTAACTTTGAGATGAAATATCTGAAAATTATTTTTCCACGGCTTTAATAAAAAATAACGATATTGTTAGATTTAGCGTATTTTGATCTATGAAAATAGTCATGGATAATCTTTGAACTTTTCGCGCTGGAGCCTCTTTAAAAATTAAAAAAATTATAACAATTAAATTTTTATCACAAGAAGAAATTTTACATAATTCTTATTCTGATCTAAAAAGTAGAACATTTTTTAATAAAGTCCTAGAACAACAATAGACAGAAGCAAAAATGAACTCCAAACGAGCGTGTAGCGCGCAATCCCAACAACTAATCTGACTTGTAATTCTGAAGGCACAGCTATATTAAAGGCGGTTTAATCGTTCCAGAGATATGTGCGAGCATACAGAATTAAACAGAACCTTTTTTAAGGCTGCCAAAACAAATTTCAGAAAGAACGCTTATGAGAATACAACTGTTCTTATTTCTTTATTACAATTCATATATAGTTTCAAGTTCAAACTATTAAATATTCTCAAATATTGTACATTGAATATTCACTTTACAATTGGCAATAATGTACTGTAACATTTTACTTTGGTATTTCCATATATTTCATCGTAAGACAGCATGAATAATATCTTAATATTGAATGACGAAATTGATTTAGTTAGTTAATTACAGCCATTACTTTATTTGCAGTACTACCCGTAATGCATTGTATAAAAAAATATTCCTTCCTTTTGTCAACTTAATATTTAAATATTGAACCTTTCGTCTTCATTCTGATAACGGACTCTATAATCGGCCAAACTTGTAGGGTTCGGAGGATTTAAATAATCTTTTATCGTCAAGTATTTGGGTCCTCCAAAAGTGTCCAGCACGGCAATTGTGCTCATCTTTAGTTTGGCGAAAAAGAAATGATGATCTGGAACGAAATAATACTATAAAGTACACGTCAAACGAGAGTATTTCAATCATCGCGATAGTTGTTTACCTTTTGGCATATGAGCTAACCATGGATGTCGGCCAAATATAGCTCTTTGAGCTTTCGTGAATTCCGGATTATCTTCTTTCACCTGTAATTTTATGTGTTTCTTTTTACAATAACATATAAATGTTATTGTAACTCGAAAAACTTACCGCTTTAATTTTCCCTGACATAATAATCCTGGCGCATCTAGGATCCATCGGGTCATAATCCTTGATGTGGCACCAATTGCCTTGAGCCAGAGTCATCATAAGCGTCGCGCGATTATCATTCTAAGATACACGTCGAGAAAATTAATGGCTTTTTTCCTTCTTTGTCGATATTGTTATCTTTACTTTGTATTTTCGTGAGTGATAAGGAATTTAACAGACGCTTTAGAGGCAATCCAAACGACTGCACACTAATGGCTAAAGAAAATTATAACAAAATTGATCTTACGAAAACATCTTGAGCCGTGAAATCTAACGGCGTCAGGTATAAATATGGAATCCCAGTACCGTTGCCAAGCGGCCCATCGCTGAAGGAAATCACATTGACAAACGGATAGTTTAGAGTCTCTTTTTGCGAACTGATTGTCGCTACAGATGTCCAATCTGTAATCAATGTCCATCTTCGATTAATCATCGACCAAGATAAAATTTTATTCTGCGACATAGCATAGATTATAATTGTTCGTCAAACAATAAGTAGTACGTTATTGTCGCGCTTTTTAGAGTTTTCAATGATTGCGTTATTGCGGAAAGGTGCCTGATAACGCGTTCACGTACAGACCTGTCATCTTGATATGCGATTATTGAACTCTGTTTGCTAGAATTAAAATGCGCAAACAGAAACGCACAACTATCATTTACAATTTTTCATTGAAAAAAAATTAGAAAAGCAAACGCAAGAATAATTAAAATTACTAGCTTGATGGACGATGTATCGGGCCATCAGAGCAACCTGATCGATCGGAGGTGGATCAGCCACTCGCCCTCTCGATTGATGCCTTTTCCAGTGAGTCTTTTTCGCAGCCTCCTCGAAATGTTTTCTCTCGCGATTGGCTCTCTTCCAAGCTTGAAACTCTTGAAACTCCTTGAATTCCTGCCACTGCCGGTAATCGGTCGAGTCCTCGGTTCCGTGCGACAAGTGCGCCGAGACCATGGTTAAGGCCAGCAGTGACAACCAAGCGAGAGCAAATAGCGCAGCCGTGTACCTCATTTTCACTTGAACACTACAAATTCGTTCATTACTACAATAAGACGTTGTCACTTGCTGATATCGAGCTCGTGAATGGATTTGTTTGGAGAATAATTGTGAATAAACTATACATACGTGTCCAACTGTATAGCGATCTATCCTGTATCTCTTACGCGTCAATATTTGACATACAATGGGAATTACGTGAATCTGTAACATAACGGATTTATATATACAATATTTCTGGTTCCGATACAAGCTATATTTTTAATTATTTCCACTTGTTTTACGTAACTTTCAATGTTAAAATTAAAAACAATGTAAACTTTTATGAGATGCTGTAAATTTTGACAGGGTGTAAACCTTATTAGTAAATAATAAAAATGAACCGATACGGTAATAAAAAAAAAAGTTTTCATCGGAAAAATTAGAATATTCTTTAGCAAGAGTGCGCGAAATACGCAGGCATTTTACTGTAAAAAAGTATTGAAAAATTGTATTATTCCGAGTTGGCTTTCGAAAACAATACTATCGCACGCGTTTGAGGGGTCAACTGTGATTCATACCAGTTCGTCTATGTATATCTGATAATAAAAGACTGCTTGACATCACGATAGTAAGCTGTTAGATACTATAATGATATTGTCGAACTCGTGGTAAATAATATTTATATTGTTCATGCTGAGTCACACAGTATAACCTGTTACACTTATAAAATGTTTTATTTTTGCTAACGTTTACATTAATTTTTATTTAAACATTTTTACTGATTATGTAACTTTAAAGAAACTAATTGACAATCAACCAAAACTAGATAAGTACATTTCATTCCTATATAAAAGTAAATGGCGTTTTAATAAAATTTGACATAGATTGTAATAAACAATTTTACTCGGACATTTACCTCCAACCACTTTTTGTCATGAACAAATCAGTCTTTGACACTACAATCAATTCACTGACCAAAAGCGTCTACACAGTGTTTGATGAAATAAACGTCAACTTCCCGATCGAGTCGGACGACTACTGAAACGCACGAGAGCAGCTAGAGTCATGACGAATCACAAACATCGCCGATATTACACGAGGCTTCGAGAATACAGCTGACAAAGTATAGTTGCGCCTTTGTGGCGATGTGTACGTATGTATACACAATAAACAGCTGTTCTCAGCTATAAGCATATACGTCACTGCCTATACTTATCCTTTCTCTTTGTCACGAACGAACGTCTTTACTAGAATAAACCCGTGTTTTTCTTTTGTGTTGATCGAGCGATTGAACAACATTACGCTGTTCAATTATTTCTCACGTTACTAAAACAGAAGATGCGACGACCTATAAGTTTGAGATGATGGAATCGATGTTTGCGATACGAGTAATAGGAGTTGCTCTCGCGTTGCAGGTTGCAGGGTCGCAGGCATCTGCTACAAGATGAATTTGTTTATACGAAAATTGTTTCAAGTACAATTTGAATACTAAAAATAAGCTTATAAACAGTTTTGGATCAAAACTTAATTATTTATCGAGTTATCAATTATTGAAAAAGCCTAGTGTATAATAAATGGTTGATCGAAAAAGTAAAATTTTATTAATTAATATTTATTCATTTATAAAATAAAGTCAAATACAGTTAAATTAATGAATAAATTGTTTCATCGATTAATAATATTTATTTAATAATAGCAATAAAAACAATAACAATTCTAATAAAAAATTACACATTATATTACATATTAAAATATGACACTTAATGAAAAATATATTAGAACTAATTAGAAAACTATATTAGACATAAGATGTATAGTGTTTTATAAATCTCCCAAATCTTATTATGAATCAATTTTCAAACTTTCATTGAATTGGAAGCTACTGAGCTTTGATAGAAAACTTCAGATTGATTGCCTCTCACACAGCTGGCTGCCTTGTTTGATTGATTTGTCTCGTTTTCTTATCTGTCAAGTAATAATTTACTCACATCTTCCATAGCTTTTCAACAAGGTAACCATAGTTTTTCCCAGTATCAGAGACAAAAATACTTGCAAACATATTGAGAGGTGTAAACATCCTTGTCGCTTGCCTGCAGGTAGTTGTGGTATAATTCTTCGTAGTTGCAAGTTTTTTGCTTTCAATATTTATATACATGTTTGAGATAATATATAGGATCAATTTAACAGAAAATGCGATGATTCGGCCCGGGTTTTACCAAATTTTCCAATTAATTTAATGCGCCCTTAATTTTTCGATTTTATTAATTTGTGGTAATTATGTAGAACTATTAAAAAATACTTGTACTCTTTACTGTGTATTTTTGTGATTTATTTTACCTTTAAAAAACCGAAAATCGATCGAAAAGGAGTACATGAATTTTCACGGTTTTCTGAAATTTAATAAAAACCATAAACTGATAACGTCAGTTTACTTCGAATTCAAAGTCTTTTTAACTTACGGTTTCCGACATATTTTGATCGGTGGTTGACGAAATTCAAATTCAAATTCTTGCATCCTCTTGTTAAATTCTAAAAATTATAAGAAATCCACTGAGTGAGGTTTCCATTTTTATTGATGTCACTAGTATTTCTTTGTGTAAGAAAAGGATGTGACAAGTAGGCGCAGTAAAGAGATTCATTATTTTCAAATGAACAATAATGCAAGGAAAAAAATAAAATGAAAAAATTAAGAGCATGCACTCTAGACATTTGATGAGAGCACCATTTGAATATTTGAAAAAAAACGGAACCTAATAACGCGCCTCGTTGATGGAATCGGCTATAAGTACATCATAAAATTTTTATAATGATTTTCAAGAGGATGTCTAGAGTAGTTAAATAGATATCATAACAACAGGTTATATAAACATTTTTTATTAAGATTGAAATATTGAAAAAACTCAATAGGATGTATGCCATTCGTTATTTATTGTTAATGTGGTGTTTATTAAAAAAGTAAGAGAAATATGAATCTGTAAGCGGTATTAAATATTAAAATAAGCTATTAAAGTATGGAACAGCAGCAATTAAAGCATATTCAATTGTAGCATCCATTTTCCTTAGCTTTGTTCTTAATCTTAAGGACATCGGCAACCTTAAGGTAAATCTGATATCTGCGAGCGGCATTCTTATTCAGACCACTGGAACACTCGATAGCTCCATTAATAGCTTTAGTGGTTACTCCAAATTTGTTCTTGTTAGCGCCTTTTAGAGCGGGTCTCACATTCTTTTGCCAGAACCACGTGCTAACGTCAACAGAATATTTGGTGTTGCTCGCGACCAGGTCAGGATTTTGGAGCAGTTTGTAGCCGAGACCGAGGGCTTGCGAGGCAGCCTTATAGTTGACTCCCCAAGACAATTGAATGAAGCCTCGACCGTAGTAGAATTTGCCCGGTAAACCGACTTTGTCGACGTATTGTCCGGGACATTTGGTATCTTTGCAGGCTATTTCCTCTCTATACTGAAACCCACCGCTCTCGTGAATCAGTTGTGCCAGGAGCATTGCTGTGAATCGGACATTTTATTGTCAAGCATTCACATGTAAGTTTCTTTAATTACACTGCAGTTCTACTTACCTAATTCACCGCGAGAGTATTTGTTTGTAGATTTTGAGAGGTAAATGTAGATGCTGTTGTCTCTTGGTTTTGGATAACCGTTTGAAGTAATAGCATTGTTGAATTCATTTCTTGTAAGTGCTGTATTGCTACTGGAAACCAGTGCAAGTGCAATAAGTAGAATTAAAATCAACATACTCCGAACTGGATGATTGAAATATATTCTATTAGCTTAAAAATATTTTGGATCAATTAGAGTGTCTTGAGTACGTCCTGAAAGTTTCAGATAAAATAGCGAGTGACGATCTACACTTTAAAAAATTATAGAGAAGTACTTGCCCCACATAGTGAGATAAGTGAATTGAGTCAACGTTTATATACATAGTAACGGGTAAAATTGTACAGATATACTTTGAGGAAACTTCATATTATTTCGCGAAGGTCTGTTTATTTGAATAAACCAATAATCATTTATCTCCTAGTCATAAAAAAGATGACTTGTTTAAGCCAGAAAAAATATGCGTGACTTGATAAAATATAAAAACTAAAACTAAAAGGAAAACTTTCCTGCTCTAAATCACTTTTTTGCAAACCCCAATTTAAAAAAGTATATTATCTATTTCTTTTAAAACCACTAGAATTATTTTCATTATAAAAAATTAGTAAAAATTACTAAAAGGGATGTGTTTTAGTATTTATTTTCTTATAATATATAAACTGTTACGTGACATACTTTTTTGCAAGAATATTTTATGTACTAATCGTTAACATTGCGCGTTTTGAGTTCGTTTTTACTTCTATTCTTGTTTTAGGATTATGTTAAAACATATTTTATTTTTGGATCAGATTGAAAATTATGTAAACTTTTCTTGTGATAGAAATTTAATTGTTGCTATAAATTATTTTAATTTTTAAAGAGGATCCAGCGCGGAAAGTTCAGAGATTACCTATGACTATTTTTATAGATCAAAATATTACTTTGTACTTGTAATTGAGGAAAATTGTCAGATATTTCATCTTAAATTTATGGCACTTTTATACATCTATAAACGGCCTCTTAAAGAGCAAAATGTATTTTGTTATGTCTGAATGAGAAAGCTATAAGATAGAAAATTAATATTTTATAAATAAAAACTTGAGTTTTTAAATGGTATTTTTTGAGTTATTAACGAAAATATCACTAAAAAGTGTCGAATAATCGATATCGCGGCGCCAGATTAACTCACTAAATTGCTTGGATAACGATTACTAATAAATATTAAGATCTCTAAATGGATATACAGATTCAAGAGGATTTTTCTAAATAAACCAAAAGTACATGTCGAATTTCGGAAAAAACTAAGAAATTGGTGGTTTTCAGAAATACCTCTATTTTTTTTGCATTAAAATTTGAAATAACGAAGCGAAAAGAAATTTAAATAGAAATCCATTCTTACAGCTACCAATAATTACAAGGGAGAAACAACTAATTTTAGAGCTTATGAAAATATTTTCAAAGATAGAGTTTATAGATAGATCTCTATACATAGAGTTTATAAACATCAAAAAAATGAAGTTTTTTCGTATAATTTTGAACACTTCAATATCATAATTGTAATGTTTTCTTGTAGAAATGTTTTTTTTACTCTCCTCTCGATCTATCCAAGAAAATAACATAAGAATACAATTTCTGTTCTCTGTGCTACCTCTTATCTAGATTTTATAAGCTCCTGTTACTTAGTTATAGTTACAAATTTGTTTTCAACAAATTATTTGTATAATTTAGTATGAAGAAAAATCCAAATTCTAAAACAGGGAGAGCACAGAGAAATTAATGTAAATAAGAACATTGGCATTGTGTACAGAAAAACGTGTTCATTTCGATGATTCTTTGTATTTTTCTTATTTCAAAGATTTATAAAAATTGGATCGATTGATAGACTGTTTCTTGACATGGCAAGGTTAATTATCTGCACCTAGGAATACTTCACGCTTTATTTGAGCACTACTTTTTCAAATTATTTTAATCTACACGTCAAAAGTGTAATTGAACACGGTAAATAAGAAAAATTTTTTTTTATATAAATATTATTCACTTCTATCAATCACTACATTAGCCCGCGACCTACATAAAGCCTTTTTGGTTAATCCTAGAGATTATTATAAATTGGCTTTAGACACTACAAGATAACTAGGTACTTATATTGATTGAACCTAGGGTACTTTTCATCTTTGGATCATTAAAATCGGTTGCAATCCAAATGCGGGAGTATAGGGACAGCGGCACTGGTCCCCTCCGTGAATTTTCTAATAATTATCTAAATTAATCCTAAATCCTAAATTCTAGTTTAGGCGAAAAATCGTAGCTCTGGCAAATCAAAACCCTGAAACTGCGCCAAGTCTGAGGCGCACCTGAGATATATTGTTGCCACGTCACGGAATTAACTAAATAAACACTCGTGATGGCGTATTTGTAGCACGATAGTACTGAACCTTCGGTGAAAATATCATGCTCAATGATTTCTTTTTTTCAATAAAATAGTATGTTGCATGTATTCTTGTTCAATTAAGTTGACTATATGGAAGTGAAATTTTAACAGCAGCAGCCATAAATAGATTACACAGAAATTTTATTAATTGTTGTGCTTATTCATTCAAGCAAAGTTCAGCCCACCTCGAATTAGTTGTGAAGTAAAATTAAGTGGAGTTCAGAACCGTAGCTACAATCTATTAAACAGAAATTTCATTTTTTATTATGCTTTTTCATCCAAGTTAAAATTCGTCGTACTGAAATGACCTGCATTTATGAATAGAAAATATGCACATTTTTATTTATTATAGTGTATTTCAACGCGAATACTATATCAGCTATTGAGGTAATATTATCATAAAGTTCGATGCGGGTTCGAGAAAGTCTAATTATTTTAATGAGAAAATGTTGCCATAATTTAATCCTGAATTAAAAATCATTACGACTTCTAAACGGACCGATAAGGTAAATAGGTGCGGAGTCATTTATGATTGAGATGACAAAACTATCATATTTGGCAGTGTTAAAATTAGCCGGAAAGGCTAAAGTATGGTACGATGGATTGCAACATTCTTTACTAACTTAGGAAGCCTTATCCATCGCTTTCACACGACTATTTTCCGAGAATGAAAGCTTCGGGAAATTATTAGAAGATGCAGTACATTATAAAAATTTGCCGGAACAAGACTTTCAAGCATATTGTTTAATTAAGTCAGTCAAGTTCAATAAGCTACGCATAAAGGTATCGGAAGATACGATCGCTGACGTTATAACGCATGGTATTCACGATAAAAGTATTCAAATCATAGCATTCGCTCCGTATTTTAATAGCTCATTTGAATAGGCAATCAAGTATTTTTCCAACATCGACCGAGATAAAAGAAATGAGGGAAAAGTATACTAAAAAGAATAAAGGAACCAGGGAGGATAAGACAGCGAAATCGACAATTTCAGAATCTTCAAAGCAAAGCTAAACCAAGAGAAAAAGAAATGTGAAATCTGCGGATTAACGAATCATTCTGACGAGCACTGAAAAATGCGGTATGGTGCCTATTAGTTCTAGAAGTACAGACAGTCGAAACAAAGAAACAAATCAAAACATGCGTTATAAATGGTGTATTCAAAAGAAATGCGTTATAGATTTAGGAAGTGATTATTCGGTCATAAAGTAAAACGAAGCCATATTGTTAAAATAAAGATTTGATGAAACTAACGGCGTTCTACTAGGATTTAATAACACTGTAGTGAAATCTATAACTTGTTCAAAAACCAAAGTAAAAATAGACAGTATTGATCTTGATTCAAAATGCTTTATTTTACCGAACGATCAATTGTCCAAACAAATTTTGATAGGTCGTAATATTTTAATACCAGGTGTCGAAGTGACGACGAACGCATCTAGCTGTTTTCTTAGAAATGTATTTGAAAATAATTCATCAATACAAATAAAATCAGTAGATATCATCGATACTTTGAAATGTATTGAAATAAATGAAATTCATTTCGATGATTTAACTACGAAAGAAAGTAAAAGACTATTGATATAGTAGAACAAATTTCGAAATAATTTAGCTTTTGATATTGATGAATTAAAAACAGCACATGTCCCAGAGATGACAATTAAATAACTATTAAATAACTATTAAATAACGAATCGATTAGTATCGACCGTGTCGTACATCGAAAGATGAACGCGAGAAAATAAACAAATTAATTCTGAAATTTAAGTATAACGGAATAATTTGAGAAAGTATATCTACTTACGCTAGCCCAGTAGTTTTAATCAGCAAACCAAATAGTGAAGATTGCATGGTAGTTGATTTCCGAGAATTAAATAAAAAAACTAAACGAATAAAGTACCCCACGCCAATTGCAGAAGACTCAATAGATAAACTAGGTGGAAAAACTACGAGTTAGATCAATGGAAAATAAAACCCATTAAGGTCCATGCCGAAGCTGGGTAAAATAGCGTTAATCTAACTATGCCATTCATAGCATATCCAAAAAACAAACCCGTTATTTCTTCTTTTGCCATTTGCAATTGTTTATAAAAAATTATTTAAAATTACACAAAAAGTCTATTATTTTCTAAAACTGCTCACGGCAATCGATTTTACGGAAAAAATTATGAAAGAAATGTACATAACACTTCTTGGTCAGACTTCAATTTATTAGTATAAAATTGCAATAAGTAATAGCAGGCTAAACTGCCAAGGTGACCACGCCAAATCCCAAGCAAAATCTACGCTAGATAGCGACAAACTAACTATTCATAGCATATGAAAAAAAGCACCCATGTTTTTTCTTTCAATGATTATGGTGAATTTATTTATGGCAACATAAAAAAAGTAAATTGATCTTTGCTAATATTTTTCGTTATTGAAAATTAAGCATTCGAATTAACAGTCATCTGTTAAGTTCTAAATAGATGATATGATGTTTTTGTGACACCCTTCAATAATTCTCAATCCACAAGTAACTGCACTAAATTCTGCTTTATTGAAATTACTTACATGAAGTTGATTAATATCAAATTCATAATCCGATTCACAAACTAATTTGCAATGCGTGAAACGAATTCGTACACCCAAAGATCCTTTCGAACATAATTATATTTAGCGAAAAATTGTATGTGGCGCTATGTTTGTTGCTAAATATATTAATTTAATTGTAGCATCCATTTTCAACAGCTTTGTCTTTGATTTTCATCACTTCGGCTATTTTGAGGTAGACCTTGTAACGATTGGCAGCCCTTTCGTTCCAGCCACCAGAACATTCAATGGCTCCATTGATAGCTTTAGTGGTGAGACCGAACTTGTTGGACTTTCCAAGTACAGGCCTAACTCGAGTCTCCCAATACCAGGTGCTTACTTGTACGCAGTATTTGGTACTGCTGGCAACCTCGTCGGGATTCTGGAGGAATCGATCGCCGTAACCCAGATCGTTAGAACACGCTTTGTAGTTGGCTCCCCAGGTCAGTTGCATGAAACCACGGCCGTAGTAGTATTTGCCCGGTAAGCCAACGCTGTCGACGTACTGGCCGGGGCAGTTGGTCTTTGCGCAGGCTAATTCTTCTCTGAACTGGAAGCCGCCGCTTTCATGGATTAGCTGAGCCAGCAGCATGGCTAACATATAATTAATAATTATGTTCAGCGACCATTATCTTTCTAATAAAAGCAAGATTCGAATTTGACGAATTTGTCCGGCGTAATGTTTTAGTTTGACATGCGAGCACGAAAAGTTCATACATTACTTATTGACACATACCTATTTCCTCTCGAGAGTAACTTTTTGTTGCTTGTTTAAAATAAGTATAAATAGTAGCATCGCTTGGTGCAGCGTAACCATTAGCAGTAAGGGATTCGTAAAATTCACTTTTACTAATCGACGCAAAGCAGCCGTGGAAGATCGCAAAGATAAAAATACTAATTGCTAGGCGTACTGAAAAAAATCATAATTTCTTAGTCCATACAGATATTTAAGTAAAGTTCTAAAATAAATTATCTCAGAGGTGAGGGAGAAGACTTCTGAACAGGCAAATCGTTCAAAATATAGGAAATGATAGTAAAAATATTTACAAATAATTTTGATTGGCATACTTACCCATGATTTCAACGTTGAATATGATAGGATCAACAGCTAGATAAAAACTAAGTGGTTCAACGAATATAATATATTAAAATATATAAAATTAACAAAATTGCACCGGTATTTGTAAATACTTTCGTCAAACTCAAGTACGAGCTCAGTAGTCACAACTGTTTGAGTGAGCCGTGGACCGTACCAGCGCTTTTATAGACACGGAAATAGGTAAAGCGCGTAATCTGGCGGAAAGTCTACTCTTGTTCACAAAATTCTTATCACGGGAATGAAGTTCTCGCAATCGATAAAAAAAATATTATCACGGTGATGACATATCTATTTTGTTTGGATGACGCCCATTGGTGTCATCGAGTAAAAAATAAGTTAGGATTTCCTTCTATTAATTAATGCGAGTAAAATATTCACAGAAAAGCATTCTTGCGGTTAACGTATAATTATTCCGTTCCATCCATAAGTAATATAATAAATTATATTATTTATTGTTTCAGAAACTAATCATAGTCTGAAAATTTTTCAAAAGCAGTAATTTTTTTACTTAACTGTAATTATGACGATGTCGTCTATTTCACAAATTAATACAAAATTTAGATTATACCGGAAGGAATGTAAAATAAATACCCTGTGAAAAATCTTATCATAATTTTATTTATATAGTGCTCATAATCCAAAATCAAATGCGATGGGATAAATTACAATTATCTGTTCAAGAGACTTTCTGAATTTTAATAGATCATTTACGTTTCATTGTACAAATAACGACTAAGTACACTGGATTTTGTCACAGTGTCAAATAAAAACAAATGTACTATTGCTTTCAATGCTTTGCCAAGCCATATAAATTCTTAGGTTTCATTATAACAATGCGGCCATTAAAATAGCGTCGATCTGATCGAATGATAAGAATAATAGCTGTAAAATATGTCCATTCTAATATGGATAAAGGACACTTGAAGGCATATGGCATGTGTGTGTGTATTTGATTAAACAAAGTTTTTCTTTAACTTTTATTCCGTGCATTTCATGTCAGTGAATCAAGGGATCATTTGATAAAATATTAGTTATCTCGCACAATTAGTATTTACTAGAAAATTATAAAATAAAAATCATAAGTACTTTTTGATTTCATTCAATGAGGTTAATTATTTTTTACAATAAAAAATCATTGACAGACATATTTTATATACTTCGTGCAGCACTCAAAAATATCTGCTAGCAACAGAATATGCAAGTTTGAAGTAAATTTTATTTTATCACAAGAATATTGAAAATTAATTTTTTTCTTTTAAGAAGTTCTAATCAAATACGGTTCATTACAAATTTAGAAGTAGAAGAACAGTTTTTAGGGTGATTTGAAACTTTTAAACGATCACTAATTGTGTGCAACAAAGGGAAACCTCCACAGGAATAGATATCCAACATAATGTTAAAAAACTAAGTCTTTCTTCACACCTAAATACCTTTTATAGAAATAGGTGTCATAGTTTGATAATTACATGCTTGTAGGAAATTTAGATCAAAACATGCTGTTTGAAAATGGAATTTTTTGAATAGTTTTGAATCTTTCCAAAGGTACACTAAAATAGATTTCAATCAAATTTAATCAGGAAATCAAATGAGTTGATACCCTGATGAAAGTATTTTAAAGATCATTTATTTTTTGAAATACATTCCGTCTATAAAAAAAGTAGATAAAGCTGAAATCTTAAAGATGAAGGATTTAGTAAAATAAGAGATTGGACACGTTTTAAACCTTACTTTTCATACAAATTTAACAAAAATTTAAAAAAAATGTTTGCTCCGAGATAAAAGTTATTGGTCTCCGTCACTTAAAAAATTTTTCATGAAAATCAGCTGTAAAAAAATTTGTCGTACGATATGAAATATAAGTCTTAACAAAAATTGCAAACTCATTTTATTAGGTACTTATGATTTTGAAAATATTTTGCAAAAAATGTCTTGAGAAAAATAATTTTTGTATTCTGTAGACTTTTAAAATATTTAGCTAAAACAAATCTTGTATTAGCAACTATACGGCTTTTGAAACTATTCTTGACGAATACTTCAGCAACTTTGATGTAAGTCTCAAGGATAAATAGTATCGTATTTGCAACAATACAACATATTTATTGAATTCATTGTATCGTTTAAAAAAATTTGAAACATATTTAATATACAAGAAACTATTGAATTACAGTTTCTCTAGATTTATCCGAAAAAGTAGAATCACACAAGCTACGTATATCTAGATAATATTAAAGCTTTATTTTTCGCAGTTTGTAAATTATTTTTTGATATTTAATATAGTATACATATTATTCAAAATATCCATGGCGAATACCAAACCATGAAATTTGACATAATAAAAATTTAAACAGAATTTTTTATTTAAACACTGAAGGACTTTTAAATTTAAATTTCCGTACTATAGTAAGACTTATCTATAACCTGATACAAAGTGTGCAATCTTAATAGTAACTCATGAATTGCAATCAATCTTTAATGATACGATGTCATAAAAATAAAAAAGAACGATTGAGAAAACAAACGAAAATTCTGAATTTCTATTGCGCAGCTTATCTCTAAAATACGTGTCAAGGAATTTATTTCGCACTATGATATTTTCTTTCGCATGACAAATGAGACAGCGATAAAACTTATTTGGTATTTGATAAAAACTTTGATTATACCTGATGCTTCTAAATAAATATTAATTATTTTTTAACTTTTAATTTTAAGTTTCTAATTGAAAAAAATTTTAGGAAACAGAATTCATATCTAATATTATTATTCACTAAAAAATAAAGAATTATAAATAACGTGTATAATATTTAGCGTAATTATTCTTCTACGCAACAGTTACAAAAATGTAATCACAGAACAAAAATCGTAGCTTATGCCGAATGTATCGATGATGTATTCGTCGTGATATAATGCTTTAATAATTTTTCGGATAATCTCCTTCTGCCTCCGTCAGTAATAACTGTTACTAATGTAACGAGTATACTTATTACTCATTGACAGAGATAATTTATTCATTAATTTACGGTTACAAATATTATTCAATTGACAGCGAAATTTTTCATAACTATATGAAGTGTTTTATTTCAACTCTGTTTATAGTCTTTTCGGTGAAAACATATTTTAGAATAAAAAAAATTTCGACTATGACTGAATGTAAGGTAAAATGTAAAAAGATTATATGTTCTTGAAAGTTTTCAATAATTATTTATTTTTAATTTGTCATTGGGGTATCGCTTAATAATTTGAATTACGGTATCGGTGAATTAATATTACATATTTAGAAATGTTTGGATAGCTTAAACATATTGGCAAAAGAGAAAATGAAATAACTGAAAAATACAGTCGTACATGCACAAAACAGTTACTGCAAAACGGATTTAGTCTTCGGAAATGATTTGAATCGTTGGAATTGTCACTGCTTGATAGCGTGAGCATTATATCACACTGCCGTACCGCTATAGCACACGTCAATCGTAGCATCCACTTTCTTCAACTTTCTCTGCAATCTTGAGGGTTTCAGCCACTTTCAAATAGATGAGATACCTTCTTCGCGCAAGCAGGTTACCCTTAACGCATTCACCAGGGTTGATACCCCTAGTAGTGACACCAAATTGATTCTTCCTAGCGTCGAGCAATGGCTTCACTCTGGCATTCCAATACCATACACTTACTCGCATCGCAAGCCTCTTGTCAGAAGCTACCAGTTCTGGTGCGCGCAACAGCTTGTCACCAAGTCCCAGGCCTTCCGAGGCCGCCCTGTAGTTGGCTCCCCAGGTTAATTGGATGTAGCCTCGACCGTGATAGCTCTTATTTAGCAGGCCAACTTCGTCGACATACCAGCCTTTACAGTGATCACCTTTTGAACAATCTAATCGAAAGATTTAAGTGCATAGTTAATATGGATATTGCGATTAAATAATTACCGCATATGCAATATACAATATTTACTGATATTTACGGTTGAAATTTCGGTTAAGTTTATTTAAATAACCAGATATAGATTTGTATATCTCGTTATAGAAAACAATAGATTTACGATCAATATTGATTGCTCACTTGAAAAAGTCCAAGTTTTAATAATAGTTATTACCAATTTGTTCAGTAAACTTGAAACCGCCGCTTTCGTGGATAAGTTGTGCAATTAACATAGCTGCGTCTCCTCGTGAAAAGTTTCTTGTGTCTTCTATGAAGTATCGATAAATCTCTTCATTTGGAGGTGAATAGCCATTTGCTGTTACAGTTGAAGTAAACTCTGCTTTTGTTAAGGTACCGGGAGCAATTGTGACTTTTGATTCTATTACAAAAGCTAATAGTAGTAGGTAAACATAAGACTCACATTTCAGTTGCATTGTCTTGTGGAATAATTACATACTGACATCAAATACGTAATAATCATATCGCTAGTTCAATGTAACGAAATAAAAATATTTCAAGAGCACAATATCGTCAATAGTTAGCCTTTAAAAACGTGCATACGATCTTATCATTAGTAGAAAAAAAGTAAGACATAAACTGCTTGTTATTGCTATTTTACTTTGTGTACATATATGTACACTGTTTGTATTCTAATATTTTTGGAACACTTAAGATTTATTTTCTGATAATCAAATGAAAGTTCAAATTAGAAAGTAAAAAAAACGCTAATTTATTTTATAAACTATATAATTTATAAAAAAAAAGAATATTATCTTTTAAAATGTATAATTTATATTTAGATTGTTTCCTGTATTTCGTTTCATTAACAACAATTTATAAACATATATTTGAACCAATAACTTACATTCAATTAATTCGTATATTTTATATAATTATTCTCATGATATTTTTCAAACTTCTATTATCTATACAGATAGTTCAACGTTATAATTGTCGGAAAATTCAATTTCGTCTCATTAGAAATATGGAAAATAATGTACGTCATATATAAGTGGTTTGAATTGCTATTTATAGACTGATGCCAAATTGATACCAACCATCTTTAAAATACCAAGCTCAGAATAATCAGATTTGAAAAAAATCACGTAACTGCTGTCAAAAACTTTTAAAAGGCTTTCAAAAGTTAAATTTAATTTTATCTCTACTGTAAATAAAGCTTATACAAAATTTGTATAAGTTTTGCACAAATCTTGAGCAGGATTGATACTGTACGAAATTTGTACGTATTCATCGAATTTTCATCGATGTAAAGTTATAATATTCCAATATTATCGTTATTTATTTAAAACAAGCACTTCATTAGAATTTGAATGTGATAAGTTATTTTAGAGACAGAATTATTTATTGCGGAATTATTCAAGCTACACTTGTAACTATTTAAATTTTTGAAATGCGTAATTATTTTACTTTTACATCGACAATCTTCACGTGTAACTTTCTGTATTCGGATCACCATTATGATATACATAAATTTTTGACAATTTTAAATGTCAAATGTTTTATGTTTCAAGATTAATAAAGCGTGTATACTTATTATTTAATGGTATTGTACAGTCTTTGTTGTACACTTTCTTGTACCAATTTTCGGCAACGTTAATACAAACTTTGGATCATTATCTTTAATGACACACTTATAGTTAATGGCTTATGCATAACGTTAGTTTATAACAGGATGATGTGTAATTTATTACTCATTTTAATTAAGAAGATAGACATAAGTGATTCTATTTCATGCGAGCACGGACAACATTATGTCTTCTTATTGCTACTATTGTATATAAAAAGATAAGTTCATGATTCCTAGGTACTGGCTCATAGTTATCAATGAAATTATCATCTCTTGTGTTGCACGCCGATTGATTTTCGCTTATTGGTATGAAAAAATCGAAAAACGACACGCTATCAGTGGTGTATTTAGTTTTTATAGCACTCAACCAATAACAGAATTCGGTATAATACACGTATAATTCAGAATGGCTGTGGAGAATTTCTCTATCGGTGGCGTTTGCTGTATCACTTCATATATTCAAATGGCCATTGCCGGACAAAGATACTAATTGTTTCAGATAACCGCCCATTGTTTGCTATAGTATATAGTGCCATTTGTCCGTAATGGCCAACAAGATTGAAATTGACATCGTAGCGTAACAGCAGTTAAAGAAAGATTTCAAGAAGGTCGTAAAATTCATTATCGATTACTTCGATTATCGATTTATTTGAGTACCAATCTCGAATATTCTGAGCGATGTCGAATATATGTTTAATCCACACACAATATGTAGTGATACCTTGGACCCGAAGTTTTGTTCACCTCAAACTCACGTACTGTCAAAGACTTTTTTACCTATTAATCCGAAAAAATGTCTTGAAACATACTTCAAAATAAAATATCGAGTTAGATAAAACGAAAACATTAAATTTGAAAAATTAGAACCTTATACGAAAGCGATTAGAACGTTATACAAGCGATTTACGAAATTACAGATGTTAATGTATGTTTAATATTTAAATAAATATCTAGAAATAAATACTCGTCTTAATAAAAAAAGAACAGTGTAAATTTATATTTTCATGAGTACATTCTTAAAAAATTTTTATAATCCACTGGAAAATGTGAAGTGATGAATAATATAATTATATACCGCTACTGTTAATCATCACTCCATATAAATACATTCACTTTTAAAATAATTATTATCATGAACAACAAAATTACAAGTGTCTTTGTACATAACTACATATCTCTGGTGTTTTGGTAACGTAGCTATCTACCAACCACTGAAAGTGAAACATTACCCCTTCACTTTATTTTCTCTAGTTTTCCATTTTGTTTTTTTTTTCCGCTGCAAAGGAGTAAAATATACATCAGATAGATGCTTCTATTAACTATATTAGCATTTAATTATTTAAAACTGATCAAAGGGTGGTGTGTGACTTGATAAATCGGCTGGCTATTAGACCTATAAAATGATTTTGTTTTCTGTATGAGAACCGTATTATAAATACATAAAAATAAAATATGAGGCGATGAACAAAAAAGGGGAGGATTACCTGACGTATTTTTCTTACATAAATGTATAGTTTGTTGAAAAATAATATTTTATTGTACAAATAATTAAATTTCAAATCTGTAAGTTGATATTTGTGGATTGTCGGAGAACAAAAACTGACTAAGAATGTCATTGATTTAAAAAAATCACTCGAACACATTGAAAAATCTTACTAAATTAAGTTGTAAATTGAAGTAAAGCGATTAGAGAAGCAGTTTGTTAAATGCAAAATAAATAAGTAAGGAATAGATTAATCATATATATGATGATTTTCATAATCGTGAAAATGATGTATTTTGCATACTGAATTTAGAAGTAGTAAAATAGGAATTTTTATTTTAGTATGTCCATACTTTTGTGTTTAACTATTATATAAAATTATAAAATTAGAACCAATATTTAAATTACAATAAATGAGTTTTTAAATTTGTAATTAATAACACTAATAAGTAACAAAAATCATGTAGTTTAACAGGATAATTAGTATTAATAAAAAATACCAATTCTATGTACTATAAATCATTCGGAGGTATTTTTCATTTTAATAATATAAAATGAAAATATCACAATATACAAAATGAATGCGAAGAGCTGACAATATATCCATATAGCTACCTGCATTTTCTATGAGCTTATTAATATAATAATCGACTATCTATATATCTAAGCACAAGATATTCCATTAGGCTGTAGTAGCTGATTATCTTTGCACAAGCATGACTTTTGCAGCTCATCAGTCACATTAATACTTCCCCCACTAACGACTTTCTTAGGCTCGCGGAAGCAGAATTGCTGACAATCACCGTTCCTAAGAGCACATGGGTTATTAAAGTCAACCTTTTGTATATTTCTGGTAAACATCTTCGCACCGGCAATCGCATCGGTACGTTCATCGTTGAAACGAGGCGTAAGTTCCACCGCACCGGAACCCGTCGATTTATCAAACCTCCAGATACTAGTTAAGTTTGCTACGTAAGCGTATCGATCGTAAACGCTAACGGATCTTGGATCTTGGACTATCGAAACGTAAATACTTTTCAATCGTTGCCCCTCGAAATCTGCACTGTAAAGTTTTGTAGCATCCTTGCTAAACCAGAATAATCGCTGGTCTTCGTGGTCTATCGTCAAGTCAACGTCACTCACATCGTCTCTGGCGAAGAGTGTCACTTTCGAATGGACTTTGTGTATCATCGTCACGCCGTCGAGCGTCATCGTGAAAAAGTATAAGCCTCGATTAGGCTCTAAGGCAAATGCGCCTGGGCTACCAGTTTCTTTGTTGAATCTGTGCAGAGTTTTCGAAAAGTAAGCTTCCTCTCTGGGCTTTAACAACACAATCGTCGTATTTTCAGTGATACCGTTGCTGTCCTTGACGTAATACACATCGTCGCTCACCCAGTCATAGGCTAGATGCCTCAAACAACAGTCTCGAGTGTAAGTGCCTTGGAGATCTCGTCTGTCCAGATTGACTGTATTTATCGTCAGATCATCACTGAAAACAAATGTCCTCTTCTCAAAATTATAGTCGAAATCGATCGTTTTCTTATGTTTGAGAGATATGTGACGGAAACGAATCGGAAGTATAGCATCGACGAAGGCATTTCTTCTGGGATCGGTAATTCTTCCTCGTATGAAATCTCCTCTAGCATACAAGAGATACTCCTCGATCGGTTCACACGTTTTGTCATCTTGCTTCAGTCGCTCCCCAAGATAGCAAGCACAGCTGTAAGAGCCGACAGTTTTCAAAAGACACAGTCCGCCGCACTTGGCGCTTTCGCAAGGATTTGCACCAGGATTGGTTTCTCCGGTGAACACCTCGATACCTTTTGGATCGTCGAAGGGCAACTGTTGTACGTCGGCTTCGGTGCAAATGTTAGCGCTACCTGGTGTACAACTCCAAAGACTGCGCAAGCCATTGTCAACGGATTTCGTCCAAAATAATCGTGCGCCGGAGACGCCGAGATTCCAGTACGTTGCTCTAGCTGCTCGTGTCATGGTTAAGCGTTTGCCACCGTCGTAATCAGAACTTTCGACAGTTTCATACTCGGCCCAGTATAGTCTTGGAGTTTGAGTGTCTAACGCGACGGCGGTTACAGAGGTGCTGACGATCACTTTTCCCATGGTTGACCCGTCCATACTACCTTTCAATATCTAAAAATGTAAAATTCAATGTCAATAGCGCAGTTGAATAAAAATAGAGCATTTTTCAATTACCGAATCGAACTTCTGTACGATAAACATGAGACCCCGTTGAGAATCCAAAACCATGTCAACTGGCTGTTTCAGATCAGACACAGCTATTCCGAACCTCGTACTTTTCGGATCGTAAACGTTTAATTTGCCAGCTAACCCATCCAGCACGTAGACGTTTTCGGTGACGGAGTCGACTCTCACCGCCATTGGATCCCATTCTCGCCACTGCGTTAAATTGCGATATTTTTTTGAGAGAGAATTTACCCACTGAGAGTCGATTTCACGCCAGTATATCGTTCTCTTCTCGTGTACGTCGAACGTGGCAATGCCTTTCCTACTTTTTACTAGAAGTGTCTTCTTCTGACTGGTTAAATCCAATGCCCATAAATCTCGCTCATCGCTTACTACCAAAGCTGTAGAGTAGTCAATAGCTACGTCACTGGAACCGTTTCGACCTGAAAGATGTTTTCTATATATCTGATATTGTAAGTGGGTCATATCCCATGCGGGTCTATTAGCATAAAAAACAGTTTTAAGTAGTACAAGGAAACGTATTTGTATACTGTTTATTTTTTAAATCAATCCGAAAGAGTTACCCGCAGAATATTCTTTAACTTGGTTGAGCGAAAATGCATCGCTTCGAAAGCAACTGTATCAAGTATCCACATCTTTTGTAATAAGTGCTGAACAACAGTCTACACGTTATAATACGTGTGGCAGCACGGCTCAAAAATGTCGTGAACTTTCATCCGTACAACTTCTCAAACGATAACTCTCCTTCCACTTTGGCACACAGTAAGTGTTATAAAAACTGCTCGACTATTTTAACTGAAGCTACGCTCACTTAAAACTATAAAATTAAATACCTGTAAAGATGACGATTAATGCGATGACTATTGCGAGTATCAGCACGGCAAACACAGCCGATCTGACGAAGGCAGGTTTGGAGATTATCGCCTTCGCTCCATCCCAGCTCGAATAGTTTTCGACTACTCGCACTTCGCTCATTTTGCGCCGTCGTGCGTGCGTGCGTGCATAATTACGCGCGAGAACTAAAAGAAACACACGTCCACGTGAATTAACGGCGAGCGAAAAGAGAAAAAAAGTAGCGAGAAACTTGCTAGCCAACGGTACATGACTTCTATGAGATAACGTGTGAGGTGCCTTACGCACGCTACATTTCAAACTCGGGAGAGTCACTGATAACGCTGATATGACTCACGACAGAAGGTGTGGAGGAGTGCGTTATACTCATTGCGCTCAGAGGTGGGATTTAATTGTTGACACACAGGTGAACACATGTGAATTACGAAATTTAAATAGACGAGCGTTTGGTGTTGAGCGTGCATGCATGGAATGGTCAAGTTAGACGCCCTATTCCCGTCGACATTTCACTTCATAGCGTTGCTTGTGTTAAAGATGACAAAAGTTATTAGTGTACGATTTTAATTCATAAACATACTGAGAAGACTAACAAAATTGTGGTATACTATAAAACTTCATAAAGACTTCTAATGTATAGATATATTATTAACATATCTATGGCGAGGAAAGTCTTAATTTGTAGCTTTTAAACGAAAACCGGTACCTACAATTTTTAATTATTTTATTTGTTATGTTATTATTAACTAATATGTTAATAATGACATATTAGTTTTTCGAAAAAATCCAGTTCACGATCGAACGTAATGTACCGCAAAAATGACGCGTATTCAACGAGTAAAATTTGAAAATAAATATATCTTGATTTTGAGTACAGTTATCCAAGTTCAATTTTTACCACTCTGCAGATAACGCGAATATAAGAACTTAATTTTAAAATTTGAAGGAAATCTAAAAAAAGTAGTTTTCAAGAGACTGTCCTTTACAGTCTCTTGAAAACAGCTTTTATTACTATTGAGGATTCGTGCGCATTACGAAAAATTTTCCAAGTGTAAGTGTTCATTTAGCTACTAGAACAAATCTGAGAATTGTTAACGATTTGTCTGTGGTTATCAACATAAAGCATTGTGTTTGATTACATAGTTACGATAACATTAGTCTTACAATGTTTTATACGTAAAACGCTTATAAAAAAATTGAAAGAAAAACTAAATACCATCGAAGGGAATTTTCAGTAAAAAATGTAAAAATAAAACCTATAATAGATTCATATATTTATTCAAACGCAATAAAATATATTGGACTGTTTAATTGTAACAACCGTTCTCCTTAGCTTTGTTTGTTATCTTGAACGCCTCGGCAACTTTCAAATAGATGTTCCACCTGTTCTCTGCTCTCTTACGATATTTTGCGTACTTACACTCGCCGCCGTTGATTGCTTTGGTAGTACGACCAAATTGGTTCGAATTTCCCAATACAGGTCTGACTCTCGCATCCCAAAACCAAACGCTTACGAGCATCGCGTACTTCTTGTTGGTGGCAACGAGCTCAGGCTCACGAAGAAGCTTGTCACCGAGACCGAGAGCCTGCGAAGCTGCTTTGTAATTGGCTCCCCATGTCAACTGGATGTAGCCGCGGCCGTAGTATTTTTTACCAGGTAGTCCGACTTTGTCGATGTATTTGCCTGCACACTTGTTGCCAGACAGGCAAACTATCAGGATAAGAAACAATTTTTATTATTGCTTTAAAGTGTAAAATAAAAGAAAAAAATGTCTAGTCTACAAGGCTTAGTCGATACAACGAAAATGTCTTGTCAACTAAAGCCGTTTATATTTTAATGGAAATTTGACTTTAGTAAACTGTATCAATATGCTCTACATTGGATGAGGCATACATCTGTAACTTTCACATGATTTAACACGTGCACTAAAAAAAATGCCAATTTGATAATATAAAAGGCATTGATCTTTGTTTTTGCAAACGTTCAATCAATATCGACTAGAATTGATTTTACTTACCTAGTTCTTCGGTGTATCTAAAGCCTGCACTCTCGTGCAACAGTTGAGCAAGAAACATGGCTTGTTCCTCTTTCGAGTATTTGGAGGCACCCTCCACAAAACTACGGTAAACTTCCGCGGATGGAGCTTTGAAGCCGTTTTTCGTGACGGCGGCATTGAACTCCGCTTCGCTTACCGTTGCAGCCTTAGCCATACAAATACTCGCTACCAGTAGCGCGAGTAGTGTCGCAAACCTTTCCATTTTTTGTCCGTGCAAGGAGATTCCAAGAAAACTATCGTGAGACCTACAATGAAAACTGTGGACTAATTAAGAAAAATGAATTGCATTTAATATTCACACTACTTACCTGGTGTTTTATTGTAGGTATTAACTTCGAACGAATACTGCGGTCAGTGCTCGTCAACTTCGATATTTATAGTTTTTAACTGGCTTATCGTAATAAATGTACGTTTCTTTCCGTATTTGTAGACGTTCCGTATTTTTCACTTTGTTCCTCTTTCTTCAATGACTGATTAGCTTAGAAATTGCTGTTTCTTAAGAAATATGTTCATCGGTTATTCCCCGAGTGATGGATTTATATGGCGCATAAATCTATCTGCATACTGCATTGTAATAACAGTATTGCGCATTCGATGAGTGAGGAAACGCTGCAAAACGCAATAAAGGTATATCAATGAACGATTCAGATAATAACTGGAGTAAGCCCGGGAATCCCTTCTTTAATAAAAAAAAAAATAGAACAGAAGATATTCCTGAGTCACATAAATTTAAGTATTTTCAATAATTTGTTTCTTAAACAGTTCTGTATGAATGGATGGGACAAGATGAAGACCGGCTTCTCGGTCTCTGTCGATTCATAACTCTGAATACCTATAATTGTTTATTATTATTCATTTATTATTATTATTATACCAAATGGTTGCAAGTTATGCAATCTACGAAAACACTTGCAGTAATACACATAGGTATCAATGCGTAAGCTGGCAAAATAAAATACATAACATTTACAATTCTACAAGAAATACATAAAACGTATAATTCTAAACTATAACTAATAGAAATGAGTAAACATGAGAAATGACATAACATAATAACTAAGTTCCTCCTTTCAGTTAATTTCTTGACTGATAATACTAAATTATCTGCTGATCAAATCAGCCATGCTTACAACCTCTATATCGATTAGTGATTTAGTTTTAGTTTGAATCCTTTTTTTTATTTTGAATTTATTACTGTTATTTGTATTAAATTTTAAGACTCCTCATTTGTCTGTCAAATTTCCTATTATATTTTGGTTGCAAGGTATCAATGACTTCGACGTATTTGGGTCTTGTTTTCGAATAACACAAAAACATTTTAAAAACGTTTCATAAATATTTTTAGGAAAACTTCAAAAAATTCTCTCATTTTGCGATAAATATTTTTAAAAAATCTTTAAAACGTGAGATAAGTTCACCCATTTTTGTTTAATTTCCAGAATATGTTAACGTTTGTAAAACATTTTCAAAACGGTTTTGCAGTCTGTATATATCGTGAATATATATAAGTCAAATGTTCGATAACATTTGTATTTTTTATCATAGGACGATAAACATTTAAAAAGATACTCATAATGATGAAAGTGTAGGTAGTCTTCAGTTGATTCGATTATCATTGACCGTCTAGTGTAATCTTCATTTTAAAATGATCTAATTACTGCTGAACGATACTTACAAAAAAAGGTATTAAATATTGTAAAGATGGTAAGTTTACTAGACAAGCGTGTAAATCCAGCAATAGGTCATCTAGCGGTAGTTAATAAAAATAGAATGAATTGTGCAATTCAAATTAATAGTTCATTTCACTACCTTGGGCAATAACGTACTATTAAATTTTAGAGAAATTAACTTCTTAACAGTGGGTCAATTATCCTGAACATAAGACCTAAAGAAGTAGCAATTTTCATTCCAATCTCTATTTTCAGGCATTCGTCTGATTCCTTTTCCAATTTCAGTCTTCTTTCATTTAAATAATTATTGAACATGTTCAAATTTGTAGTAAGTGTAGTACATAGGCATTTTATGTCTAATATTAGCACCATTAACTAAATTTTCATTTAAAGATAAAAATGTTTTTGAGATATCTTGAAGTTCAGATCGATATCACAGCTTGATGAGTTTCCTAAAAAATTAAAAAGGGTTGTTTCGTTTTCCATGAAGATTGTTGGTCGCAAAGTCTGTATCATTATGTCTGAAATGGGAATAACAATATTAGTTATTGTATGAAATCTACTCTTTTTATATATCACAACTTGTGAAAATTATTCAATTTGCTATTAAATCAACACTTAAAAAATCACATTTTTGATAATTCTCCAGGAACACAAAAAATTCAGATGTGCTTTAAAAATATTCTTGTAGTAACTAATTAATAGGGTTTCAATCAAAATCGCAATCATACTAGGAAAAAAATAATTAATGGTAAATGTTCAGAAACGGTGATTTACGAAATTTGATAGTGATATCAATGAAGATAGACGATTCGTTTAAAAGAAGAATTTAGAACTTGGAGTAACTTCAAGACACTATTACAAGTAATTTTGCAGCAAAAAAGAAAAGCATACCGTTTCTTGAACATGAATGATGTTTTGCCATTGCCATCGTCCTCTGTACTTGGAGATCTTGAAGAGTACAAAAGAAAGAACATGTTGCGGGACACGCGTTAAGAACGAATAATCTTTCGCTAATTGAATTAGTGTTAAAATTTCGTTATTTAAAGTAATTTATTACTAACAATAAATAATTTTCTACTTTTTGAGATACATCCGTTACACGGAGACCGCTATACGAGTATGTTATGCTGCATTATCGAAGAGGGTCTTTCCACATTGAGATGATGTGACTGATGTGCCTATGACGTGCTTGTTCCGTGTGATTTTTATACTTTCGGAACACTGGTATAATAATTGTTACTGTAACGGTTGCATAAATAATCTACGATCTATAATTTTTAATGTTTTGGTCATAATGTTTTAGTTTTATCGTACCGTACTTTTTTTTACTATGAAAATATTTTCAATTCTCATCAAATATTTCTACCCGTGTATTTTTTCTTCCGTAATTTTTATCAAAATATCTTGTATAGATGGGATGCGATAAATTTTGCTACGTACCATTTTGATGCAAGTATATCATGATCACATTTTTAAAGTATTTTTTAATTTCGACGGACGAAGAGCGCTTCATTATTTTTTCAACGTTGTATTTAAAAATAATGTCGTGATTCAATATTATATTAATATTCCATTTGTTTAATTTGATAATTTGTTGTATGAAATTTATTTATTTATCAAAAACTGTAGATGACAGTGTAGATATACATAGAAAAATGAACCGTGAAATGTTGCATAAAGTTGATTGAGTTGAATTTTATAAGTCCTCATTGCAAAAGGTGCTGTAGAAAGAAAATATAATATATTATTTGAAATATTATAATTGGATAAGTACTTTGTCACGGTGAACTATTATTATATACTATTATTGTAGAGAGTAGTATGCAAAAAAAAATAAAAAAATAAACCTTATAAAGCTTAAAAAGACACTTAGGATTGACGTGATTTGGATTGATATAGCTGTAACTTACCGGGAATTGCTAATAAAACAAAAAATTTAATAGTTGATAATGTTGCTGATCAAAGTATGTTATATTATTGACAATCAATACAAAATAATTACGTGTGTCTAAGCTGAACAGTGGTATAAAGCACCTTGAAACTTTTTACAATATTTTATAAATGATGAAACCTTACATTAGTAAAAGTGTACTATGAGCGTCTATGAAATATATGAAATCATTGAGTGAACAATAGAAATATGTTTTTTATATATTTCATGCGTTTACTTGCTATTGACAGCGACCAGCATGGAGATGTAACCAGCCGTAGTCTTCAAAATCTGTTTTTTTTGCACGATTCTTGAAAAATTATTGGATAAATTGATAAGAAAAGAAAAATGAAAGAAACCTTAGTACTTACACTGCAGTAGGTTTTAAGTGAGAGTGGCAAAATCTTGCCAGCCGTTAGAGTTTTCTGGTTCTGTGATATAATCATCGTTGGTATAAGATCTCGGGCTGAGTTCCTAGTAACTTTATACCATTGGCATTTGTAAATGCTATGGCACAAGCTAACGATCTTAAAATAAATCAGATTTTATTAATTAAATGAGCTCTTATAAAATGCTAAGGTACTACGCACTCGTGTTGCAAGAGTTTCACCAACGACACAGTCAAGGAGCGTCTGAATCATCAAGGTAACCATAACACAGAGAACGGTAATCACCTGTAAAACTGGTACTTGTTGATCGCTAGCTCCAATGATCTACAACATTGCAAAATTCTGAGATTACAGATGACTAACAAGAAGAGTGTATCACCCTCAAGGTCGTCAATATTTATTTGCCTGTAATTTTGAGAAATCGTTTTATAGATATAAAAGATAAAAAATAGTTGCCGTTTATGTTGACATTCCATTCTTTCGTAGTTAAAAACTATTTTTAATAAAATTATTCAAACTACATGACTATTTTGTAATTAAAATAGCCGGTTAACTGAGCAATTGAGAGCTTTCGTAATGATACAAAATGAAAAATAATATCAAACACTTAAATTAAAAAATACTTAAAAGATATGCTATTTGAAAAATTTCGAATAAAATGCTTTTCACATAATTTTTCACTACTCTTTACTGATATTATGTTACATAACGTTCATGCGTATAACGTAATTATACGAGATCCTTGTTTTTCGTGATTACATGTAATACTCCGTGAATTCAGTGTCGTTCCACGAATTTTCAGAGAGACATAAAAGAATCGGTCTAACATTCAGCTATTCCTTAAGTGACATATTCTTTATATCTTTCAAAGCTTCAAGAGTAGTCGCTATTCGTTATAGTATGAGGTGGATTATGATTTAAAAATACGAATGTTTTGAGTTTTTATTGGTGCAAGAGTTTGTACAAAATGTACAGTTATAAAGGCTATCAATATAATCAATTTCCTAGTAAATATTTTTAGAGATAATTTCTCTAACAAGTATTATTGAGCTACGAAAATTGAAATTATGTTGATGTCCTAAGTTTTTTGATATCTTGGCTTAGACGGTCGAATTTTATAAATTCCTTTGATATCAACTGATTATCTGTTTCCGAAAAGGTTTCACGAAACTGCGGCAAAATATTTCAGAGCGGATACGTATAATTTTGTAATGTTTTTAGGAAATTCCAATAGCTTTACGAATAACGTTTCTAAAAACATTTTCGTAATTTTTATAGAAACATTTCAAAGAAATGGTTCAGGAACTTTTTATGTGAATTTCAACGCTATGTTTCCTCCGTCGGAAAATTCGAAACGAAACCTTATTCAGAAACGTTTCACAAATCTTGCAGTAATATTTCGATAATCATTTTCCATAAATGTATTGTCAATGTTTTCAAAAAGTATTCACGAAACTGAGGCAAAAAATTTCAGAGCGGATGCGTGTAACATTACCGTGTAATGTTTTTGGGAAATTCAAGCAACTTTATGAACAACGTTTTTCAAATTGTTTTCGTAATTTTCATAGAAACATTTCAAGGAAATGGTCCAGAAACGTTTTAAGTGAGATTCAATGCTATACGGATATAACAATAGGTAGAGTGCCAAATGTAACAATAAATTCTTATTTTACGTTTTACAAATTAAACATATACAATTAATTAAATATCGTAAAAACAAGTAAAATTGATAATTATTAGTATTTTCACAGTTAATATACCTATATCTAAATATGATTGTGATATTACATTTCATATAAGGTAATAGATTTGATTGTTGTTAACATGTACATAGATACATTAATCTATTTGCACTTAATCTTTTATCACTCTAATTGGAAATAATCGTACGTATGACAGGTTACTACATAAAAATGCTTCAATTATACTATGTAACTGTTACAAAAAATGGAGTAGTAGATCGAATAAATGCTACTTTTTATATATTTTTATTTATAAAAATATTTCCGATAATTACAGACAAGTCGACGACCCAGAGATGATGCAATATGCATAGAATAGACAGAAAATTCTTTTTATACATAATTAGTAGTATTTATGAATTCATGACTTTCAGTAACGTCAATAAACCCATTCTAAAGTATTTATATTTTTTGGGCAACTTAATGAAGGAATTAGATATTGTGTTCTGAATGAAAATTAAACGTACCGCAAGAAATTGAAAGCCATAACTACAAAGAATGATGGAGGTCCCAAATATCTGAGCGAGAATGACGTAGGTAAACGAGATCTCCAGAGTTCGTGCTATGCTAAAACATAACAAAATCGAAAATCAAATTGGATAGCTGCAAATGTAGATTTTTAACTTACGCCACGAGGTGAACGTGTCTCTGTACAAGTCTTGGCAAGCGAGGCTCGTCGTTTGTCGGTCCGGGTTCATCGAAGCACCGTTCAAAACCTAAGCTCAAAATTTCGAATTGACCGCTCGTATGCATAACGAGCGCACCAAAGTAACTTTCCGGTACGGTCGTGGCCAAAGCAGTGAAAAAAGCTCCAAGATACTGCAACCCCATAGTTAGCTCAAAGTACGGGGTTTTGGAGTAGTCAAAGGGGTAGTAAGACTGTACAAGGAGGTGACGGTCAGCGTAGTCGGTGATGTTGCTTTTCAGTCGAATATCGATGTTTAATAAAGGAAAAACGACGAAACCGAAGACGGTGAGCGTAGTTAGTGTGTAATCAAATGCTGTCACCAACCGTATGCCAGACGCGTGCTGCAGCATCAGTTCGCGTTCCCAGAAGCTTTTCGCTCGCAACCAGTCGTTCCTTGCCGACTGGACAACCGGCTGCATCACTTACTTATCCAACGACCATTAAATGCTTATATTAATTAGCAAACGACAGTAGCTATACATGTAAAATTATCGTGTAGTGTGCTGCCTCTAAATTATTCTGTACTATGACGAGAAGAATTGCGGCTAAATCGTGTGTTTCTTCTGTTTTTTCTTTTCTTCTTTTATACAAAAAAATATAAATATAAATCGAGACCATGTATTTACGTACCTTTCTTGTTATGCCATAGAAAAAAAAGTTTAATAGATCCGGAGAAGGCCGCGGCATTGCTCATAAGATTGTTGACGACCACCGAGAAATTATTAATATCGAGTACGAGAGCCCAGGTTTGGGGCAGACAAATCCAAAACAGGAGCAATGTGATAATAAAAGGCACCCGGAGATAGACATGCCAAGGTTCTTTACTCTCAATCGAATGATTAGCTGCTTCAATTGGCCACACGCCCAACAGCTTGGCACCCCATTTATTCAGTCCCAATGCCCACCTCAAATCTATTCTCAAATTTTCTTTCTATGTAAATCGTTCTCTTATCACTCGTAGCATCTCTTAAAATATCTAACATTGTACTTTAATTTTACCTTTAGAACTTTGTTCTTGCATTTCGAGTACTGATTGATAATCAAATCGAACTACGACATGTGCTGTCTAATCCTTAACATCAAAATGTAATTATCTGGTAGTTTCCAATTGGCATTGGATCCGGCGTTTCTTTTACTTGTTAAAGTCACTATTTGTAAATTATATCGTTTATGAAATGAGGCAGCCGTGCTAAGCCTATCTAGACAGGTCTACGCGATACAATAGCTGTAGAAGCGCTCAAATTTGTGGTGAAATATCGACTATGTCTTTCGTTGGTACATTATTAACGAACTTACAGCAGTAATGAACGGAATATTGTAGATAGTATTATGGAAACGTTGCGTTTCTTCTGACTGCTTAGTACCTGTATTTTGCATTATTAACGGACTTCGACGAATTATCCAATTTATATTGTAGATGAAGCAATAAAAATTTCATGCCTTCTCTAGCTATAGCCACTACTTTGTGTGTGCATCATTAAAGAACTCTATGAATTGCTCATTTCTCCGGCGAGACACACGAGAATGAAACAGTAACTACGTGCTTAATCATAAATGGGCTGCTGTGTTTCATGTTACTTCTTCAAGTTTCTCGAGGGCCTGACATTTAGCGCTCTCGTAAGAGTTTTTTTCAGAGGTATGTGGTATATAAATTGAACGATTATTAAAACAGATAAATGAAAACATAACGTTGAAGAACGCATAATACTCGTTATTTGAAAAGAAACGTATGCACTTTTTAATAAATGATACGAAAAAATGTGTGATTAAGAAATCAAAATTGGATTGTCAAGTTTTTTCCAACGTAGCTCCAAAGAGAAAATACTACTGAATTTAGAATTTACTTCTGTGTATGTACATACCACCTAAAGATTACACTATTACTGCATGATAAGTGTTTTAGTTAATCTGGCTTTGATTCAATGGCAAATTTTTTAAATATTTTTTGAAAATTATATTACAAACATTGAATGTGGATCATGAGTTGTGGTTGACAACGAAATATTAATTTAGTACTCTTACGCCAACAGTGGAAGATTTATGTTCACAAAATGAAAATGATCATTTTTTGCCAGATTTAAGAATATTCATAATGTATTGGGAGAAGTCCAAATGATTTTGTAAAATCTACGATAAATGATTTGCAAGATAATGAAGTCTCGATAATGCTTGGTTTTTCTGAAAGTTACAGCTTTACGATGATGAAATTCAATCCGATCGATGTTATTGACTGAATAGAAAGAGGTTTTTCAAAACCTTCTCTCAAACAAACGAATTAATTATATCAAAATATTTTGGAAACATTTGTTGTGCATAAAAAAACCGCGCTCAACTCTTCTTCAGCAGTGGAAATTCATAAAAATAAATATGTATTTAATTAAAATAAGTTTTCTATAGTATAAATATTTATTTATGGTTATAAATAATTCTTTTATCTTGGATCAAGCTAATCATTCAAACGTTATTCAAACGGAGTCCAGCCTTATCTGACTCAGATACGTACATCATTCAAACATGGATTAAGGCACTTATTAGATTTTAACATCTGGGACTCTTTCTCGGATTGTATCTTAATAATTTATGAGCTACAGCTCAGGAGACCTACAATAGATTGTTCCGTGATCGTCTTACAATTTTTATCACTCGTTGAGAGGAAGAACGGCACCAATTGGAAAATCTTCGAGCACAAGTACGAGCAGTAAGTCTGTAATTTCTATTGCGTTCGCTTATCTTTATGAAAATGACAACTACTTCACTGTGAATATAATTAGCTATTCTAAATATTAAGAAGCGTTTTATAAGAATAATTTATTCTCATTTATATAAGAATACTTTATTCACAGTTAGTACGTGTAAATTAAAATCAATAAAACAAGTTTATCTCGGGGCTACTTGAAATCTAACACGAGACTGTTATTTGTTTATTATAAAATCAATCGGTCGATGTGTTTTGGAAATACCCATAAGTTCTTGTAATAAAGCTATAGAATTGAAAAATTGACCATACTAAATCGTACTCGAGTGAAATTTATTTTACTTGTCGAAGAAACTGTTTTATTGATCGACAGAAAAAAATTATTATCAAATCATGTTCAACTAAATGATACGTGCAAATGATAGCGAAGTTGAAATATTTTCTGAATATGGGAAGATGAATTACAAATAAATACATACATACTACCTGAAAAGCAAAAATACGAATATTAATAAAATCATGTGGATGATTTTAGTTATCCTTTGTAATGACTGTTATCAACATGTCGTCTAATGACAATGAGATACCGTGGGATATTATGAAAGATAAAGAGAAAAGTAAGGATCAAACAAGTAGTAAGCGTATTATATCTATTGCTTGATATATGAAAACATCCCTTTATCTAAAAGAAAAATTAAAAATTCGAAATATGTAATTGTATATTGAAAGAATCTTAAAAGGTCTCAAAATGAAATAATTAAATAAATGAAACTACGGAAAAAGTTCTGTCAAGTGATTAATTTAAGACCACTATTATTAATAGTTGTAGCTAATATAACTCCAAAAATTACATGCTAGAATTATAATTATATTAATTAATTTTTTTCGAATTTTATGGCTGAAAGCTTGAAATTGTAAAATTAATCTTGGTGTTGAGATTGTCATAAGACTTGATTTTAACAGAGAAATGAGAACAATGTATTACATTTCCCTCCAATAGCTTCATGGTTTACCTTAATTATGGATAGTGTAAGCTTGGTAATCATAGTAACGATTAATATTTCTGTCGAATTTATAACTATGAAGCAATTTTTTTGCAAACATTCAAAATTGAACAGTAATTTTCAGCTATGTTTAAATTATACCTAAATTCTATCGTATACCATTAGAGTAAAACTAAGACAAATTTACCGCATTTATTATTTATCCATATGTCTCCTTAAAATTCAGTGATTTTTTTTCAATGGTAAAAATTATCTTTCCTCAATGTATCGGATTCACGTATAACTTATACGAATTTCTAATTCCTTTTTCAACAGTGTTTTATTAAAACATCCCATATAGCTGTGATTTGAGAAGCTTTGCGGTGCAAAATAAAATAAGTTTTATGATGATCAGCACGGTGCGACTTACTATTTCTAAAGTGTTCTTTCAATTTGGGATCTATGTACATTATTGTCTATTTAGTCAGAATGGTAAAGTTCTAGAGAGAGACAGAGAGAGACAAAGAGAAAGAGAGAGAAAGCTAGCCGAGTATGAATGCTTAAACAATAAATGTGCTTGTTGCATTTTTTATATATTTTTTATATTTTTATAAATATAAGTACTTTTGTTCGAGCTAAGTGATTAATAATGCATTTTATAAGCGATTGTTACTTTTGAAACGATAAAATTTTTGCGTAATAAACTTTGTTAAAAAATCCTTTATTGCGAGGAGTAAAATAACTTACATATTTCATATCATTTATTTTGTATTGACAGCGACCAGCATGGAGATGTAACCGACTATAGACTTCAAAATCTGCTTTTTTGGTATGTTTTTCAAAGGATTACTTGCGAGATTCATAAAGAAAAATTAAAGGAATATTGATACTTACAATACAGTAGGTATGAAGTGAAAGTGGCAAAATTTTGCCAGCCGTTAAAGGTTTTTGTGCCATTGACATAATCATCATTGGTATTAAATTTCGCGCTGTCTTATTGGCAACTGAATACCATCGGCATTTGTAAATGCTATGGCACAAGCTATCGATCTTGAAAAAAATCAGATTTTATTCAGCGAATGAGCTTTTAGAAGGTAACAAGGTACTACGCACTCGTGTTGTAAGAATTTCACCAACGACACAGTCAAGGAGCGTGTGAATCATGAAGGTAACTATGACACAGAGAACGGTAATCACCTGTAAAACTGGTACTTGCTGAGAGCTAGCTCCGATTATCTGAAACGATGCAAAAATTGACAAATTACAGATTACTAACAAGGAAAGCAACATCTTCGCGATCTTAGCTTAGAAATAAGTAGCTTTCATAATTCTACCAAATGAAAAATAATCCTTTCTTTAGAAGAAAATATATACTTAAAAAGATTCAACTATTCAAGGGGTATGCTATTATAACACATTGTTTATAAAATCTCTGAAAAATTATTTTTTTCCATTGCTTAATTAACTCTTTGCAAGATTTACAAAATAGTCATATATTTTTACCGGCTTCTCTAAAATAGTATGTAACTATTGAAGAATCAAATAATACACCCAATAGTATTTGCGACTTCTTACATACTTCTATCTTGAAAAACGTTTCCTATACAGTCAAATCGACATTCTAAAGATGTTGCACTATCCGTGTTAATAAATAAAAAATTCTTTTTATACGCGATAAATAGCGTTTACGAATCTATGAGTCTAAGTAAAATCAACAAACACATTCTATAATATTTTGAATCGCTAGTGGGAACTTATAAAGAAATTAAATATTATACCCTGGATAACGTTTGAACGTACCCCGAGAAATTGAAAGCCAGAGCTGCAAACAATGATGGAGGTGCCAAATACCTGAGCGAGAATGACGTAGGTAAACGAGCGCTCAACAGCCCGGACAATACTGAAAAAATCAAAAGATAAAAAATCTAACTGGATAGCTGTATATATGGCTGTTTGACTCACGCAACGAGGTGTACGTGTCTCTCAACAAGTCTCGGCAAGCGAGGCTCGTCGCTCACGGAGCCACATCCATCGACGCACCGCTCGAGCCCCAGGCTTAGAATCTCGAACTGACTGCTTATGTGCATAACAAGCGCGCCAAAGTAACTTTCCGGTACGGTGATAGACAAACCAGCGAACAAAGCTCCGAGATACTGTAGTCCCAGACTTAGCTCGAAGTACGGCGTCTTGGAGTAGTCGAAAGGATAATAAGACTGGACGAGTAGGTGACGATCAGCGTAGTCGGTGATGTTGCTCTTTAGTCGGATGTCGATGTGGAGCAAGGGAAAAATGAGGAAACTAAAGAGGCTGAGTATAATTGCCGCGTAATCGACTAGTGTCACAAATCGCATGTGAGTCGCGCGCCTCAGCATCAGTTCGCGTTCGCCAACGCTCTTTGCTCGCATCCAGTCGCTCCTTGCCAACTCGACAACCGGTCGCATTACTTGTTCACCCAATGATCAATTAGTGCTCATGTCATTCACCAAATAACAGTAGCATTACATGCAAAATTATTGTAGAATGTTTGTTCTCTAAATTATTCCAAGTTTTGATAAATTTTTTGTACTTTCAAACTCGGTGTTAGCGGCTTTAATTCTCAACACAATGACAAGTGATGAATAACGCCGAGGGCAATTTACTTCACATCATGTTTTCTTGTTATTTTTTTCTATGCAACAGAAATATAAATGGAGACCACGTATTTACTTACCTTCTTTACTGTGCCACAGAAAGAAAAGCTTAATAGATCCAGAGAAGGCTGCGGCATTGGTCATGAGATTGTTGACAACCAAGGACAAATTATTAATATCGAGCGCAAGTGCCCAGGTTTGTGGCAGACATATCCAAAATAGTAGCAACACTATCATAAAAGGTATCCGAAAACGGACGTGCCAAGGTTCCTTACTGTCGTCCGTTGACTGGTCATTTGTATCACTTGGCCACACGCCTAACAGCTTGGCACCCCATTTATTCAGTCCCAATGCCCATGTCAAATCTATTCCCAAATTCTTTCTTTGTACATCGTTTATCTAATCACACGAAGCATTTTTGTACAATACTTAATATTGCACTTTAATTTTATACCTTTGGAGTTTTGTTCTTGCATTTCAAGTGCTGATTGATAATAAAGTCGAGCTATGACGTATTCACACCAACAATTATTTATCGCGCTTCTTTTATTTGAAAAGATACAATTGGTCGAGGTATTACAAGGTTTATAAGACGAGGTGGCCGTACCAAGCCAATCTAGTCAACTGTACGCGATGCGATAACTGTGGTGGCGCTAAAATTAATGGTGTCCCTCAATATCGACTGTTTCTTTCGTTTGTACATTATTAACGAGCTTACAGCAATAATGAGCGAAACGTTGCAGATACGAGTAACATTATAGAATTATTGTGTCTCTTCTGACAGCTTGTATCTACCTGTATCTACCTGTATCTACCTGTATTTTGCATTATTAACAGACTTCGATGAATTATCCAGTTAATATTGTAAGTGATACAATTAAAATTTCATGCTTTCTCTGGCTGGACACTGTTTTATGTGTGCATCATTGAAGAGCTTTATGAATCGCTAACTTCTCCGGACAAAAACACTAGAATGAAAGAGTAGCTAAGTGCTCAATCATAAATGAGTTGGTATGTGTGCTTTTTTTATTCTTTCAAGTATCTCGATGGCTTGCATTTCAGCGGTATCATAAGGATTCTTTTTAAAAGTACGTAATGTAGTTTGTGTACAGAACAATTGTACTTTGATATTTGCATAACATATCGTATCATTTTATTACAGATGTGCAATGTTTGTAACACAATAAATTTTCTATAAATTTATAATATTTTTTGATTACACAGATGGAATAACAAATAACAATAAATATCATGAAACTCTAATTCAACAGAGACGTGGTATGCGATGAAAATTTAATATACAAAGATTTTGCCTACTCATATTTAAGTGGACGTATCCATCAATGACAGCCCTTAACTTCTGGTCATATTGTCAAGTTCCCTGGTGGGTAACTCCAGACTAACATAAGGTTATGTATTATCTTTGCAAATAATGTCATTATTTTTATAAAATATTGTAAAGACATTACATTTGTAAAGAAAGAGTCTATTTTTACGATTAATTTTGCCCGTTACTCTATTTACTAATTATTTGCGCAGTTGCGACGTACGCGCACGAGAGTGCTTGGGATGAGAAGGAGAAGATGCAACGCGGAAATTACGCCAACGTTTCAACTAAAAAAGATTATTGCCGGTCCATTATAAATAAATAAAACGATAAAATACGTAAACAAAAGTGATGGTAATACCACGCGCGTAACGGTGATCGAGCGGATTGGCGTTCTTGGCCTTTAACCTTTACGGGCCGGCACAAATGTTCGCCCGCGCAGCGATGAACCTGTTCAACTGACTACGAGGACCATAAGTCATTCAGCGGTCGCACTAATGCTCATCTCACCGCTGAACAACAGGTCTCCTAGAGTCGGTGCCACCTGCGGAAGTCGCGCACACGCTCGGTGACAGGGGAGAGAGATCCATTTAGTTCATGAATTAAGGCCGAATCATATTCAAATACGAATTGAATTCTGCAAATGGGTTTATAGAATGATAGATGATCCAGTATTTTTTAGATAAATGATGTTTTCGGATGAGGCAAAGATTTACAGTGATGAAACATTTAACAGGTATAACTATCATTATTGGTCAGATCAAAACCTACACTGGCAAAGAAAGGTAGACCACTAATATCGACGAAACCTTACAGTGTAATGTGATATAGTAAATGATTATTTGATTAGTCCCTATTTCTTCGATAGAAATATTGATAGACACAGCTAGTTGGAGTTACTAGAAAATCAATTTCCAGGAGTATTAGAAAATGTAGATTTAATGACAAGACAAAGAATGTGGTTTCAGCAAGATGGTGCAGTAGTACATTTTGCCCGGATTGTACGAAAACTTTTAGATGAAAATTATAATACGAGGTAGATCGGAAGGGAAGGTCCAGTTAACTGGCTTTCTAATTTACCAAACCTGGCATTTCCAGATTTTTATTTATAAATTGCTATTTTCAGAGAATAATCAACAACTAGAGTGAACATGATAGATTGTGTCAATCAAGTTTGCCCAGCAATATTCACAGAGACTTTATTAAAAACTGTTCAGCGCTTTCAAAGATGTTTACATTTATGTCTTCAAACCAATGAAGGTAATTTTGAACATCAAATTTTTTATGACATCCAAATTACATGTTGAAAAGTATCAGGAAGGTATTATGACGATTAATAATTTATCGGAATGTATGTAGAAGATGATTTATAGGATAAAGCCATTCGAATGAGAGCATTAAAACATTGTTTCACATCTTTGTACAGATAAGTACATCAATAAATAAGCATAAATTTTTTTTAATTTTTGAAAGAGTCATTTTTAAATATGTATTACTTTCTATTTTATAATGTATCGTTTATAATAAATTAAAACTATTAGAAAAAAGATCAATTAAAAACTGCTATATTGTGATGTATTGTATGTATGGAAAGTATTGGGTCCACCTTTATACGTATCTCCACGGTAGAGTTATTCTTCATCGGGATGGTGGAATCCTTCAAAGTAATCTCCACTTCATTGAATAACATGGTTCCAGCGATGTTTCCACTTCCCGAAACAGCCTTGGAACTCATTTTTAGAAATGGCCATGAGTACGCTCATCGTATTATTTTCAACTGTCGTTTTATCATTAAATTGTTGTCCTTTGAATGATTTTTTGAGTTTTGAGACCAGTTAAAAGTTACAGGGGATTATGCCGGGACTCTACGGAGATTGTCAAAGCAATGCGATACGGTGTTTATTCAGAAACTGTTTTCGATGAATGCGCTGGCGCATTATCGTAATGAACAAGTCAGTCACCATTTTACCAAAAGTGAGGGCGTTTTCTTCTCACTTCTTCACGCAAACGTTTTAAAATTTAAATGTAATATTCTTTATTGATTGTCTAACCTGTTGGTGAATATTCGTGATGTACAACACCTTCACAATTGAAAAAAAACAATCAACGTTGACTTAACGTTACTCCGACTTTGATATGCTTTTTTGGTCTTGGCGATCTAAAGGGTTTCCACTATGAAGACTGTTGTTTTGTTTCAGGCTCATAACCACAAACCCATGATTCATCACCAGTAATAACGTTTTTGAGCACAATATCACCGTTATTGACCATTACTAAGTTGTCCTGAGCGATTTCTAAGCGAAGTTTTTTGCTCTGCACTGAGCAATTTCGCACACACGCGTGTCATTTGTAAATTTGAGATTAAAATTTTCCAAATTATAGTTTTTGGTATTCCAAGGTCTTCTTCTAATTCTTGCATAGTCATACAACGATCTTGTTCGATGGCAAGTCGCACCCGCTCAACAATAGAACGAGAATCACTATCAACAGAAATGCGGCCTCCTTTGAAACGATTATACCACTCTTTTATTCATCAAAGGCCTTTTGGATCATCTGAATACTTTCCGAACTCGTTTTTCCGAGTTGATAGCAAAATTTGATGCAAATTCGTTGATTTTGTTTTTCAGTCATTTGCTGAACTCAAAAATGGCTTTGTAAACAAAGACATGCTTCGCACGAACTATACGTCAGGCAGATGGCAGCAAGCAATCGATCAGCATTACCGCTGGAAAATTGTTTTCAGGGACCCTAGAGATTCCGGGACTAGATTTTCGAAAGTTTGGGTTGCGTCGGCTGCTCGGCCAGTACTGTATTCATCTTCAACTGAAAACTAGCCGGTGCCACGGCTTGTACTTTTTTGGATGATAAATAAACATGACAATGTTATTTATTGTTGATAATTAAGATCATCTGCAATTGAACTAGCCTGCTGTGTGTTAATTTTAGATATGTGCCAGTTCTTGTGCATAATTGAAGTTCAACTTGATCACCTGAATCCTATTATAAATAAATTACACACAAAGTAAAAAGTCAAAATTAAATTACCAGGTACCGTTAAACAAGCAGCAGGCTAGTTCAATTGCAGGTGATCTTAATTGTCAACAATACATAACATTGTCATGTTTATTTATTACCCAAAAAAGTACGGGCAGTGGTACCGGCAAGTTTTCAGTTGAAGGTGAATACGGTACTAGGCAAGCAGCCGACACAACCCTAACATTCAGAAATCTAGTACCGGAACTTCTACAGTCCTTGAGGGCAATTTTTCCAGCGGCAACGCTGTTCTGCAATCGAAGAGGCTTTACTGTTGACCTACATTCCCCGCAGAGGTTGCTCGAACACTATGACACGAAGATTTTAATGCAGGTCCGATACTTTCCAGGCAGACCTCGTATTTAAGTTATGTTAATTTAATAAAAATGCTTTTCTATCGAATACGAAAAATAAAATACTATTTTTTCAATAAAAATGAAATATTATCCGACACATCTTTCTACAAAAAAATAACAAACGATTAAACAAAATATTCTGCACGATATACTTGTACACTTAATTTTTTTTTTTAATAATGGGCAGAACCTTAAACGTAATAATATTTCAAATATTTATTTATCACTGCAGAAATTTATATAGAATACTTTAGGCCAATTATTTTCTCAGTGAATTTTCCATAGAAAGTTTACATGTAATTGTATATTCTCTTCTAATAAATACTATTTTATGAGTTATGTTCAATTAAAATGGCATTATGTTAAATAAACAAAATTTGAAAATTCATGTACTATCAAATTATGTAAAATCGTTATCCGTACGAAACTAACCCGACCTATAAAATAAAAGTATACAGAAGACTAGAATATAAACTTCATTAAAAAGCTGTCACGCATCGTATAACGATTATTAAAAAATAAAAACGATGTTTATTGATGCTATAACTGTTCCTCGTATCTTTGATGCCAATCCGATACATTTTTGCCATTATCTATTTAATTGCTCATTCAAAGAAATAAATGTGTATGTAAAAAAATTCCTGTGTAGTTATTGCGTAATTATCAACAGTAAATGTGAATTGTTTTTAGAGACTAGTGCAAATCGTGCACAATTAGTTTATACAGCTAAAAGAATTGTAAATTGTGTATTAGCGTGAGACAATGTAACCAATAATATTATATATATATTCTTCGTGCAATAACAATAAGCTTACATGAATTATTTAATGTATTTTTAGGTACATAGATGGAGCAGCAACAATAATATAAGTACGGCAAAATTCGAGAAAATAGATTGATTAATGAATTTAATGCATGCAAAAAAGATGACTCGAAACGAATCGCAGTTGTGGACTGTAAAGGAGCGTCTGTGGTTGCTTGTACTAAAAACATTTAGCGCTATAAAATGTTTGGACTGCTCACGATGATGAATTCTATCTGCTGCTCACAGCAATAAGCATCGAAATGTAACCAGTTGTCGATTTAATTATCTGCAAAGCAAGTAAGCAGTTCTCAGGTAGTATTACAATGTCGAGCAGTCAATTTAATTACGGGACTCACGCTACAATAAGTTGTCATGGACATTAATAAGATTTTGCCTGCTTTTATCTGTCTTGAAGTTCTCGAAGCAATCAGCATTGGTATGAGACACCGTGCTGTACTCGGTGGAAGATAGTACCAGTTACTGTTGCAAATGCGAAAATATATTTGTTTGCTCTGCAAAACATGTGGTAATGTGAGAACGAGCGAAAATAATGAAGGTTCATTGATAACTTACATGCGATGCCAGAGTCTCGCTGGCAAAACAATTGACAAGAGTGTGTACCATCATCGTGAACAGTGTCCCAACAAGCGTGACAAGTTGAAGGCTGTCGGGTCTCTCCGCCCCATCCTCCAGCATCTGTAAATTGATACGATAAAATTTTTTTAGTTTTTGTAGAAGCCCGGCGAAAAAAATGACAAACTCACTCCTAATATTTGAAACCCCAAGCAACACACCATTGTAGACATGCAAAACATCTGGGCTGCGATAACGTAACTGAAGGCTTGCTCTATCAAAAAAACCATTCTGCAATGTATATTTGATGTATTTCACAATAATATTCGTGCCTCTATTCGTCGCCTTATTTATCTACGACAGATATCAAAAATCGCGATAACCCGCGAAGAATGGCATATGAATTATGATAGAGAACAATTTATCGCACAATTGATTCACCTATTTAAGTGGACATGTCTGTCAATGAAAGCCTTTAACTTCCGATTAACGGCAACATCATCGAGTTGACATCGATACTTCGCTCGTAGAAAATGTTCAATGTCACGACCAAGGATATCGAATTGCGCACTCGCATGGAACACAAGTGCGCCAAAGTAATCGTCGGGAACAGACACCGCCATGCCCACGAAGAAACTTCCCATCAGTTGGAAACACTGAGTCAACTCGAAGTTGGGACTCTTGGAATAGTCGTAAGGATAGTACGACTGAACGAGCAAGTTACGTTCACCATAGTCGGTCATGTTGTTGATCAGACGCATGTCAAAATCGACGAACGGAGATACGACGAAGCCCGTATAGCAGCATGATAATATCACGTAATCAATTATGGTCACCAGTCTTGCACGAGCTGCTTGACTCTTCATTATTTTCAGCTTCAAATTATCTTTCACCTCGTACCAATCTCGTGCCGCCGACTCCACCACTGGTTTTAATACTTTCTTAAAAAGTACGATATATTAGTTTTATATAATTTCGCGGATTTTTCCATTATGTTTGCGTGCAATCTTGAGTGAAGCGAAAAAAAATTTACATTCTTGGTGCAAATGGTTTTTCATACTTCATCGTGAAATGAAATCGAGAATTCGGTTTTCAAATTAACAGAATCAACACAATGTATTTGATTTTCGCCATTTGCCTACTATACACTTATTTTATTAAGTAAACATGTTAAGAAAAGTGACCTGGAATCATTGCTCTTTTAATTATTTGCTCAATTAAATTTTTCATGGGTATTTTTGATTCTTCCACGTTTCTATTGCCTTTTTCAACGAGTTTTAACACGTCGAGGATTGCGTTTTTATTTTCCTAGTAAGTTTTTCTTCTTCGCAAAAATATCGTTGTCTTCATATCGACTTTTGTTAGCCATGGATGAATTACTATACTTTCAAATAAGCTAAAATAAAAACTAAGTAATTAAATACCTTTCATTCATTTTTAGATGAAATGGCAAAAATAATACATTGATTCTTATTTATTATAATGAGCCATGAATAAACTGATTATAAACCATTTGCCAAAAGACGTTGGGCATTATTTTGTTTAATTGATTTCATATTTCATTTTAAAACAGAGTGCATTATACACGATGTAGTCGCGAGCAAGTGCAATTCTATATTCGTATTTAAGAAAGAGTTTTATTTTAATAAAATAATAAAAATTACTGAACAATATGGATAACTACTGAATAGAAGTGTATAGGTATAAGGTTACCTAGACTATTGTGCCAAATGAAGAATAATTTTATACATGATGTGAATGTAGGGCTGCTCGTCAGGAGATTATCAATAACAAGTGACAGTTGATGAATACACAAAGTCAATGCGTAAATTTGCGGTAACAAAAGACCAAATATCATGATCATCGTAATGATAGATATTCGTATCACGCTTTGTAAAGAGCGAGATTGAACACTCTCGTCAGATGGCCAAATTCCCATCAATCGAAGACTGAAGCGGTTCAAACCGAATGCCCAAGCAAAATCTGAGACTATGAATTTCATTATTTATTAAGATCGTCTCAACTTAGTATTGGAGGTAGCAAAGGACCTACCTTGATTGTGTTTTTCACTATTACAATTCTCCATTGTAAAATAAATATTTCTGGCAAGAATACTCGTAACGTTCCGCTTTTGACTTGATCTTGTGAGTTTCGGCATTAAAAACTCAATTTATATTTTGGAAACAATTAAAGTCAAGCATAGAAATTGAAGTAACTATCGAAATATCTTGTTGCGACGATAGACGTTTCAGTATCACTGTTGGAGGAGCGAATAAGTATCGACGAAACATATTGGCTGCACGGTGCTATATGATGGACAAAAGAGTGGTGGAAGTCGAACAGTACCTAGGCTTTCATAATAAATGGAAAAACTTCTGAAAGGTTTATCGAGCTTCGGGGTAACCAGCATGAATATTTGCCGGAGGGCTGCGCTTGCGTGACAACAACAATTATTCCAAATCTAGACATTTCACGATAACAACGTTACCGTATAACTCAGCTGATTATTGCAGCAGTTTTTGCTGGTTGTTGCCGGTGGTGTATAAATTAAAAATATTGCAGGTGTATAATCAAGTTCCGAACGGTCTATCTAATGCAGGCTCGTTTTTATTTATCCCTGTGGAAAAGCGTGGTTTTTCGTTTTTACTATTTTCGAAAGTTGTTCATAAAAATAGCTACGACGGTATTTTTGGACAAGCATGGCTATGAAGGTCACTGCAGTCTTCATAGTCTTCAAAATCTATATTTGGAATTGTTCCTTAAAGGATTTTGGGATAAGTAAATGAAAAAAAAGTAAAGCTAATACATGTGCACACTGTCACAAGGCAATTATTAGATATTTTCCATCATCGAAAATAGTATTATTGGTATGGAATCATGGGCAGGCTTGGTATCAATTAGTTACTAATGACAAAGTAAAGATATTTTATAGCAAAATAACTTTGAAAAATTGCATAGTATAAATTACTAGTGGTTGAACAGAAAAACATTTTCTAAATACAATACAAGTATTTTCCAAGCTCGGAAAATTGAAGTGTTCAAACTGGCTCGGACTTTCGAACCAACCCCCACATCGTGAACAAAATTCTTTCACTTAATTATATTAAACAAGATCAAAAAGCGTACAAAGAGTACAAATTCAAATTAATTAAAGGCTTTGAATTTTTCCTGCATATGATAAAGAAAATAGCTAATGAAATTAATAATACACATATTCACACTATAGTAGTTTCTCATAGTCCATCGAAGAATTTTGTCAGTTGTCAATGGTAACGGGACGAAGTATATCGCCAGTAATAAAGGAAGCCTATGCGTCCATAAACGAGAAACAGTATACAAGTAGCAATTCGATTACTAAATTGTTAAACAACATGGACTTCTTCAATACCGGAGTAGCAGTTAAAAAGTAATATCATACCATTGGTTCTTTTAAGGGATAACAATACCGCTCGCAAAAATCCACATCAAATCCAAATCCCCTTGATTTCTTCTCTCCAATATTCCGGCTCTAATTATATTTGGTAAGAGATAATTTGTATTATTACGCAACTAGCCTGCGTAAGTATATAAATCATGTTAATACTAATGGCACGAATCTCAGCCTGAGCCGGGAAGAAATTCTATCTGTTAGTGACTATGAGCAATCCTTAGCGCACGGTAGTTGCTATTAGCGTGACAATCGATGAATACATTCATTATAAAAACTTCGAATATTTCGATAAGAGTGAGAAAGTAGATGAAAGTGTTCGAGAATTATCGTTCCAAATATCTATATGTAAATAAGTAATTCCGTTACCTATGATTATTATACAAGTGTAGCAAAATCTTCACGAGCACGTCTCATCACCTTCCTGGTCGAAAATCTTCACATATAGTCATGTCTAATAACGCCATGTCAAATTATAAATCATATGATCAATTCAAATATAAATATTATATGTAATATTTGCACAGTTATGTAAAACAGTTAAAAATTAAAAAAAAAAACAGTGGAAACAATTGCTCATATCTTATTATGTAATTATCATGTGAATTTACTTTTTCAAAACTGCATAACGACTATTAAGGATCAATCATTTATTCGAGTAGTAAAATATTATGCGAATATTTCTAATACATTAACAAAATTTTATTATTTTATGATATCTAAATTTTTAAAGTATAGGTAATAAATAGTAATTATCAATACGTACACTTATTACAACCGGTTACTACAATCAATATCACTATTTGAAATGTCTCAAGTTATTGCCATCACTAACGATAATTGGCATTAACAGTTGTACCACTGGTTAATTGCTGAAACATTTTTTTCATAGTTCCGTCAAAAAAATTGTAACAGAAACCTTAAATAATTAATGTCCAATGTGGGTTTCAATATACGCAAATATGAAAAGATATAACGGTTCCTCCAAAAAGCCATTTGATAATGAATAACACAAAATAGCAGTACCAAGAAGACGTTGTTATACTCCTGAAAAGTAATATTTTCAATTGCATTCCAAAGTGAATGATTTATGCAATTGAAATTACTCTGAAGTAACGAAAAGAAAGAAATGAATGAAAATGAAGGCAATAAAATCATAGTCAATATAGTTCTCACCACATAACAATTCACAGTGACGTGAAAAAAGCTCGTATATCTTGGTGAGTTCAATAGTCTTTTGAGTACCAAAGTACTTAATACGACGACAAAAATCGCAGAGTTTTCTTTGAGCTGTCGTAGAAGTAGAAATTAGAAGTCTAATAAATTCAAATATATAGTCGTTATTTTAAGCACGTTCGCATTAGCTACATAGGTATATGAAAAATTTTTATTGAAATTTCATGCAATAAAATTTGATAAATTGATTTTGCGACATTTTTTGACATTTTGCTGTTATTTTAAAATAGTTTTTAAATTGGCTTTGGACATAGACATACTCTGATAATGACAACTCTACCAATGAAGTTATACGTAACGCATTAGCACATATACATGTGACCACATGGTACAATCTATAGCAGGAAGAAGGGCTAGCGGCATTACTGTTGGAAGGGAACGGTGAGCAAGCGACAGTAGACGGTGCTGTGATGTTCGTATCACTTATAAATAAAAATAATTCGAACTCTCGTAATTTAGCTAATGAGTAAGAATTTGTTTCCGATGATTTTACTCTAATTTCAAGAAAATAGCTAAGTGAGACAAATACAATAATTAAGTAAATCAAATATATATAAGTAATGATAAAATATCGAGGAAAGTCAGACAATGCCCTAGTTTCTTATGGTGCGAGTTGTCCCATAAGCAGAGCTAAAGTCTTTCTTGGATAGGATATAATTCGGCCCAAGTTTCTTATAGCGCGAGATGTTCTATAAGTCGAGCTCAAATTATAAGGAAAGGTTAGTCTTGCTTAGCAAATCACAATGAGAGAAAGAACTTAGGTGTTGATCCAAGTTTATTCAAACTCATGCGCTCACTTTGCAAGGCTAGAAGTGAATGAATCTAGCCTGTGCAAAGGTGGGCCTATTTATACACAGATTTTCCCGCTTATTATTGCAGGAGAGATTTCATCGAAAATTCGAGAAACATTCCCGAATTTTGAGAAATGATTTTTCTTCATTTACAAGTAAATAACCATTAATATTAAGTTTTTTACACATGTAAATTTTACAGAACTAGTTATTTGTTGATTTTATACAATATATAATTATCGCCAATAATGTCGTCAAAAGTTATTAACTAATAAAGTTAATTAACGTGATATTACATTATTTACAATAGAAAATTATTAAAATTTCATATAACTTTATAGTTAATTAATTTTGGAAGTATTTTCCAAAATTAATTATTTAAATTAATTAATAACATTTGAATTATGACTAATTTTTCATATTTGTAACGGTTTTCTTTTAATCTTAATATGCGATTATTAGGTTAATTATCTAAGATTTCTAAATCATAAAATTGTCATTATCAAGTATTAACTTAATGTTTTCGTTCTATATATCGCTTATTGTTTAAATAAATTATTAGTTGTTTATTTATTAATAACAGTTGTTATTTAGCTGTTATTAATGAAACCAATTCTTACTCATGTTCTATGCTTATTCATTTTACATATAAATTATTTATATTTTTCTAATATTTCATATGTTAATAAATAAATTAACTTTACATATCGATATTCGTTATAAATTTATGATTGAATAAGATATTGTGAATCTGTATGTTAAAATCTATATAATTGATACTTTGTTATATTCAAATTATCTATAATTAACATATTTTTCTCAATGTTATGATTTATTATATCTATGTATATTATTTGTGACGTCACGCTATTTGTTTTGACTCGACTCTTATTTGTATACAGTCGCGTAAACAGTGAGGTAGCGCCGCTTAATGTATTGTTTTGACTAAACAGATTAATACGTTAGGCTAGTTGCAGTGATTTAATAACAGCTCATAAATAGGACCGTTACAGTGCAGAAAAGAGAAGGGGAAATAAAGCTATACAGCTCTACTGACCTTTGCTAGCTGTTTATCATTGTTATTTATCTATGTAGTCAGTGATCATTTCGTGACTCGCATTGATACGTTACAAGTTATGAGCTTTCAAGCTCAATTATCTTATACGTACAGTAATCATTGCTTTCAGCTATGTCTATAAGAGTGAGTCACGCAAGTCCTACGATAAAATTTTCAACGGGTCGACTCAACAGTCAGCCAGTTGGCTGTGCTTAATGGATAACCTGCAACCTGTTGAATGATATGTCATTCTCGCTCGACTCTCTCGGCATCTCTTTACTGATTCATCCAAATGAAAGTGATGTTCCCATTGATTCAAGAGACTTAACCACCTTTGGATTTGGACAATTGTCAGTGGCGAAGATTCGGAGAGACCCACCAAAGTCTATTACGGCTATTACGTGCTTACGCATTGACGTGACTCGTTTGCGTTGCCAAGGTGAAAGGCATTGCGCTCTTATCGCAGGCGATAATGTTCTCGGAATTCAAATAAAAAATGCAGCCCAGGCTTTCTGCGTAGCTGCGAGTCGGTGGCGAATTATCTTACGACACGCGCGAATGAGCGATGGGAGAGGAGGGAGGCGAAAAAGAACGCTGTACTGCGAAGGCTGACGAGCTTGTGGCTTTTGCATAATCG